TCCCTTTTATCCGCACCCCTGCATAGCACAGATTCCGGATAAAGTGTGAATATACACTTCCCGACGGCTCGCCGGCAAATTGAATTTCGTCAAATGAACATCCGGGGTATGTGGCAACACTGCCGAGAGAACACACCCGCGTGTGGGGCGTTTCAAAGCAAGATTCATGGAGGGTCGCTCAAAATTTGCAATCCCATAGGCGGAGTTTATATGACGACCAATACTCACTATATTAATATAGAGTCGATCTGCTTCACATAGAGACTCCCATAATAGATCAGAAGACGAGTTATTTGCTCCTGTGACCAGAATTTTGATTGCCAATATTTTTGTTATCGCGATAGTTCCATTTGTACATTTGTAAGATTGAACAGCCGTGTTCGGTTCTATCCACCAGGGAAAGAAGGAGAAATCGATGCTTGGTAGTCGAAGTATAAATCGGTCACCAAGTTCCTGGATACAATCCAAGTATACAACCACCAAAGTCTGTTCCTTTAAAACAGTGATCATGTTTTCCAAGCAACTCACAGCTTTAGTCCTCGTCTCAGTCGTAAAGGCTCATGGCACAGTCTCTGGAATTGTCGCGGATGGAATTTAGTAAGATTTTCTCTCTTGAAAAATGCTATATCTCACCAGAAACTGAGCTAACAATATCAAGCTACAATGGATACAATCCAAGCTATCAATATACTTCACCCGCCCCCGTAACTGTTGGGTGGCTGATACCTAAAGACCTCGACAACGGTTTCATCTCTCCGGCTGCGTACACGTCTTCCGACATCATCTGCCACGTTGGCGCAACACCAGCTCAAATCGAGGCTCCTGTCAAGGCAGGTGGAAAGGTTGAACTTCAATGGACACCGTGGCCCGTATCTCATAAGGGCCCAGTCATCGATTACCTAGCCAACTGCAATGGTCCATGTGAGACTGTCGACAAAACAACGCTGCAATGGTTCAAGATTGATCAAGTTGGATTAGTCAGTCCCACGGCAGCGACAAGTGGGTTATGGGGCACTGATGTATTGATTGCCAACAACAACAGCTGGACTGTCACGATACCTTCGAATCTTGCAACTGGCAACTACGTTCTCCGCCACGAGATCATCGCTCTCCATTCTGCCAGCTCTACAAATGGCGCTCAAAATTATCCACAGTGTGTCAGTCTCGCAATCAAGGGTACTGGAACAACAAAACCTGCTGGTGTACCTGCGACTAGCTTTTATACTCCGACAGATCCGGGTATCCTATTCAGTATCTATGGAACTCTTTCGACTTATACTGTTCCTGGTCCTGCTCTCTACAGTGGTGCAATCTCAGTTACGCAAACGCTTCCTGCTGCACCAACCGCTAGCGCAAGTGGAGTTTATACTGTTTCATGATGGGGTTGAAAATAAGTGCTTGGGCTTCGGGAGTGAGGAAAATGTCGGGAATTGATGCTGGTATGATGGGACTTGGGATGTGTTGTATGTTTTGGTGAATGATTGGATTTATATAGCAAAAAATGAAAGATATTCTCAACACATGATGCGCCTTTGAAATTAAACCTCCACCCTGTAAGAATCATTTCCTTATCATGGCATAAATCTAGTCAAAAGAATATGAAGCCATTATTCCAAAGTCTTAGTACGGCGCATCAATCATAAAATGTTTCTAATTCCTTCAAAACTTACTACAGACTCCAACCTCGACCACCCAGCAATGTCGCAAAGTTCCTTCATCACCTTATCAAATGCGACAGATAACCTTAATCGACTATATATACCGCGATAACAGACTCTCCCACATCCAGATCGCAAAGGCGACAAACAGGCTTGTTTGTTCAGGTCAAATGCAGTCTGGTGGTGGAGTGGTAACACGCCTGGTTCGAATCGGAAAAAAATCCCGTCGCGGGGTTTCTCCTCCCGCCCCTCTCGAGAGGGGCGGCAAGGTTTTGCTATTTTTGACTGGTTTTTCCTTTTTGTGCTCCGGCTTAAAAAGGATCGCACTTAGTTAGTTAGTTTCAGGGAAGGGCTTGTTTTTGCCCTCTTTTGGTTGTTGTTGTTGTTGTTATGTGCTTAGCGAGTGGTTGGATTTTGGGTGGGGAGATTAGAGCGAGGAAGTGAATGAGGTTATTGTGGATATTGGAGATGAAGGCGAGGTGGATTTTAGGTATAGTAAGCTTGACAGTGATGAATGGAAGCTGTAAAAGCTGCAAAATATCTAATGGAATGCGCCATGTTATTAGATACAAAAGGTTGCATCCTAAAGCAACTGTTGTCATATTGCCAATTTCTGCCCATTGATGGGCGACAACTTGTGTTGTGAGCTGTTTCATCTTAAACTTTATGGGATCAAAACATATAAAAATCTGCTGTGAATCTGGGCAATTTGCATATCAATGAGCTCAACTTATGTTCATCTGATAGACCATAAGCTTTCTTCGAGCGCGCGGTGTGGCTTCCAGTAATATTTCCAATGTAAATACCATACACTGTCAAGATTCCTGAAATTTGCATCATTATAACTGGAGAAGCACATACATTGGTATAAAAATGCTCATATTTCCCATGCATCATCGAAGAATTCATGTTGTCGGCACTGTGCAAGCGCGGTTTCAAGAAAGGCAATCTGATTCTCCAGATATTGATGCTCGATGCATGCTATCAACTTAAGCTTGAGACCAAAAGGAATCCTCCAGTCACGTAAATAGATACACTACATATGTTTCTTCTCTCTTTGAAGTCATAATCTATGAAAGTGAATTTTTCATGGTGAATCTCCATATCGCAAGCAAACGGCATGCTCTTGAGCGATTAAGAAGACTTCGAGACTATCTTGCAATCGCTGGCATGATTCTAAGCTTCAAACGCAGGTAGCTTCTGTCTCATTTTATTGAACTCTTCTATCTCCGTGACTCTACAATCATTCTGCTTATACAAATTCTAGTAAAATCCACGTGACTATGACCCATTTTCGTGATCTCGGCATGTCTGACTCACACAATGCGGCCTTCCCATCTTCATCCCTTGACGAAATAAACATTTCAACTCGAAAAATAGTAAAATCTGATCAATAAAAGCAACCATGGTCTTTACGCCAACAAAACCGCCCCTTCTCCTCGTCGTCGACCTCCATCAAATTGAGGTCGAGCCGCCATCCTCTTGGGGCCCGCGCTCAACTCCCAACCTCACTTCAAATGTGACCACAATTATCAGTGCCTTCCGCAAGCGATCCTTCCCAGTGATTCATGTCCATCACCACTCGCCTGATCCGAGCGATGAATTGTACCCAATTGAGACCAACGCTAGCTTCATCGCACCACATGCTTGCGCCGTTCCTTTACTTCATGAGCCAGTCTTTATCAAGAACACTGGAAGTGCATTTGCATCTAGTCAACTGAAGGAAAGTCTTCCAGAATTTGACTGTAGAGACAGAGAGATTGTAGTGATTGGCATGGAAGGTGCCAAATGCATAAACAGCACCGTGAGAGGTGCGAAGGACTTAGGATTAAACATGGTGGTTGTCGTAGATGCGTGTGCGTCGTTTGGTATTGATTATCTCAAGAAAGAGAAAACAGGAGCGGAGGAGGTGCATAGAGTAGCGATGGGGATCTTGGATGGTTCCTATGCTGAGCTGATTGAGACGGACGATTTGATCAGAGAATTGGGAAAATGGGACAACGTGAGCAGCATTGACTCTTGAGTCATAAGTAAGCCGATGCTGGATGAGTGAATGTTATCTGATCCGTGACCTTTAGTTTATAGCCACACGCCTCCAGTTCGTCTTACCGTAGAATCTAAAATCTATTATCTCAGTATCAGTAAACAATAACAGGAGTGTGTATCGCAGACTTCTGTATCTATATGGTACTGTACATCCCATAATCGTTGCTCCATCAGCTAACCTTATTTGTCTGCTCAATACTCCCAAAATCAAATTAACCAACATACAACATCAATCCACTAAGGACTTGTTTGGATATCAATTCCGATCAGAATCCGCTAAATTTTCCGTCTTTTTCTATTATAGCAGATTCTGTAATAACAGTTTTTCGCTTCGAAAAAAACAGATTCCTTTTTTTTCATTCTTTTTTTTGTATATCAATTCCAATATAAATCTATAGACAGTAAAAGAAAATAGAAAATATATAAATCTTGAATAAGAAAATTCGAATTTTCAATATACAAATAAAATTCTCAATTTATTATTATCATTTAAAGATTAAAAAAATGAATATAAGAATCATTTTATTTAATCGAAATTAAATATAAATACTGATTTAATAAAAAGAGATTTAAAGTTTTAAGCTTTAAACTATTCAAATTTCAAGCTTTAGACTATTTTTATCAAAGCTTTAAATTATGAAGATTTTAAGAGCCTATAAATCCCTGAATTTTTTAATTGATTAAAAACAATGATTGCTTTTCTTGGTTATCATTTTCAATCTATATTTTCTATTTCTTATACAAATTGATTAGAAACATAATTGAAATATAGGTTAAATTTAAGGTTTTAAAAGATCTATAGAATAATCTATTGATTCACATAACATTATACAAATTTGCGATTTAATATTCGTCAGAAATCAGAAATCTATTGTCAAAAAGAGCGAATTATTCGATACAATCCGATCGGATTTGTACATTCAAACTGGCCCTGAGACAAAATACATTTTAAAGATCATTCGAGAATAGTGCAAGATTCTTGATGCTACATGCGAAGGGTTTTCTCTCCACTATGAACCCCCATGTTTTAGATGTAGAAAGCGACTCCACGCAATCTTCAATGTAGAGAGCGATCTGTATCAAGCGAACTGTCTTTTACTCTCGCTGGAAGACGAATTGTTTGATGCCCTGTATCATATGTTCAAGCATGCTGAGAAACCTCGTCACAACGTCAGTCCTGGAGCTGAAGTTCGTCTACTCAGTGTTAGCTTCAATATGCTGGAGATCGTACTGGTGCCATTACTTTGCGCTTTACTTCATAGGAGCCTCGAACAAGCAGCGACGGTAGTAAATTAATTACGACGCCCACCACAGGAAATAGACGAGAGAGAAACCACATGATGTGGGCTTCGAAATGACGTCTACCTTCTCGACCTCTCCAGGAGCCTCTGAGTGATTTTCTTTGTACAAGTGGATTGCACTATTATCCCCTGGCAATAAAAGTTGAATTTCTTTGGTAGAAGGGAGCCGAGATTGCTCTGTAATAAAATGATTTCCAATGGCCTTCAAGATATCACCTCTTGCATCTACGTCTATTCCACATGATGATAGCGATAGATGGGAAACAGAAGCAGGTAAAAGTTCATTGATGAATATCTCAAAGTTTTTGGGTCCTTGCTTCGCTGAAATGCGCGCTGACTTTGTAGCATGATCACAGATCGCAATTTCCAAAGGCAATTCAAGCTTTCGGAGACACTTAAAGCCACGCATGAACATCTCGCTCGGGGCGGCTGAAATCATTGGTCTGTCTTTGAGTGAGGTGTCCTCAGTGGACGTTGAGGCGCCAATTTTGATAGAAAGTTCTTCAAGATAACTTCCTGTCTCGCCCTCGATTGCTGCGATGAATTTAAAAATATTCCAGACCTCACCGTCGCCTTCCTTCTCAGGCGAATGTGTATATTTAAAACTCCTAAGATGTGGGGCATGTTTGAGGAGATTGGCAATAGCTACGTCATTGATACAGCAGTTTTTGAGATAGATTGTTTCCAGTTTCTGACCACAACGAAAATCCGATATTGATTTTGAAGGGCGTGCAATGGATAAGTCGCCTCTTGCTACGAAGTTGGGGCCCCGGTATGACCGCAAATTTGGTAATGCTAACAACGGAAAGTCTTTCCACCAGTCATATCTGAGTCTGGTGTAAGTTGATATCTTGATCTTAGTAAGTTGAGCGAGACTAGCATCTTCACATAGGAACGTCGACAGCTTGCTTTCGGCAACGATAGCCTCAAGCAGCTTTTTGGGGGCCTCGAGCGGCTGCCAAGGAGATAGCACGAGAGTCTTGACGTTGGGTAACAGTGTCAAGACAAAAGCAGAGACATGTTGTGAATAGTTCTTAGAGAACCGATTCCGTCTCAGATCCGCTTTAATTGAATCATGATATTTCTTCCAGTCCAACCCTGCTTTCTTCAAATAGGGAGAATCAGCGAGAAGCTTTTTCAGAGGCCCATGATGTCTACGGTAAAAATCCTGAACGTAAGAATGATATCTGTCAAGGCCAAAGTCTGCGTGTATAATATAACGGGCAATTATAGGCTCGCTATCGATCCGTAGGATGAGATCCAGCAATGTCTTGATTGATGATGGTCCTAATGCTAGTCTATGATATTGTGACCGAAGCTGATTGTGACATTTGAGGAAAGGTGTGCATAATGCGTGAGTTTCTTGGCAGGTCAAAGCCAGACTCTCAAATCCTTCTGGCAATACAAGCGATACGATTTTATTGAAGATTTCGGTAGGTAAATTGGAGAGCGACATTTTTTAAGTAAAGCTTCAAATTTACAGAAAAGATTTTGTGTGTTTGGGAATATATAAGCCTAGTCTTTGGTCCTGCAGATCGTGTTAAGCGCAGCGCCTAGATGTAATCACGTGACCATCATCTCCGGACTGCTTGTTTGCATCTAGATTACTAATAAGTACGATATGCTAATAAGCCTTCTCACTGTTTTTTCTCCTCATTCGGAGTACTTGAAGAGGTTCGACATAGAATTTATCGGGAATCACTAATCGTTGATCTAAAGAACTGTCGGGTAGAGCAGTATCTTGTGAGCTTGAGATATCAAGCTATCTCGGTACTTCCATAAGATGGTCTCCTGGGAAAAGCCAGCATGTGTGGTCTTTCAATGCTTGACGGAAGCAAATTAGTCGAGAGTCTACTGAGGACCTAGAGTATCAAACGCAAGTTTGGCCACAGACATAAAATGAACAGCTTTATTGTGGAAGACTCGTGTTTTCTGAGATACCACTATGTTGTTGGAGAGTGTGTATATCATTTCACATTAGATTTTACTGATGGCCTAAATTTTGATGTAGTGAAAACATCAATCATCCTGCTCTCTTGTTAAGAAGACTTCTTTTCCGACGCAGTATTATCCAGGAAGGGTGGCTGTGGAATGTTTAGCTTCTCATTATGTGAGCTAGAGTTCCTTTCTCATGATCAGAGATGTCACTGTTGTCCATTCATATATCATTCTGGCTATCAATTTTGGCATTTGATTTGTTACGAATACTTTCGAATAGCTATCTATTTTTGTTTTTGCTAATAGCTAAAGTTATTAACAATTCTTTCAATTTTAATCACATGTTTTCTACAATCCCCCCGTATTAGATACTAATGCTATTCTCGATTGTTCCTGTCTACGTTCAGCCTGGAGTTATGTTCGAGTTCTTTCTCCTCTTGAGAACGTCAAACTTCAGGATAGTCTCAAAGTCATGGTATGGTCAAGCTCTACCTCCTCAACCATATCTACAAGATCCAAAATTGTGGTAGCTCTATTGACTGATTGTTCCCTAGGTCAAAGCAAGAGCTATTTCTACGGCCCTTATGTGTTTCGAATAACCCTAACTCGAAGCGAATGCCATTTCTTTGACACATGTCTGAGAGATGTTGGAGCGCAGCATAGCCAAACTTCCCGCAAACATTACAACGGCTCGGATCGCCGTGATTTCCGCAATCTCTTGTTTGGAGAAAGTAACGTAGGTGAACCATCTTAAGACTCGATGCCCGTCTCTTAGCAATCACTAGTCCTTGAACTTGCTTTATTATAACATTTAACTCCGAATTTGTCAGGCCGGAACAATCGACCCCTAAGTACAGTAGAGAAGAAGGAATCGCGTTGGCCAACAAAAATTTAGAGGAACCCTTGTCCTCGCTGTCCTTGTGGTCTCCAGCACTCGGTATAAGTGCTGACCCATCTATGTAGAGCAATTTCAGGACCTTAAAGTCACGCAACGGTGAGAGATCCGACCCCCTGTAGCTTTCAGGGTTCCAGTTCGTGAACCGTAGCCCTAAGATTTCCAAACGGTTGTTGAGATGGATTAAACTCTTGATTGTATCAGCAATGAATGCATTGACGTCTTTCTTAAACTCCATATCGACGTGAAAATTGAAATGGCGAAGATTTGTGCAGCTGCTAAGCAAAGCGGCAAGATAGCGTCGGGGAATCCAATTCCATTGTAGTATCAAACTATTAAGCTTCGGAATTTTTGGTAGTGTTAGATCCTCTAAAGTTTCTGAGTCCGTCTCGTTAATCGGGTCTTCAACATAGTCAACAAAAGTGTTATCGCATGCGAACTTCCTGAGTGATGGCAACGCGATGATCTTGATCATACAATCGAAGTCCATCAATTGTCTCTCCATATCCACTCCGCAAAAATCAACAAACAATAGATTTCTCAAAGGAACCTCATACGAGCTATGGGTCTCATTAATGGCTGCAATTCGATCAAAGAAATAGCAAAATCGATCAAGCTCACAGCCTGGTTCCCATTCTTCAAAAACAGGAAGTCGGAGGTAGAGTCCAATTAGATTCGGAGCAAGACATAAAGTAAGAGCCATCAGAGCCCAAAATGAGAGGTCTTGTGCAGCCCAAACTCCAAAATTTATTGCCGGCTGCTTCTTGGAAAATAATGTCTGAAGATCCGTCTGATTCAATCCGAGGAATTCAAAACTCTGGTAGTTCTCTGTGCATATCCATTCGTCAAATTGTTCCCTGATTCGAGGGATTAGATAGTTTCCAGAGATTGCTGACACATATCGGACCATGGATGCCAACTCCTCATTTGCAGCGATGGTCTTCACGAAAAGTTTTACTGTTTTGGGATCTTTGGCCAAAAAAGTACAATACAACCTTGGAGTGGCGAGTTCGGACAGATGTTTCGAGCATGTTGTGAGTGGTAGAAGCCATTTATGAAGATTTCCATTGTGGTCCCTCTTTAAACTGTCAGACTCGAGACACACCAAGATCTTTACGAGAAGCTCGTTGGAAAGCTCTGAGAGGGACATTTTGTTCTCTGTGTTTCGTTGCTTGAGATGAAAAAGTGAAGTTACCATTCAAATATGAATTTCTAGCGGGAGGTGATGTTTCTTGAAAGCTGGCCAGGTGAAAAGCTCGAATATTTATTTTTTTCCCAGACACGTAGCTCCTTCTGCACATCCATTTCCCCCAGAATGGAAGGAGAGACATAACTATGCCCTAAACAAACGCACCAGCTCTTTCCTATACAAGTTTTGTTTCACAGTTATTTCTATTCTCACGGTTTCCATGGTATTATCATATTTAAATTATAGGGCAAGTGTATTTTTGATTGTATTTTAGTGTTTTTCAATTACGTCAAGAACGAACATCGACAAAGGAAAGTGCAAACATACCTGTATGAGGACCAGCCTTCAGATCAAGATTCGAGTCTCATGAATCCCTGCTCATGAAGTTCTTGAAAGCATTATACTCCTCGAGTAATTCATAATGCTCCTTCCTCGAGTCTTTGAGTGCCTTTTGTGTGCTTTTTTTAATTTCAAGCGAATCTAAATGTTCTTCTTTGAGGTCGTCAAAGCAGTATTTGCACTCACAGATTTCACCCCCAGGATTATAGTGCTGCCAATTGTCAAGAAGATACCCCTTCTTTACCTTGGTTGGAAGAGAAAGTCTTAAGAGGCCAGGAGTTTGGTGGACCAAAGCTTCGTACTTCTCGCGAAGTTTCTGGTTTTCTCTGTCCAGTGAAACGAGTTCAGAATGAAGAGCATGTTGAACTTTGACAATTTCAGATTGATGTTCTAGCATATACTTGCATCCATGGTAGTTATCGTAGCAGTCAAGTGATCTGCAATTGCTATCGGATTCGTAATCCAATTGGTCTTCGCTAGATTCGAATGCGACAATGTCCGAGTGGTCAACGACACCCGCAATATCTTCATCATTTGACTCGAGATCTCGATCTGTCTCTGAGGTTGGCGTGTTTTCGTCTTCACGTTCGAAGGCAATTTCCGCGATATCCGCGATGGTCTTATCAATCAGATCTATAATTCCATCAATCTCAGGAGTCAGTGGGATTTCCTCGAGTCTATCAACAACTTCAGCAAGGTCTCTATCAATAATCATCAAAATTTGGTCCATGTTAGCGGTTTCAATCGTCTAATCTAAACGATTCGCCGAATTTTTTTTATTGGGATTGAAATGCTATGCAGTAGGTCGAAAGAGGATCGAGGCTGTTGGTACTTGAGTAGAGGGATGAGAGATCGATAGCGAGTATGAGGATCGAATGTTTTTGCTTACGAGGGAGATATTGCATGATCTTATAAATTCAGTGTTACAATTGTTTAGAATCTGTTATTTTGGACCTTTGTGTTGCCCTCCCTGGAGATTCCACACTGCTGAGTTTAGTAAGACAAATTCTTTTATCATCTAGCTTGTATGTGAGCTATTCAATTTTGTTCCACACCATTCGAGCTTTCCTTTGTTGTTGTATTCGGTTTGGAAGAATGCAGGTCAAAAGTTCTTTATTGGGGAGCCGCAATTTTTTGTCTTTATCACAATCCTTTGTCTGACCTTCATCTTTGAGTCTAATCCTGTAGCCGAGACCTCACACTCTTACTCATATTCTATCAAGCAAAAGTATTTGTTTTACCTCCGATCTATCAACAGACTCTCAAGACAAAACTGGATTGGTGTGTAAAATACCAGCAAGCAGAAGAACTTTGCTACACCTCTCAATTTTGCATACGCTTTGCTACGACAATGTCCGCTCTTATCCTGAAAACAATCATCTATTCAATATTTTTATATGCACTCGACTGATAGTCGGGATCAAAGCTATAGTATGTGGGTCACAGAGTATTCGAACTATTGATGCATTCAGCAGGATCATGAAGAAGAGAAACTCTTCCTTACTTAGATGTCTGCGAAGATATAAGACGCCTATATGATACGTTAGCTATGTAAAGAGGTCGCTGCCATTGTCGTTAAAGCGATGCGGCAGAACCATGTGGAGACACATAAACTCTGTTACCTCAGAATGGCTAGCATTTTCGCGACCTCGAATCACACGGCAGTCTTCTTCTCAATACATTCACGGTCACTTTCACTTGACAAGTTTGCATTTTATACAAGCATCTAATTATTTTATAAATTTTATATTAATTCATGAGTTTCAACAAAGAAAAACTAGAAAGAAAACCAAACATATGCGCAAAGACTAGCTTCTACTAATCTCCTATGACTCTATTTCGGAAATTTGAATACTCCTCAAACAAATCCCTATATTGCTGCTTAAATTTGAATAATTCACGAAAAATGCGGTTGACTTTGGCAGTATCGATGAGTTTCAACTCCAAAGCACAGTGAGAACACGAACCACAACGATCGCGAGGTGAATCCGAATCTGCGTCTTGGTAAGATTGAGAATCTCCGTATTGTTCTATGATAGATTCATTTGTTTCAGATCTCAGAAACACGTAATCCTCATACTGCTCCTGGGCATCGTGTGGGCCGCTGAAAACTCGGAATCGCGAAGAGTTGGTGACACGAGCGACGAGGCCTTTGTATTTGTCCTCCAGCTCCGTGTATTCTTCCATCGTGGTTTCGCACTCAGTATTGAATTCGTATCTTTCTCGGTAGAGCGCCTTGCTTCGTCCTTCCATCATCTCTTTGCAGTCGCTGCAGTTGTGACGACAGGGGCATGAATCTTCGGGGTCGTATTCGTAGTTCTCATCGAATGTTTCTGAATTGGCCGAAAGCTTCTTTTGCATCATTGCGAACAGCTTATCGCATTTTTCAAGTAAATCTTTATTCATAACCCTCATGGTATCGATTTGTTGACGTAGAGTATTCTTCGTCTGAACAATCTTGACATGGCAAGCCTCCAGTTTTTCATAGCGACGACGAAAGTGGCAGATTCCGAGAACCAGAGGGCTGGGAAGTTGATAATCGTAGCAGGAATTATCTATGATTGGCAAATCAAAAGGCATATCCGAAAATTTAACACTGAAGCCCGTGAGTTGGTGGTAAATTGTCGAATATCTCTCGCGATATTGGAGATTGTTCTTAGCTAGAGTAACAAGCTTGCTGTACAATATATTTCGGGTCTTGATAACGTTGCAGTGCGCCATTTCCAAAAATCCGAGGCAGCGGTTGCAATAACAGTGAGTACCAGGAATGGAAGCTTTGTATGTATATGCTAAGTAATGCTGAAAGTTGGAGTATTCTGGGACGAGTTTAAGGTCAGTTTCTATCTCCATGCACTCTCTATGAGCTTTAGAAATCACTTTATCGAACGTTACTAATCTCTCTAACGATTCTGTTTCGGCGCCCATACTAGGGTCGGCTTCTCCAGTAGTCATACCTTCTGTATTGGCTAATGTGTTTACTGGCATGGTGGTGTCTTGGGTGTAATCCATTTGAGTTCTATCGCTGGTATCCCAGTCAATCAAAATTGGTGTCCACTTCATCTTGATGATTGTAATCTGAGTCTTGGATGTATAATAGAAGATTCAGATTGAAAAGTAGATGTTTAGAGTATTGAATGAGGATGAGAAGCTGTACTGAAATGGAACACAATTGTCAAAGCAGAAGTATAATATAGTTGAAAAATGAGGTTTATTCAGAGTCTGTTCCAAATATGCCATGCATGGTTTTCTTCCTGTAGAAAAACAAGGATAACAATCTCATTGTTCTCGAGCTTGAGTCCTTTGTCTGGGTTACAAAGCATCTGTCAAAGGAGAAGAAGCCACGACGAAATTCAATGGTCAAAATCCTCTTTTTCGCGAACTTTCGTATCCTATGCATTGAGAACAAACACAAGGAAATACACAATCTGCAACCAAAATGTCATCAGATATACGTTGGGTTTAAAATACATGGATTGCTATGTCAAGAGAAAGATAATATACAACCTCCACCAAATGCCCCTTCAACCAACCCCCACTACCGACAGACTCATCACTCATCACTCATCGACTATCCAGACAACTACCTACACAACCATACAAAGGAAATCAACCATTTGCTCATCCCATCGTAATCCTCATCATCATGCCCGCATCACCGTCACCAAAATAGCCATATCAAACCAAAACAATCTGAAGAAACCAATTCGCACAATCCATTCTCCCTAAGAGTGACCGACCCTACATCTTTCCCAATGGCTTTCTAGCCCATCCATTCACAGTCCTCCACCCAGCACCACAAGCTCTACCCTCTTCAATGAGATTTTGTACACCCTCCAACGTGCCTTCATCACCCACTGTCTGAACTCTACATCTCAACAACCATTTTTCCCAAGCCCAGCCACCGACTAACCCAGTTACACAAGCTGCATCTCCTGTGCTCCCGCTAACCATCGCTTCCATTTCCAATGGATCACCTACACTGTTTCTCTCCACATCCAATCTATGCTCAGGATCTGCACCCATGGGCAAAAACACCCACGCGCGTTTGATACCTACGAAACCCGAGCGTTTGAGACGACCGAGCCAGAGTTTGGTGGGAGAGGGATCGTAGCCAAGGGTCTTGAGATTGAATCCAAACTCAACACTTTTAGCCAAGCCCATTGGGCCTGCGTTGACGATATCGGAATCCATGATGGAGAAGTCAAGATATCCACCTGGCTTAAGAATACGCATGCATTCATTGAGACAAGCTTCCCATTCATCTTCGCCGTTCTCACCGCGCTCCTTGAGAATCATGTAGATTTCGCGAGCGGAGACGAGATCGAATTGGTTGTCTTTCCATGGAAGCTTGACGAGACGTTCTACAGCTACCTGGCGAAGATTTTTGGGACCGCGGATGTTGGAGTTTGAGAGTTGACGGAGAGCCTTGGTGGTTACAGTGTAGACTTTGCAGTTGGGATATTCAGTAGCACAATGCCATGCCCAATCACATGTGGCTTGTCCACCGAGGTCCAGAATACGAGCACGGTCTCGAGGGGTACCGTTGATGGTGGGACCCATTGAGGAAAGTCTTGCGAGACGTTTGGCAACTGGAGCTGCGATTAACCGACCTCCGTTAAGCATTTTGGTTGCTGAAACGTTCCAGGCTGCAGGTGACATTTGCTCAAGAGCTTCGGTTTCTTTGTCATGCTGGAGCTTTTCGGGATCTTCAAATGGGGTATCATCTCCGCGAGCCACGTTGGAAGACATGCGACGCTTTGGGGACATAGGAAGAACGCTCAGTTGGTATTTACCGAGAAGACTGGCACGATGAGCTGCTGGGAAGGAGACGCGTTGAGATTGGATAGCTTCGAATCTGGGTACACGATGCACGAAGACATCACCGCGACGAGTTTTACGAACTGAGCGTTTGAATGCACGATGATATGTCGATTCTTGAGGAAGAGCTTTAGGTAGCAGACAGGCATTTCCAGCCAATGTGGCAAGTGTAGCAGTAGCGGCTGCTGGAGTGGAAACATCATGATTGATGGGGTCTGTAGAAAATCGAACAGTCTTTTTACGTTGCAAAGGCAATGGTTCAGGCTCAATTGGTGAGATGTTCATTTCTGCTGCTGAAAGTCTTACACTGACAGCTCGTTTCAACAGGGCGACTTCATCATCACGAGCTTCTGTAGGATTGATAAGTTCCGAGAGGTAGTCATGCTGAGCTGCAAGCCACAGTGCCGTGCGGTCAACATTGACACTTGCGGTATCCTCAAGCTTGTTGATATATACAGGTGCGTAATCCGTCAAGATCTCGTCAGCTACAATTTCTTCCTCGAAATGAGTCCTGTTCGCTGGTGGAGAGCTGACAGGGACGATGGTTTCATCAGAATTGTCGTGGCGGATCTCGGGTCGAAAACTTTTAGCAGTTGGTGGCCCATCAGTATCAGCGGGTTCTGGAAGTTCAATGATACGCTGAACTGGATGAGGTGCCCACGGAGTGTTGTAAAAGTTTTCGGCGGTAGTTGACGAAGGCGGAAGAGGCTCGTCTGGCGTAATAGGTACAAGGTGCCAGGTATGTCTTGCGCCATGGCCCAGAGATGCAAAGAAGCCACCGGGAGATGGGATCTCTAGATTCGTTAAACTTTCCATAGCTCGCTGTTGACTTGGAGTAAGAAGTAGCGAATTAGCGCGATGAATGTTTGTATTCAATGGTGGCAAGCTTTGCTGCATTTCTTGAGCAGGTATGACTTCTTGTGGTGCGGTACTCAAATCAATGACCTGTTCGGGCTGCTGCTCATCAAAGTAGTCATTTGAAGGTCCTGAGATCGCCTCCAAGGTGGCCATAGCAGCAGGTTGCAATTGAACGCCCCAGCTAGCACGAGGACCATCCTCTTCACTGTCGTAGCCGACATCTGGAGTTGGTGGAGCAGATATTTGGGCCATCTGCTCTGAATCCATGCTTCCATCCAACGAAGGCGGAGTCGATGATGATGGAATAGATAGATTTTCTTGATTCTTGAGGAACGTGAGAACAGCGGGAGACATAGCTACTCTTGGGGGTGGCGTTGGTGGTACTGGAGAGGCCAATTGTCGTTTGAAAGCGGTAACTTCAGCCCATGGATCTTCATTTGAGGGGATCACAAGTGAAGGTAATGAGCTCAGGGAGTTTCTACTTCGGGTCGAGCTCGTGGATGACCTGTTTGATCTTGAAAACTGCCCAATACTAGTTCTTTGCCCCATAGTGCTACTCCTTCGATTGTCGTCATCGGATGAGGCATCATAGAGGTCATCGAAGTCTGTAGCATCGGTTGTAAAACTTGTCCTTGTCCATGGTGCTGATGAAGGAGCGGAAGAAGAGTCTTTGCTCGAGTCTGAGCAAGATGGTGAAGCTGGACGATATTGTTGCATGAATTGATTGGCTCGAGGTGTTGGAAAATGGTCGCTGAGGGGAGAAAGGAAGTCTGCCTTGAGGGGGGATCTATCTCGACCTCGCATTTCCATGTCTTTTGAACCCCGTACAGATTCTTCTTCATCTTCCATTATTGTATTAAGTAGCCGTCTTCTTGTCTGTGCCTGCACAGGTGAAGTTGGTGGCCGGTAAGTTGTGGCAGGTAAATAATCTAGAGTTGCCATTTTGTAGACCTAGAAAACGTGATCTTCTTGTTTTACGTTCCTTGTCGATCGGGTATCGTGAAATAATTTTCGAAAACGCGCTGCGGCCCGTGAGACAAGGAAAATGAAATATTAAAAGATAGTATGCTTCGATCAACGAAGACTTTGTAACACAATGCCAAAAACAAAAAAGAGGAATTAACAACGACGAGAAAAATACACCTCCTACACTACAAAAAAGAATGAGACGAGAAAAAATTGCGTTTGGTAACTGGGCCACTCAAGGGTTTATACCGACGATACCTGTATTGTCTGTACAATCGTCACTGGATAGCGTCAAAAGTCGACTGGGGGAGCTAGCAGGTGTGGCACCAATGGAAAACTATTTTTATTGAAGAACCGACCAAAAGGGACTCACAAGCTTCTCCAAGCGTCAAGTCCAATATGATCTCCACAAGTCAAGAGATTCATCCAAAATGAGGACAAAAGATTGAGCTTGACTAAGATACTACAACATCGGTTCACGACCGTATAGCCAATAGAAGATGTAGCTGTTCAACCATAATGCATGGCAATGACGACCCCGCAGCGAATAGTTGGCAAGTAAGGACTGAAATGGAAAGAAAATCAATTTTTCTAGCAAATTGCGCGCGCAACGATTAATTGAGGAGGTAGGTTTTTCGTTAGCGCTTGCATACAACATCTACCAATGAAAGTGCTCATCGACTGCAGAGCCTTGCTGATTTACGGGAACAACACAGGTTCGGCGCGTAAAAATAGAAATGGTTAAAGACTGACCTATGAGGATGGATCTCAATGCACCACGAGTTAGACTGGGTTTGACTTGATCGTAGTTGGACTTCACACGACTGGATGTGATGTACCGATTTATACCATTGATTCGTGAAGTACCCATGTAGAGACCATTAGGACAGAAATAGGTGACGGGTGGGGATCTCTATATATAATTTGGCTTTCTGTAAGTAGAAGTATTCTCCGATGAATACTGCCACCCAGTCATCCTGACCTGGTTGTGTGAAGCACAAATATAGGTAGGTACAGTATCCGAGCTCATATGTGCGGGCGGTATGATCGAGGTACCTGCATTGAATAATTGCCAGCTAAGCAAGTGTCGGGTGAAGATTCATATACTTTGTATACATATATATATCTCGGCGTTTGGCTTTTGCATCATGTCATATATCTTTGATCCTCTGCTTTTGAAAAAGATGGTTGAGGTGATTCTGATGGTTGAATAAAGAAACAAACCTAGTGCAAGCTACTGTCACGTGCCATTACCAATGTCCGTGCTTTTTTCTATCGTCCAATGTCTCTCATCCTTAGCCTTGGTCAATCATTCGTGCTACTGTCAATTGAACTACAGTTGAATTATAATCTCTTTCTCCAACTCGTTCATCCACAGCCCATCTATGAAATCTCACTTAAACCGCTCTCATTGATACTATCTATCGGAATGTTGCATCATGTTTTAACAACCTCGTTTTTCGACAAGATTACATCCGATTGCTGAATGCCATTTCCAATCTGCCCCGAATCTGTCTAGTCAGACATCATTTCATGTGGATGGGTAACTATATATTTTCTCAGTGGAAAGTTATACTCTAACATCCGGCACTCCTTGTTCCACTATTGTCAACGACTTTGCTTCAATAATGCTTCCACAAGTTCACAACTATCCGAAGAATCCGAACCTTTGCATCGAGCCACATTGCATTGAGATGATATTACTCATACTCACCCACATGATTTAATTTCTGTGCTCTATGACATTAAGTATACACTGTGTATCCTATATGCGAGGCTATGCATTCATCTAAGCAATATTGATTCATGCACGACTAACCCTGGACAGGCAGATGGTTCGACTGACACTTGAACATCTGGAACACAAATGCCTTCACGTGGTAGTCAGATGCTTCTGAGACTTCATGTATCATACTCAAGCCTTGTCTTTCATGGTCGGGATATTTGTCATCTTCTTGGGTTCCGACCTCCCATCCGACCGGGCCAACAGATTTTGTCCGGTTTATAGACTCAGCCTGCTAGTCCTCAGACATCAGTCTGATGTTGTCCTATCAGATTTACCCATTCTTTTGATGACAGGCAGCAACACAGACTCGAAAAGCTTCACAAGTTTTTAATTTCCATATACTTCGAGAGATTCTAAGAATATCAGTATCATCAATGCTAATGTAGAATACTTTAGAACATGCTTTAGGTCATTTCAGACAGGTCACCGAAACGCAGCCCGATGAAATTGGGTGCACTCTACATACATCAATCCTAATGGATCAGTCTATTATCATCTAGATACACCAATATCCTTGGACCAGCTAATGGCAGAATGTCCTTTCTCATTTAAAGGAACTAGATATCAAATGTGCATTCAGTTTCATGCTCACTCGGTGGTACTAGAAGAGAATGTTCTCTCGAATTCGAATTTTTAATCGCATGTGTAAAGAATGTATTGACTGGCTTGCGAAGGGCTCCGAAGCAGAAAGGTCTGTTAATACAGACAGGAAACATATACTACGAAACAAGACATACGCACTTTATCGGTAAGCGGACCCAGCTAGCGTTGATATATAATGATCATTTCTCAACTCAAGAGATTTATCCATCCCCCTCCCCATCCCCCCAAGAACTGAGATCATCATCCACGCTTCAATCTATTGATATTGACGATGCACGACTTGTTGATCTTGCTGATCTTGACGATATAGTTCCTGAATTTTCTACTTCTCCTGGACCATTCTCCGGGTATACAAGCGCATGCATTAGTGACTCCACCTCTTGTCTTCCACTCAACTTTAAGGCTAAACTTGGAGTAGTCGGTTCTACAGCTCTATTCTAGATTTCTAAGATCTGTTGTTGATCTGACACATCAGAAATAATACTGTCAAGGAATCCACGAAAATCCCGGATGATAAATTTCGGAACATATGAGTCTAGAGTTGGATCTTCAGTATCTGTGGGAGGAGCAGCGCTCACAAAAGCGTATCGCACTTTTGCACATTCCTCCTTTGGGCCGTCCCAACGATCAGTTTCCCCAATCAGAACTAAAGTCCATTCACCTGGAGCAATTTTAGAATATTTCTTCCACCACCCTCCAATATGGGATAGAGACCAATTGTCGTTTGGCGTATGGTAGAAATACTCAGAGATGGTACCAACTCCAAATGAATTCTCGTTATCTTCGAAAGTATGAGGCATTGCTAATTGCTTTGCGATATTCAATGCTGGAGGATTCATCATTCCAATGTCAAGATACCGCTGCTGGTTCATTACATAATGTACGTATTGACCAATCCCGGTTATCAACGCAGATGGCTTGAGATTTACTTCTCCAAAAGGTATACAAGAATGGTCTCGACCAAAAGCGTCCAATAATATGCCTTTCTCAAACATAGACTCGATATTGAGGCCTCCATCTGTGTCGCGCGGGACCAGTTCTGTACTACAGCATGCCATTATGATCATTTGATGAATGACTGGTTTGATGTAACCATAAAGCGGGATTAATCTTGGCTCAAATGTTTTGAACTCGTGCGTCATCCCGTCATCTTTCTCCACAAATGGCAATGCAAGAAGCTCCGTGTCGTAAAGTTGAATTGTAGATCCTCTTAATAGCCCAATCTTATTCTCCAAAGAAATTTGGGGGGTATTCAAAAGATACAATGTTTCAAGTCTAGGAAACTTGATCAAGATTCCTTTGAGAAATGGTTCGGTGATGTTGAGGTTTCCAGACAAGTTCAAACTAACCACATCCATCGGATCTTTAAATGCTTCCTCCAATACTTCTGAAATTTGCTCGGTAGTCAGTTCGAAGGGACTAAGGTCTATTTTATTTTCATTTCTAAGAATACTTCTCAAAATCCGACGTGCCGATGCAAAATTCGACACATCGGCAGGATCAGCATATAGCTTTGCCTTGGCGGCAGGATAGAAGTCCCAAAGGAGCGATGCCCTTTCAAGAATCTGCGGAAGTTCGGAGGGTGAACTTGCAATTGCTGAGTTCAGAACCTTGACAAGAGAGAATGCTTTGAGGCTTGAAATTTCAGAATTTACAAAATTCGATTTCTTCTGCCCAGAAACTTTTTCTTCTGTAATCAAAGGATCAGTCAAAAGTATCAAGTGACGCGGGTGATCAAATGATGAAGGGGTCTCAAGCTAGACCTACCTGCCACGACTTGTTCAACACGGTTCCATTCACTCTCCCCGCCACCCTGTACCATTATCCTCCACGAGCTGTTAGGCCATGCACTATACAGAGCTTTCCCATCAATTAGCGGCAAAGCTTGAAAGCTTTCAACCAGATCTTGGAATTTTTCTTGATTCGATTGGTAATCTCTTCTATAATATCCCCAAAGATATTGGGGTCCAGTAAGCGGGGTCATGGCGGGGGGCTTTGGGGGAGCCCCGTCTTCCTCTTCGTCGCTATTAGATAAATCAAGATTAACGAAGCAGTATTGCACTTACATCAGTTCAGTGATATCGAATACCGTAATTCCGTCGTTGTTATCGCTTCCATGAAATGGTAGATTGAAAGGAAGATTGTGGACTCGAGCATGATAACTATCCTTTGCTCTGAGGCCAGCTCCGACAACCAAACATGTAAGAATAAAGGGAATGGGATATCGGCCACAGAAACTTTTGCGAATCCAATTCTCCGCGCCCAATCTTCCTCTTTAAGGCGAGTTGCATGGCGAAGTTCATGCGATAATGCGATTCTGTTGGCCGGAGATTGCAAGATTTTGAGGATATTTAGACAGACTTGAAGAGCGCTAGCGCCCCAGAGGCATTCTGACGAGCTCTTGTTTAGTATGTGGGTGAATTTAAAGGCAAATTTTGCAGGTAGTCAAAAAGAGAAACTCACGGTGGTGTATTGCTGCTAATCCACGGTATCGCCCATTTATCTTGGCAATCACGAAGAGTTGATGTCTTTGTCCCATGTTGAGCGACTTTTCTATCTTTGATCAAACGGTTTCATCCAACTATTTATCGCGCATAAGTGTACCGCAATGAATTTATAGAAGTACATATGAAGAGGAATCATTAGCAAGAAACTGGAAAAGCCTGTTTTATACACGGACTTTACAAACAGTTGAGGCCCAGCTTTCTTACTAGCCAATGATATGGAGGCGCATATGCACAGTGCCTGTAGATGCCTAAAATCCATAAAAGCAAGGAGGCAAGGGAAAATAAGTGGAACATCAATTTTGTCTACCCCGCGATCGATTGTTCGAGGGAATTGTCTTCAAAATCCTGATTTGATGGGAAAATGCGATATCCCGAAGCCACTTGTTTCGGGAAGACAAGGGTGTTTACGCATCGGCGAAGTGGGCATGGAACATAGCCGATCTCGGCTATCTTTGATGGGGTTTACCGATACTTTACCGGTTATAATTTATTTAGGTTGAGAGGAAGAAGGTGGGGATATTAGGTGCAATTGGTAATTCGTTCCGATATTCGCCAGGGAAAACATAGAAGTCAAGAAATTTGACGATGTTTCGGCGATTGATGAATCCGGATCAATTTTTTCCTACCGAATTTCGAAGTTCTAAGCTTCGATTCTTCCTGGCTGTTGTCACAAAGAAGATTAGTGCTGAAGCTATCAACAAATCCAATCAAGTTACTTCAAAGAATCGTAGATTCAAAGTATAATGACATTGTAGTGAAGAAAACAACACAACAACAGTCCGGCTTATACATACAGAGATGTTGAAACAATTTGCAATGTGGGAGCCCAATACTATTAAACCTCACAGTTCAGCTGCAGAATATGCAAGTAACCATCCCTGAACCGTTCTAATTTCAGGCTATTTGTTCCTGAAATGATTCACAAATTTATTGTAATCCAGTTTATTCACCTCTTGCTTTCTGACACCTACATAAGTACTAACAAATCTCAACTTAGATCTTCTTTACAGAACATCTTAGTTTATCTTTTCGGAAGAATTCAACTAGTTAGGAAGATCTATATTAAGACAGCTAATATGAAGTGGGCAACAGTGCTAATCAACTGGGACACCAGTGACAAGACCTATGAGCTCCAAGCTTTGGGATTATCCAACGAAAGAGCCGTCTCTCCGTGATTGACGGGATTAGCTAGAATTGAAGAAGAATGGACACCGCAACCAACAGTTTGACCGTGATTTGGGCCATGTGGTTGGCAATTTGAACCGAAATGGTATTTCTCTTCCTTACCATGCAAAGACATAAGCTACTACTTGTCGTCCCAGTACACCTTCGAGAAACTACCATTTGATGGCGATTCTACAGATTGTCACGAGACTACCGATGGGACAGTGTGAACAATCAGGCTACCACCAAGATTCTAATTAGTACAAGATCATGTGAAATCATGTCCATTTAGCATAAACTTATACCAACACAACTAGTTAGATGCTCACTGTCACCTAATCAACATATATCAATTCTTACACTTGACAGTAAAATCCGCCATAAAACACTATTCCTCATATTATCTATTCAAACCCATGCAGACAGTCTTTGTAATCAATCAAATCTAATAACCTGTAAATAATATTGTTTTGACAAAAATATAAACATTCTATTTGCCCCTGACATGAAACTCGGTTAACTTTCCAACCTTCTGTGACTTCATGACAACACCAAGAACATTCCATTACCCCTCAGGCAATCTGTACTAGGTCTAGTACAAGAACTCAAGAACAGACAAATCAAGACGGGTCGCCGTCAAGACTATCCGGAAAGTCAAGTGTGGCTTGAGCTTTTTCTATTTATGATTCGAGTACCCTTTGAATTCTTCCCCACTCCAGCTTCCATTTCCACAACCATAACTACTACTACAACATCGTTCAAAACTTCCAAAACTTCCAAATATTTCAAATAATTGGAATCATTATTCGGAATGAATGATTTAGTAATTGCCAAAACTAACCTGGGTTACCTCCAGCTGGCCAGTATTCAAAATCGTGATGCTGAGTAACTTCCTTCTTGATTAATATCTATCTGTGTTCTTCAACAACCAACCATGATTGAAGATCATGATATCAAGTGCTAAATATCAACACTTACATAGTTCTCCATCACGACGTCTTATTCAAACTTTGCGTCAATATCATCAAGATATATTCGTCATCGACAAACAGAATGCAGATCCAGTACGAATTTGAATCTGCGACACTCATTGGATCCAGAGATGACCTTACGAGCAATCATCAGCGCGAAACAATATTTCCTTTCATTCAAACTTGTCTTGCTGTTGGCTTTACATTCATACCTTATATTGGTTACGAAGCTGCAAATGACACGATTTCGATGAAAGAATTTGATCCTGAGTTGGGTAGATCTGAACCTTATCTTGTTTATGAAATCACAGACCCGAAGAATATTGGTTATTGTCTCTTTCGTGTGGGTTCTGTCAAATGGAATTCCTTGGATCAGATGCACGCGCCGCGTATGACACCTTTATCGGCAAATGTCTTTTTTGCTGGAGGACGTCATGCCAGCGAAACAGGAAGAACTATGACACCTTATCAGAATTATGATGGGTGTCTTGACAAATTTAGAGTCATTGATGCTGATATACTAGGCGATACTTGGCCACATGAAATTTGGATGGTACTCGTTGGAGATACTTATGATCTCTTGTCGAATCATCCCCAAGGTTCGCATTTCCTTTCCACTGAACTTCATTAAGCAGCATTGGCTTAATAAGTTGACTAATCATATCTTCACAGTCAACCAAACCCAGTCTGTTACTGGAGCACCCTCTCTACAAACCCTAGCTCAATCAAATTTTTCAACGATTTGCACCTGCAAACAACTGGGAACTTCCGAAAACTATTAGACTGAGCATCGTTGATGCTCAGCTTCTTGTCGACAGTAATCTCCAAGAGTCGTGAAAAGCCTTTAAGGTTATCGAGGTACTATAATTCAAGGGGGTTATTGGACGAGGCTTTGGAAACCCAGTCTGTTATAGACCTAGGCCACCCTGTGAATCTGGGTTCAGGTCATATTCTTCACATCTTAGAAAAACTAATGAGCTCTATGAACTGAGAAAATGTCACTGTCTTGAGTCTGTGCGGCAACAAATAAATCAGCCCGGCTGCCCTTGAGATGATTCTCGCTGCGTTTCCAAACCTCAAAACTATCTACCTTCTGGGCACTTCTGGGTTACCGCTTAGGAGAAAGATGAAGATTCTCCAGGGAACAAAGATATCAGGTATCCATGATTCGGAGTTGTATTCAATGGCATTCGAGCCAGCCACAGGTAGTCTTGGTGACAACCACATTGAGCCACCACACTTTCTGGTTTCTCAAGTCATTTGCGTTTTATCATCCGATGAAAGGACGTTCAACTTACCTTACAGGAACGCAACTAATTCCAGGCCTTTCCAAGAAGGTGTGTACGCTCTAAGTCTCCGAGAGGTCAATCTCACACTTTCGTTCCTCATCAATGGATTTGCCAATTCCCTTCGAGTCCTCTCTCTAATCCAGATACAAATCGGAAGAATGTGGCACATGGCACGCGGATTCCGGCAAAGACTATGGCAATATCTGAGCTGGACGGCGAAATGAAAATTGCGCCAATAGCCAATGATCTATTCGAGTTCGACTTGACAAATGATGAAAAGAAGGACAATAGTAGGATGAACTATACCCGACAAAAGCCCAGGGTAATCCTCCCAGGTAAATGGAACTTAACTGTCGTTTCCCAAACATATAAGCCGCTCCCATGAGCAGTCAAACATTCTTTCCGTCATAGAACCGCATTTATCAAGGCAAAAGCACAAATTGCATACGCCGAGGCGAACACCGGTCAGAAATGTACAGGTTCCATCGCATTTGTCAAGAACTATGAAACGCAATTGCTCGTGGCTGATATAGATCAGTTTCTTCAACAAGCTGTTACAGGCAAGGAAGACGACATGATTATAAAGCAAGCTCGAGATTTCTGGAAGAGAGGCACTACCTTGCTGTATTTGCAGAGATGCAGCGAGGCGGAAGTAAAAGCAATTGCAAAAAGGCCAATCTTTTGTTTGGGATCAGAGATGATAATGGTAGGATGATGTTGGAGTTCTTAGGTAGGACCTAGTTAGTCCGAGGCTGCGATTGGGGAAACAGATACGGCTCGCTTTTCGATGCTGGCAGCTTTATACAGCAATTAAAGTTCGACAGGAGGTTCTTCTCTGGGCCTAATAAAATAACTCAAGGGAGGTAGTGCCACAGGCTGGCGGGGGGAGTGAGAAAAAAATACATACGGGGAGACTCCAGGCCATGAACGGGAATGTAGCATTTATCTGGTATGAATGTCTCGAGACTCAGTCATTCTCAATAGCCTAAAGTTCCCCACTCTGCAAGCAGTAGAGCTAGTTAGTACAAAATAACGAATTATGACAACATCAAAAATTACCTACGGTCACGTTTAGATCTTATCTCAATGATAGAAACTAACGTTGTTGAAGAAAATGGCAGAAAGACTTCAAACGAAAGTCTTTCTTCTATGCTTACATTCTTGTTCTGGAATCAGCATTGGTTGTTCAAAGTCGCTTCGGAGATCCTTCTAGTTAGTTGTAATGAGATAATGAGATAGTTCCCGGCCACAAAGACTAACGGAAGCAGTGCCTCAAGTACAACTCTCTTTCAGTCTCCTTCACAGATTTAATGAAGTGTGCGAGAAGAATAGGGGGGATCTATATTCTTTATTAGCGGAAGTATCGAGTGCAAGACATCGCATCGAGTAGTATCTTCATTCAGCCTGGAAGAGAGAGCTTCACACCTAATAGCCTAAATTTGAAGTCGAAATAATCGGCAGTGTCTGAATACTGATTGAGTTAGATAGATGAAGTACATATGTACATATGTGCATCTATTTCCTTCAAGGTCAAGAGGTCAAGAGATCACAACGTGGCTAGCAGTCCATCTTAACTCTATTTATGATCACGTGCACACGCGAAAGAAACAAATGAAGTGTTGTGTGATCTCATACACTCTTTAGTACGTGTTTGGACTTTAGAAACTCTCCATATATCGGAAACTCTAATATTATGGTCCTTTGAGTTGCAAGATGCTGACCTTGGGATAGTGCGTGGGTAGTCCTGCAAACCGTGTGTCGAGCGAGGTAAGGCAACCTTTCGGTCATTACTAGCTTGTCACGCTTCTTCGTGCTGCTTTTTGAAGCGTGTGAATGATTCCACGCGTCTCCTTCTTCCAAACCCCTCAACCACGCATTAATAAAAGGTGGTTTTTGAATATCATCGCTTTCATCCCAAACCATGGGGAATAGGTGAGTGCAGCTTTACTGAGAAGCATATCCTTTTCAAGATTTTGATTTCTTTTCGTCTCTTAACCTTTCTGTCACATTAAAACAGTGACTGACAGTTATTGGAAAGACACCAAGTCTATGTTATTTCCAAAATCGGAAGCCGATATCGAACACTTGCAACTGTTCATCATCGTAATGAACTTCCTTTGATCATTTACTCTTCGTTCGAAGCTTACTTTATATTAGAATGTATGTTCGGACCAGATGCTATCGAACTGCTTTCCAACGCGGTGCAATTGTTTCAGAGCCCTCAGAACAGAATTGACCTTGAGCATGAAAAGAGTTGGGCTACACGTCTCTGAGAGTTCGTGATCAAGTCCCTATCTGCACACTGATCTTGTGCCAGAATTTATTTCCTTATCCTAAACCCTTTCATACTTATCCTCCCCAAAACCTTTGCTTTTGCAAGTAATGACTGACATTCTGCCCTTCCCGCCGCCTAACAGATCGGATTGGTGTATACGGAAAGAAACTAATCCGTTTCCCTTTACTATGACATGTCTGTTCATGGGGTATTCGTTCAAGGAGGACGGTTATTCGACTTCCTCTTGTTCTCCGCAAACTTTCAATATGGAATTCGATAAAGCCGACAATAATGAAGGTATCACTGTTTTGGATATAACAGACATCGACAAAATCCGCTATTGTTTCGTCAATATTCATTCCAAATCGAACCCTAGAGTGTGGGAAATGATTAAGAATTCTGGGGTTCCGAGTATGATTCCTCTGACTGCCACTGAGTATATGGGGGCCTACGGCCACGAACAGGAGCACTTCGAAGAAGCTTGGAAAGAATGGATTCATCATTTGAGCAAACCAGGTCTTATTGACAGTTGGGCACTAAACAGCGTCTGGCCAAGGAAAACATGGCAGATGCGTGTTGGTGCAGAGATTGCACTGCTCTTGGACTCTGGTCAAGGTCTGTCTTCCCCCTACAACTTACAAAGTTTGCAAGGTTTAAATTCATATCAGAGCCAATCAACGTCTTGCCAGTTTTTTCTCCGCCATTGACACTACGCAAAGCTTGCATGGAAAAGTTCTTGAAGGAGATTTTCAATTGTCCAATCAGGGAGCTGCCTGCCAAAATTAAACGTGCGACGCTCCTGCCTGATTTCCGACTTGCCTTGAAATCAACCATATTCGCGACACCGACGATTCTTGCAAGTTCTGCTGCTGCACGATATCTTTTCAGTCAAATACTAGAAACTGAAAAAAGCATTGACTTGGGTCCGTTCGATCTATTGCCTGATCATATAATAGAGGTACTGAAGCAGCCCAGGAAAGCTGGGGTGTTGAGGATCTTAAGTCTTTGTGGCAATCAAAAGATAAATGATGCCTCTCTAGTCAAGCTAATCAATGACTTTCCGAGTCTTCGATCTTTGTATTTACTGGATACCCCTCAGATTCCACTCGCGACAAAGATGAAGATACTTAGAGACCAAGCATTGAGAGAATTTTCGACACAGACCTGTATGCACTGCCATTCGCATGTCGCGAAAATTCTACAACGATCAATACTCTCGTAGATACAATGATGAGCCCATTCTAGCGCTCGATTCAAATCTCGGTCCCGACAATGAAGAAGCAAGTCGAGCTAACGATATCAGTGAAAGATCCCAGAGCTTCATGAATGATATGAGCAAATTCTACTATCTTCTCGAAGACGGAATGCCACCATTTTTCGATTTGGGTTATATTACGCCTTTGGTCGAGCAGATGATATATATTACCTGTGGTGAGACTGACGAAAATAGCATACGCGATAGTGAAGGTGGCCTTGACATACTTGATCGATTTCGGAAAAATTGGTCGTCGCACTCAGAGGTTGATGATCCTGGGTATCAGGCTATGCCGTTGAAAGAGGCGAACCGACACCCTTCCCAACTTGTCCAGAGCTTAGCCCGATTCATCGGGGTTTCTTTCAGCGAGAGATACGTGTGGTTCTCAGACTTGAGAAAGACTCTGGTGAAGATCCTCGTCATGGAACCAATCGACGATATCGGCCCAGGATATCAAGTTTTACCACTCTGCGCAGGTCTTTATAGCGACGATATGGGCATTGGTGATTCAAAGAGCAATGGAATCTTTCAAGTAAGTAGAGAGATTATTCCGAATGAGTGGACCTTTGTCATGATTGTTGAACATGAATCCTACAAGCTCAAAGAGAAAGAAAAAGAAGAAATTAAGACTCGGTCTCTTGCCTGCTGTGCTTTTGTATCGGCTGAGCGTAATCCCGCTAGCTCAGCATCGGGTGATATACTTTCAACCCTGATTGTAACCGATGTCAAACAGTTTTTGGAGAGCAATTTTGCCAACCACGGCCAGGAATGGCTTAAAGGGATTCTAGAGTGGTGGGATGACCTGCTTGCCAATCGCTAGAACTATCCCTTAAAGTTCTGCGGCAGGAAAGAGATCGAGTCTGTCATCAGATCCATAAAGTTAACTCCAGTCGCCGAACACTCAAACACCGCATACGAGATTGGACTGGAGCAGGACAAGAGTTTTATCAATTGTATGAAAAAGAACATAGATCACAACTGAGTTCTATGTTCAGAACTGGAATGTCGATATGCTTGAGCTTTTGTCCAGTCATGACAGTAGTCTCTTCCGAATCTCGCGAGCCTTCCTACTTCAGAGTCCATCTCCACCCCACTTTGCCCCCAGGCATTCCATTTTTCCCTTGCGCTTGCAAAAGTTGTTCTTTTATTCACCTCTCTATCTTATCCTCTTTCTTTTAACAACGGTAGTTAATTCGGCTACATTTATCGTGAAACACAAGTCTTGTCCTCTATGCATACTAGCTAGTATGTAAGTCCACCGTATTATCAGTCGATGTCTCTTTACAGCACTATTGGCAAGGAAATTTGGGGGGAAATTATTAGGATGTACTGGTGTCTCAAGTCTGGTATTTGGATTGGGGTTTGTTGATCTTGGGACGAATCCAAGTCAGTTTGTTATAATCGATGGAGAAACTGCGAGGCTTCAATAAGTGAAATTCATAATAATATTGATAACTTTCGAAGCATCTCGACTAGACTCAAAAGAGTCTACTTCATCAGTGAAGAAACCCCCTTCTCAGTGAATCTAATCATCACTCCTCCAACAGCAAAACGACGAAGTAACTCTGAAAGCCCTACATACAATATAAATTCATGCACTTAGGTTTAAACCCTCATCAAACACTTACCAAGTGCCTCTCTCGCCCCTCACCACACACGCCACCGCTCCATTATAATGCGGATCCCATCCACGCACAGACATACTCTGCATAAAACTTTTCCACCTCTCCCCTCCTCTCTCCAGTTTCTCAAATTCAAAAACCTCTAAATGAATATTGTAAAGCCCTCCCTTCTACTAACCTATATCATCTATCAATCTCTCCTCCTCCCAAAAAAAAGACTGAGGGCAACAAAAACGAAAACAAATTTCCGAATCCGGGAATCGAACCCGGGGCTACTCGGCTCCAGATAGCATGAGTTGATGATCATGTGATGATGAAAGCGAGTTATGTTAACCCCTACACTAATTCGGATGATTATTCGATAGGAGGGGCAAGAGTTTTGAGGTTATGTAGTATTAATCTGTGGGCGATTTTCGGATTATTTTTTGGGAGGCGAGGGACTAGGTATCGGGGAGGGGTATGTGTGTGTATTGTATGGTATTGTACGGTATGGTATTTGTGCATGGATGGAGTGAAGGAGGAACTCTGTTATGGGGGAGACATGATATTTCATTGTGGTTCAGTTGTGTGAGCAAAAATATTTCATCAGAATTTTACTGTATAAACATTTTTACTATGAGTTGCACATTCATCGACCAAGCAATTGCATGCACTCCAGCAAATGACTTCCATCAAGATCTTTACAATGTTCATAAATGAATACAATTCTCCAATAATGTACAATAGATGACACTCAATCTTATCCTTAATACAAGACAAAAGCTAAATAAATATATATAAACCCCTCCAACAACTACCCTCTATCAGATATTCGTCCTCTTCTTAATTCCCACCATACACTCCAGCGGTTTTCTCAAAAATCCCTCTCTCGTCTCCAATACATCCTGATACAGATCAAATTCATATCTCCTGAATGTCGTCGCGACAATAAGTGCCAATTCCATCTCCGCCACGTTTCTCCCGACACAACTTCTGGGTCCATAACTGAATGGGATGAAAGCATTCTTTTGTCTCTCTGTCAAATTGTTCCATCTGTCTGGTACAAATTCATCTGCATCATTACCCCAGATTTCTTTAGAATGATGGATTGTGTAAGCGGGTACGGAAAGGACAGTGTAGCCGGGGAAGAATTTTCCACATACTTCTGCTCCTTCAGGTGGGACGATACGTGGGAGACCGAGAGAAGAGGTAGAGTGAATGCGGAGGGTTTCCTGGATGACATTATTCATGTATTTCAAATCCTTTACCATATCGAAAGTGGGAACATAGATGCCTGCGGGAATCGCATCATCTAATTCCTTTTGAAGTTTTTGAAGGACTCCTGGAGTTTTGCAAATCCAGTAGAGAATTGCACAGGATGTGTTAGATGTAGTATCTGAGCCGGCGATGAGTTGAGTAAGAGCCTCTGCGGTTAATTCTGCGCGGCTAAGTTTGGCACCCGTCTCGTCTTTTCCTTCCATAAGTCTTGCGAGGAGATCAACGCGACCATCTTCTTTATCACGATCAAGACGTTGGCTCACGCGAGCAACAGCAATACCAGCTAAGTTTTCTACTGCGGCAAGACCTTGACTAAAGAAAGGATCGGGGAGGTATTTGGCGTATGGCTTCAGTTGTGGTAGACAGCCTAGTGTACCGGAAACTTCGCCTCGACGATTCAAAACCTCGACAGCGGGGGCATAAGTAACAGGTGCATCGGGTGTTTTTCTGATTTCCGTGATATCCTTTCCTTTTTCGAGCATGCCGAATGGAGCTCCGAATGCAAGGTCGCCAATAATATCGAAAGCGAGATAGTTGAACCACTACAAAAGCAAACTTGTTAGTAAATTGCAATGCAGCCTAGATTTCGAGTTTGGTCATACGTGAAGACAGTCAATTTTTGCAAATTGGCCATGAGCATTATCTGACAATGCATCCCATCGATTCACAAACAGATCCAAATTTCCATGCATATATTGTTCGAATTGACCAATACTCTTTGTAGAAAAAGTGTGCGAAATAGTCTTGCGCTTTCTCGTATGTTCGGCACGATCTCGAGTATTAAATAGACCTCTCTGAATAGAGACAAAAGCATCATAGTATTCTCTACCAAGAACCAAATTAGCAATTGAAATTTTCACAGCTCACTCAGCAACTTACGACTTCAAGAATCCATTGCCATGACCATAAACCTGCTGGATCGCAGCATCATCTGCGATACTGACATGATCCGGTTGGATCCTAACCATCTTTCCATATTTGGCATGCGCATCATGAACACTCAAATATCGATATCCCAATCGCGCTTGTAGCAGTAGCCATAGTCTTGTGAATTTCGCTGCGAAGGGTCCGGGGATATCTCGAATAGCTGTGTTGGATGTGAAATACGGAACAGCAAAGAAGAGCACCAATGCGATTGGAATCGTATAAGGCGTGAGAAGAAAATCGACAACGGCCATGGTGTACTAGAGCGATGATCAATTACCGGTTCTTTTGCCGGGAGGATGTGCTGCAGGGTCCGATGCAAGATTTGAACACCGGGGGGGAATGATAACAATAGCTTGAGGGGTATCTCGCAACACCAAAAAGACTTTTGCTTGTTTGTGCCTCAATTGAAGAATGAATACAACTTCAACATAAGATATTCAGCGACATCGAGTTTAATTATAGTTGAAGCCTCAAAACTGCCGATCATGAAATCCGTCTTCACCCCGCAAATTTGATTCTGGCACATCCGCATCCCCATGTTCTCGGGTCCATGCTAAACCTGGCAAGTCGACTCATGCAGCCAATAATGAGGGGGCATAAGTCATCAGCCGGCGAACTCTCGGGATCTCTATACTTATTTTGCTTCAAGTGGATGTCCAAAACTAGTATTTGACCATGAAGTTGCTCTTTATAACTCCCTTTCCTCGAAGCCGGAAGGGTTTGCGTTGCATGGCAATCTTATGTGGAACTCCTTTTGTCAAATTAAGGAAGTTGAAGGTTATATTGGACGGATAAGACTGGGAATCTATCTCTATTTTTCTATATGCATTGCCGCTTGCATTGAAGTTTGGAACTTTGCGATACGATCGAACACATATATCGACTTCTATGTATCCGACCATGTTCCGTTATTGCCGCCGTGTACGAACTTGTATGTCACATTACATTGCATTGTCATTAAAGTTTTTCCCTTCTGCTGTCAACAGCCTGTCTAAGCTTGGCAATAACTTCGGATGGGTCTCTGGCTCCAAAAACAGCACTACCCGCAACAATCACATTGGCGCCAGCATCTGCGGCCTGATCAATTGTTCCAGGACCCAATCCACCATCAACTTCGATATTGAGGTCTGGGTATCGTTTTCTGAGTTCAGCGACCTTGGGTAATTCAGATGCCATAAACTTTTGTCCGCCAAACCCAGGGTGGACGGTCATGATCAATACCATCTACAATTATCAGCGATTTGTTCTCTTATGTTTGTGTCATGAAAATGCTCACATCTGGTCTTTCCTTTTCTTCGGGGTTCTCGAGAATATCCCATAGCACGTCAACCTTGGTATCTGGTTTGATCGCTATTCCTGCCAACATTCCATTGTCATGGATATATCTGATTAATTCTTTTGGGTTTGTCTTCGATTCGCTCGTTGATTCCGGACTTTCTGCTGCAGTGCTCGAGATTGCAGCTTCGTAGTGAAAGCAGTAAAGATCGCATCCGGCCTTTTGAAATTCCTTTACCCATTTCTTTGGCTCAGCAATCATCATATGACAGTCGAATGTTCCCTTTCCATGTTTAGCCGTTGGTCGATCGACATGGCTTCTGATTTTTGTGACGACAGGTGCTCCAAAAGTAATGTTTGGCACAAAGTGCCCATCCATGATATCTACCTGCAAATCACAAAAGCACCGATTAGCATGATTTCAACATTGTGGACCGATATTCATTTACATGGAGCCAATCTGCTCCTTGACCGATTGTATCAGAGCATGCTTTGCCTAATTCTGCAAAATCTGCAGATAAAATAGATGGAGCAATAATAGCTGGAGGTGACATTTTGATATTAATCTTTCGGCAGATATGCTGACGGAAAGAGTTAGAAATTAGAAATAAGTCTTGCAGATTTGGATCCTGAAAGTACGTCAGACAAAGTTGTATTTATGGTGGGGGAATCTGTTTTATTCGTACTCGTCCCCCCTCAGCGAGAGCTTACCTCAATACCAAAGCAAAAAGCAACTGATATATCAGGCATTAAATCGGGCATGAAATCAGGCATGAAATCAGGCATATAATAACATTTTTTAAAACATGCCATCATCAATCCATCATCAACCCACAAATCATGCGCTAAGATAAGAGATAAGAAATGCGGGGAAATTAAATTAAGCAATAGAGGCAATTCGTGTGTCACCTGGGCACCAAATATAAACATTCGAAATTCCGATTACCGGTCAAAAAAACCTTATAAAATACACCAAATCCTATATAAATCTTGATTTCATACGTCTAGACTCCGAGTGATTACTTGTGTATCTTATATTCCTCACATTTCGGGGAATACAAATTGTCAATACAACCTCAATAACCTCATGTTTGTGTGGACATGTTGTGATTGATCATATATTCATTACCGATCCATTAAACAACCCGACAAAAGTACCTCGAGGTAGTGAAAGATCGTGGCCACTCAGTCGTACAATGTGATCGCGGATGAGGGCATAAATTGCTCAACCGTCTCTTCATCCAGGTCATTTTGAAAAGTCTTGAAGCTTCCGGACCGTTGTCGGCCTCTTCATTGTAGGGAGTCCTACTGAGTCCTACCAGAAACCTCTTTCTTTACTTATTTAAAGGCTCCCGCTAGTCTTCTTGATAATCGTTTGATTCATCGATCATGATGGCTGCCGCTCCAATGCTTCTATACTATCAATACCCAGCTGACCTCACTGCCCCTGGTCAACGTTACAATTCCGCTACATATCCTTCCGCCAGTATCTATGAGTAAGCGCTCACTTCCATTCTCCTTCATAATTTGTCTCACTAGAGACACAATCTTCACTACTCATCTTCAATATCGTCATGAATCAGAACTTCTTTGAGTCCACTGCATACCTCTCCAATGCGAATCTTCAAACTCCCTTCCCTCTTTCGCATTCTTCATCTTCCAAACTAACAACATCTCCCCATCACTAGCTCCGACAACGAGCCTCTTCTCCCCCGTTCCCATCGTCTTTCCGCCCTCGCAACTTCTCCTTATACCGCACATACCTACTCTGAACATATGTATGCGGCCCCCTCCTTTCACAACACCCCTATAAGCGAAGACTCTATCATCCCCGCCATCGTCGTCGATGTTATCCCCGCCGAAAGACGTGATTCTTCTGGCTCAGACAGCAGCCACAACGATACCATTCCACAGAAAAGTAAAGCAGGTTTAGTCTCAAGACTTGTGAAGAAGAAGAAAGACAAAAGTAGAAATGGAGATGATAAGGAAAAGAAATTGACAAAGGTAGTTTACATGCCGAGGAAAGAGTATGTTTTTCATTTCTTAAGTTATGCTTCTTTTCCTCTCGTGATTTCTAGAGCACGGATTTCGGACTATGAATCACGGATTGACAACTTCTACAAGGTATCTGAAACATTTTGCTCGAGGTCACAGTGGCGAATACATAGGCACCGAGCCTCATCGCCGCTGGTCTGAAGAAGAATTGGAGCAAACTTTTGGTAAATTCAGGCCACTGAAAAGAAGTAATGGGATGTTCTGGGGACGAGGTTGATATTTCTTTTGCACATATCCCTTTTTTTTTTGTTTATGTTTTTGAATCTTTGGTATCGGTGATCGGGAAGGGTCATAGAAAGGAAAACTTTCGTGCAACGAACGCGCCAATTGAATTAGCACGGAGTACTATACCTTCGACTTGAATTTTGGGATCTGCGACTGGATATTTCATATTAATGGGTGAGAGGCGAATCGAAAGTAGGAAAACAGTGGTTGATTATTAATGCTCGGTATTTCAAGGGATTTTGCTATCGAGTCTTTGCATTTGTTATATAGCATGCAAACGAGCGCAGTCAATTGTTTTCTAAGTGGATATATGTGCATATATCTATGCTTTCCCAAGAATCTCATCAAAAATGCCAATCAACCGGTTTACTTCTTCCACTAAAGCCACATATATTAGCATTACTGGTTGCCCCCAACCAAATCAAAAATCAAAAGAAAAGCAAGAACTCACAACTATTGTAATGCACGAAACTAACTCTCACCAGTCCCTGATCTCCGCACCCCAACACGTCTGTACACAACCGATTACTATAAAACATTCCCCATCTAATCCCCACCTCCCCCATACTCTTCTCGTCCACCTTTTCCACAAATTCCCGACTACCGAATCCTTCCACAAGAAAACTAATCGTACAAACCCTCTTTTTCGGATCCCAAGATTCTTCGCCAAAAACCTTGATATCAGACCTGGAAAGAAGATATTGCAGGAGAGTTTTCTGAAGCGATTCTTCATGGAGACAAATTGCTTCCCAAGATTGATTCTCAAAATACTCGATGACTTTTGGGATGGAGCCTGTGAGCTCGTAGTTTGAGCCTGCAAGAGCGAGTTTGTCGGCGAGGGTTTTGCTCGGATTGAAAAAGTGGCCGAGGGTTTTGAGGGAGGAGAGGGCGGAGGGAGAGGCGTAGAGGAGGGAAATGTGGGGGCCGTAGAGTTTGTACCAGCTGAAGGCGTAGAAGTCTACGCCGAGGGCTTGGACGTCGAGAGGACGGTGGGGAGAGTAGGCTACGCCGTCCACGCAGAGGAGTGCGCCTGGAATGGTGTGCACGATGTCGGAGACTGGGGGAGAATTTAGTGAGAAGAAATAGGGAGTTGGGAGGACTTGGCGAGGGAATAGGGTTGGATTGGGGTTATATGATCAATTCGAGATTGGTTTTAGAATGTAGTATGCTGTGTGAAAGAATAAGATTGCTTACTGCCACGAATGTCATGGATGGTGCCGAGAATGTTGGAGGCGTGAGTGAGAGTTACAAGAGCGGTCTTGGGGGAGAGAAGGGGGCGACTAGAATGCGGATCAATCAGCTGTCTAGTCAGGATGGACTACAATGAAATTGTACGCCTATGGCGTCTATCGCGCAGCGAAAGAAGTTCATCGGGCGGTACAGAATATGCAGCCAAGGTAAAACCTTTGAAAATACGAAACCAAAGGAGGATTAAACACACAGTGATTCAGGAGTCAGAATTGGGTTGCTTGACGTAGGTGGAGTCCACCATTTGATAGTAAACTTTTGAGATTCAGCGAGAGCGACCCAGGAGGCAATGTTTGATTCATGGTCAATGGATGATATGATCAACTCAGAATCCGGTGGAAAGTCAAAAGCTTGAGAAAGGTTTCGGAAATTCTGAGTTGTGCTTGAACCGAGGACTAAGAGGTAAAGTCAAAGATAAGATCATTCAACGGGTGAGGAATCGAGGAACACGAAATTACCAATATTGGATGGAGGTGCATTGATGTATTTTGCCGCTGCTTCATATCCTGCAGAGTAACTTGTATTTGCTTTCTTGCCCACATTGTACGAACCACCGAGTTGAACATTGGAATTGATGAGGTAATCGTAGATACTTTATATGTGTAAGATTATCTGTCGTACATCTCATAGAACAAGGCAATGTAGTAGAGAGGTGCACTATACCTATCTATGACAGTCCCTAGGGTTTGACTACCACCAGCATTGTCAAAATACACTTGCTTCTTGTCCAGTGATGGGAAGCACTTTCTTGTAGCTGTGATATCGAAGGAGCTCATTGTCGTTGTGTTATGGTTTGAAAGGTTGATCTTGTAGGTGTAACAGTACTGAATCAGAATAACAAGAAGGTTGTTGACTGTCCTTATTACTTCATGATAACATGGTTATCATCGGCATGGATAGCAACGTGGGGTTGAGGGGCCGTAATCAAGTATTGCCCAATAGAGCTTCCTCTTCAGACATAGCGGACGAAAATAACCCGAATGCAGTCTCGAGGCACTTGCGCTTCCACACTGACCAATCTATCAAAATCGTTGAATCTCGCAAGCCAATTGACGTGAGGTATCTTCTCACTGCTTTTCCTGACACAATGCAGGAGGAGTATTGATGGACGTATTGATACCGGTATCCAATCTCAAACTTGAGACTCATCTCATCTCAAGAAGACGTTCCTGCAATGCATCCACAGCGCGTAGATTCATATCTTTATATAGTAAATACATATGATCAAAATACGCATTCCATATGTACCAGTGAAGTTGTGCAAGTGCCAAAACTCGTTTTCCTAAATCCAACCTCAGCGCGTCGAGTCGATGGCTCCACAAAAAAAGAGATTCACCGCCCTGGCAAAATCGTCATTGGAGAAGCAAGCTTCAGACTTATTATGAACTGATAATCCCGAAAATCTTTCAATTTTCCCAATCGTGAATTGTTACTTTCAATCATCTCACCAACACATTATTACAATATTCAATATGAAGCGCAAGGCAGATACTCAAGCTAATGGCCAGAATGGCAAGAGTATCTTGAAGAAACGTGCAAAGAAGGGTATGTAGTTCGTCAACTATTCTTCGTCTGCCACACAAACTGACCCAATCTTATTGTAATAGCATTGTCGGATGAAGATGCAAGGAAGTCTTTCAGAAAAGGTCTCTTCGACAAGGAGGTCCTCAAGAAATATACCAAAGATTATGCCAACTCGGAACCATATAAACATCAAGTTATCAGCCCATTAATCGACGATGATCTGCTCCGCGCCGTTCGCAAAGAAATTCGAGAAAATGTGCATTTCACACCCAAGGAAACGGATATCTATAAAATCCATCAATCTGGAGACCTGGCAAATTTGGATGGGTTGGATGATACCGCGCTGGAGAAATTGCCTTCTTTACTCAGACTACGAGATGCATTGTACTCGTCTTCGTTTCGAAAATATGTTGCAAAGATTACAGGCTCTGGAGAATTGAGCGGAAGGAAAACGGATATGGCTATCAATGTTTATACTCCAGGTTGCCATCTCTTGTGTCACGACGATGTGATTGGGAGTCGGAAAGTCAGCTACATTTTGTATTTAACTGACCCGGATGTGGCTTGGAAGGAAGAATGGGGTGGAGCTTTGAGGTTGTTCCCTACCAAAGAGTTTGAGGATGATGGTGTGACGACTATTACTCCTAGTCCTGACACCTCGAAGATTATTCCACCGGCATGGAATCAATTGAGTTTTTTTGCTGTTCAGCCAGGTCAGAGTTTCCACGATGTTGAAGAGGTATATCATGCAGTAAACAAAGAAGAATTGGAAAAAGATGGTGGTAGAGTTAGGATGGCTGTTAGTGGATGGTTCCATATTCCACAAATTGGGGAAGAAGGATACGTTGAGGGAGCTGAGGAGAAATGGGGAAAGAATAGCAGTTTGATGCAATTGCAGGGCAATCCAGATAAATATGACTTCCCGAAGGAAGAGCCAATTACTGTGACGGAATCTACGGCTGAAGACGCTGATGAGAATGGTCTTGAAGAGGCAGATTTAGACTTCTTACTCAAATACATGGCGCCCACCTACTTAACACCGGATACCTTGGAGCAAATTGCCGAACGCTTTGAGGAGGAGTCAAATGTTACTCTTGATGGTCTTCTATCTGTCAAATTTTCAACCAAAGTACGAGACCATGTCGAAGCGCAAGAAGCTGCAGGTCTACCAGATAGCAGTGCTGAAATCGAGAAAGGCTCTTGGAGGGTTGCTAAGCCACCTCACAAACATCGTTTCCTCTATCAAAAACCATCCAGCGAAGTTTCAGATGGTCAAAAGGAATTGAACCCGATAGAAGAAATTCTTAGTGTTCTACTTCCAAGCCCTCAATTCCGCAAATGGCTTGAGATTGCTACATCATGCCAAATTGAGAATTATGACCTTTTGGCACGTAGATTTCGCAAGGGTTCAGATTATGCTCTTGCAAAGAATTACGAAGGAGAGCCAAGATTAGAGGTTGACTTGGGGTTGACGCCTACAACTGGATGGGGCGACGATGATAATGATGACGAAGAAAATGAAGATAATGGGGATGAGGATGAGGAAGAGGAGAAGAAGGAGGAGCCTGAACCAAAATCCAAGAAGTCCATGGGCAAAGAAAAGTCAAATGGCAAGAAAAAGGCACCAGAGCCCAAAAAGGAACCTACACCAGAACCTGAGGAAGAAGATGATGTTGGAGGTCATTTGGTGTTCATGGCAGGCGATGATGAGAATGACGAGGATGCAGCAATTTACAAAGCTGCAGGAGAGGAAGAAGATGATGGAGTACTTTTCACAATGCCAGCTTCGTGGAATAAGATGAGCATTGTCTTGAGAGATAGCGGTGTGTTAAAATTTGTCAAATACGTTAGTAAAAACGCAAAAGGCGATCGATGGGACATTAGCGGTGCTTTCGGTGTTAAAGATGACGAGGATGAAGATGAGGAAGAAGAGGAAGATTCAGGAAAAGCATCACAGGAGTCTAAATTCTCATTGGACGATTCGGATGAAGAAGGCACCTTTAATGGATTCCCTGACTCGGACCCTGACAGCGATTCGGATTAGTTTAATAACGACTATACGACTGTTCATTTTATTTCTCTGGAAAAGAAATACCCATCACTGGTCTAGGCCACCACATCGTGGAATATTGCAGTCATATGTGGGGTCATATATGGATAATTGTACTCTACTGCGGATACAAGATTCGTGTCAACTTTAGCATTGATATTTTCAGCGTATCATATGAATGGAAATGTTGTCTCAACTTTTTTTGTTGCACGTCGAGGTGCATTTCGCATTCGTTTATTTGAGCTACGTGGAGTCTAATAACTCTTTATGGGAAGTGGCTAAGCTAGTATGTTCTAGGCTGGTGTAAACGCCAAAACAGGTGAGTTTTAGGTTTGATTGAGGGGGATGGTTCTTCAGCTGAGGGTATCTGCATGGGGATCTGTAAACTTTAAGATTTGTGCGAGCAGTTCATGCATGTTGAAGTTGGTATCCGTGAGTGGTGTGGTGAAGCACAGCATATTGTGCAATACTACAATTGCTCCTTTGCTAACAAGTGTACCTATTAGTTTTCACCTGCTAGGTATGCAAACAAAAGCAGGAGGAAAGTAAATGCCATCTTCCTTTTTTTGCCTTACATCCCCATCCTCATTCTACCTTCCTTACATATTCATACCCACACCGTTTTTAATGCATACCCACTACCATTAGCATTTTTACGAATATCTTCATTTACCCTTCCCATTTTATTTCGTCACTAGCAAAATATATATCCAATCAAAATCGTCAAATTTAGCGAATGCGAAGGAGCCGGCGATGTCCTAATTTAGTCGTTTATGACCAAACATCACGTGAAGACGACGAGGACACAATTGTTTTGTTGCATATCGGTTACACGAACGAGAATGAGCGAAATTTGATCGACACACACAAGTGAAGATGGGAAATGTGGAAAAGTGGAGATTATAGAGAGACTAGGCTAAAATGAGTGTGGTTTGGAAAGTGTCACGTCCGAGGTGTTATTTCCCGGTGGACGAGGGGAACTGGGAATTTTCCAAGAGGATGAAGGGATTTGTTTTTTTGTTATACTTCAGAGGACGGCTAGGTAAGATGTGATGGGTGTTTGTTTACATTCCGTTCTCAAAACAAGAAGACTGTAATTGAGGTTATAAGGTTATGGACGAGAGGCGTTGACATTTTGGCCACTTCAACAATTTACACATATGCAAATTCCATGGTAACATCGCTCTAACATAATAAGATTCTACGACTTGCAATGTGGATTTGACCACCGGGGGATATCTTACAGCCCTAGGGACTTTTTCCAAATTCATAGAAATGCAATGAGTGTACCAGGAGCGGCAGCGAGAACGGGAACGGACCCAATATTCATTCCTGTTCCGCTCATGAAGGGTTTTATGTTCACATCGCCTCCGCTTCGCATTCGGTTTCGTCTGACGTTTCTTACTCCGTCCGCGTGGTGAGGTTGTACACGATGATGAAGATTAGGTGAGAAGTGGAGGTGAATAGTTTGCGGGAGAGGGAAGGATTCGTTGTGCGTGGAATTTACGCATCTGCGAGATGATAATTGATGCAAGGACGTCCGATTGTGGCTTTTATTTGTCGTATAAAAATCATATAAGAGAGCATTGTTTTTCTTTTCTTTCTGTTGTCTGAAACTGTTGTTTTTTGTTCTCTTTATCTTGTTGTTTTTTGTATACTTTTTATCTTTTTGATGTCGAAAAATACCGAAGCTTTAAGGGACAATGATGATATCATATTTCAGCGGGGCAGCTTCGTTTCTGATGGTATGGATAGTATATGCGTGGGCTAAGAACGAAGTGACTTGGATGAGATTGAGGAGGTTTGGGAGGAAGCATGGATGTGAAGAACCGAAAGTGTTGAAAAATGAATTGCCTGGGGGAATAGAAAGATATTGGGGGATGCTCAAGTTTAAGAAGGGTATGTATTTGTGGGCTTTTTTGTGGTTTGGGAAGCTATAGGTGATGAGATGGGGATGGAAGAGACTGGATTTATTTTACTTTGAAGTCAAAGTTTCTCTTGGTGGCATTGGGCGATATCTGTCAGTCATTCGGTCCATGGGGTGGGTATTTCAAGAAGTCTAGTTTCTTCTATACAATACGAACCTTTCATGGATCTCTCACACACTTCGTTTTCTTTCCATCAACCAGCTCACAACCCTAACCATACACAGGTATGGACATCCTCGAAGACCACATCCGCGCACGCTATCTCAAAATGGGCGTCGGCACCTACCGAATCTTCAACCCCTTCCACTCCCTAATATCAACCTCCGACCCCGAAAACATACAAGCGATCCTCGCCACCAACTTTACCGATTTCGAGCTCGGCCCCAGCAGAAGCCAAAACATGTTTGAGCTACTCGGCCATGGCATTTTCACTGCAGATGGCGAGGCATGGGCGCACTATCGTCAACAACTCAAGCCTCAATTTTCCAGAGATCAAATAAGCGATCTCGAAGCCGCAGATCACCATCTCCAGATTCTCTATCGAGCACTTCCTCGAACGAGTTCGGAGGAGGTGGATCTCCTTCCTCTTTTACTACGTTTCACAATGGACGTGAGCACGGAATTTCTCTTTGGAAAATCAGTCAATAGTCAAACGACCGCTCTGCAATCCATTGACTCGGATAATAAAACAGAATTGCAAGCTGAGGAGAAATTCGTACAAGCAATGTCTTATTCCCAAGAATATATCATCTTCCGCGTGCGACTCTTTAAATTCTGGTGGCTGGCGCGTTCGCAGAAGTTTCTGGATGCGTGCCAGATCTGTAAAGACTATTCCGCTGATTTCGTACAGAGGGCCCTTTCTTCTACTTCTCCCAAGTCCTCTTCACCTGTGTCTCCATCCCCTAAACCTTCCTCACCCGAATCCACCCCCAACCAAAAAGAAAAATACATCCTCCTCAACGCTCTCACCGTCCAAACCCGCAACCCCACCGAACTCCGCGATCAAATGCTGCACCTTCTCCTCGCCGGCCGGGACACCACCGCCGCGCTCCTCGCCTGGACCCTCCTCCTCCTCTCCCGCAATCCCACACGCTACACCCACTGCCGTTCTATAATCCTCTCGCACTTCGGCCCTCTATCTTCTTCCTCCTCATTAACTTTCACCACCTTAAAAGCATGTAAACCACTAACCCACATTCTTTACGAAACTCTCCGGCTTTATCCTCTCGTTCCTATGAATTCTCGTGTCGCGATTCGCGATACCGTGTTACCGGTTGGTGGGGGGAGGAATGGGGGTAAGCCGGTGGTGGTTAGGAGGGGAGAGAGGGTTACGTATAGTACGTATGTGATGCATCGGAGGGAGGATATATGGGGGGAAGATGTGTTGGAGTGGAGACCTGAGAGGTGGGAGGGGAGAAAGTTGGGGTGGGAGTTTGGGGGGTTTAGTGGGGGGCCGAGAGTGTGTATTGGTCGTGAGTTTTGTTTTCTTTTTTGGTTGCTGTGTTTTGGGTTACGGGGATGATGCGGATTTCTGGACTGATTGTGGTTTATTGAGTTCGTTTGTACACGCATCTACATGAGAAGATTACGAGATGAATCACAACATGATAGCAAGCGCAAGATAAAGCAAGCGCAAAACAAAACAAAATCAAACAATCTACTAACACCCCACTCTCTCCCTCGCAGAACAATACGCACTCACCGAAGCCAGTTTCGTAATCACGCGTTTCCTCCAAAAATACGAGAAAATCGAAGCAGTTGATATGAGTGGAGAAGATGCGATGTTGGGGAAGAAATTAAGTTTGACTATGTCGCCTTATGAGGTGAGGGTTAGGTTGTTTGCTGCTGGGGAGTAGAGCTTTCTTGGACTTGGGGCTTGGAAGGAAGGGGGGAGATGAGTGGAGGGGAGGATGTTGATGGATGATAGGATAAGATTGATGGGGATTGAAAGGGAAAGAATGAATGAAGATGGACTGATATAGAAGAGAAGGGGGACATGTTAATGCAAAGAAGAGAATTTAATAATGAATTGATGAATGAATGTCCAAATTGTTATTTACGCTGATCGAGAGAATAAGAGTGTGTAGCTTAGCCAGCCATTTATATGAAACCAGCCGCACAACCCAAATCTAGTCAATATACAGAGAGAGAGACAGAGAAACCCAATGCTGCAATGCATCTGCTACCCGACCAAAACGCCACGCTATACCATCTCCAATCCTAAAATCCATTCATAACCTCGTATTCATAATGTCATATGTTCTAAACCGGTCCCAACCCAATGCCGAAATGTATAAGATGCAAAAAAAAGGAAAAAGAAACTCCTCCCGTGTGATATGTTTCTTATATGCTATTGAAGCTTATCTTGTTTCGAGTCTGCTCAATCTTTTTTACCAGTAGGCGTTTTTTTCTTCTTCGGTTGTGGTTCCACCTCGCCTATCTCAAGTGGTTTCTGCATCGCATATTTCTCCTTGATTCCATCTCCGTATTTGTGTGTCGTGCTCCAATCCGCATTAATAGTAGCCGGGATTCCTTGACTTGGTTTCCGGATTTGATCTGCGTGCAGCCTATCTAGACTCTCCCCCATAATTCCATATTTCGCCCAATTAACCGGTGGACAGCGTACTATGTTTTGAGGTGTTGGTAGGGTTTCCCACTTTGGATTGTTTGCCTGCGCTTCATTGGCCTGGCCTTCCTCAGACTCCTCATCCTCATCACTACTACTTTCCGTATCCACGACCATTCTTCCCCTCTTCCTCGCATTTTCTTCTCGCTCCCTCTGTTCCCCTTCCTTTAAACTTCCCACAAATCCCTCCGGATCCTCCATCGCCCTCTCTTTAATCCTCTGCAACGTAAGCATATCCCTCTTCGCATTTCTCATCTGCAACTGTAATATCGAAATCGCACTTTTCACAGCCAAAGCATCTGGATTCTCACTCAAATCAATCGTCTGCGGCGGCGGTTTCGGTTGCGGCATCGATACCTGTGGCGCTTGTTGTGTATGCGTATATGTTTCTCTGAGCGCATGAGCTTGCGCTTGCATAGCTGGATGGGTTGGCATTGGCTGCGGACTATTATTCTGAGCCGCAATCGTATTATTCATGATTGCGATATTCTTTCCTCCAACATGATTTCGTGGCGCGTAGCCTGATGATTGCGATTCCGATCTCGTCGATCCATTTTTCGCGGCGACTCCCAGGTTCGCATTCGCATTTACATTGGAGGTTGAGACGAGCCTCGCGGCCGATAATGTAGGAGTGATGGGCGAAACGGGAGGACGTTCCGGACTGGCGGATCTCGAATTGGATGATTTGTGAGTATGTGACGGAGGAGAAGTTCGTTGAATGGGGGTCTGAGTTGAAGTATAATTTGCCGGAGTGGGCGCTGCAGAGGAAGGAGATTTTGAAGTTGACGCTGTCGGATGAGGCATTTTAATCTTGAGGATGGGCATTGCGAATTGCTTGCGCCCGCGCGCGTTGGGAGATAATTGAGGCTGCGGAGTCGGATTACTTTTGTCCGTGATTTGGGGTTTGTTCCTTTCTAATAAATACGGGAGGTCGGGATATTTCGATGGAATGGAACTTTGAAGTTGTGTGGGGGCTCGAGGGGGGCAATGATTGGTGGGGTATCTGAATATGATTGGTTATGGTTATGATATGCTTGACTGAGATATTTAGTCTGAAATGTTGTGATTTATAATCGATCGATTGGGGTTGGGTTGAGTTGTTTTTGTTGAAAGAGGTTGGAAGTGGTAAAGTACTCGGTACGTGTTGGAACTTGGAACAAAAGATAGTACGGACGGAGTAGGTGGGTTGTAGGAAATAATCAGACTTTACCATATTTATTGGATCTTTTCATGAGTCAGGGGAAATGGGGTAAATATGGAAACAATAGATGATGAAATTACCTAAAGGTTATTCTTTTATTAGGTAGTATTTACGGTATTTATGGTATATCTCTCATCGCTTAATAAAGTGGTCCGGTGGAGGGAGATTCATATGTTTATGTCACTCCGTGGCTCTTGCTTAAGCTTGAGCTGTGCTGTCTTCAAGAGTAGCCCGCCAAGCAACCAAGCAGCTAGGGAGTTAGTTATCCATCTAGTATTCATTGCTATTCTATCCAATGAACAGCTCTTGATATGTACTACCTCCTGTATTCTAAAGTATATCACTGTCCATTAGCAAACCCGAATAAAGAGTGAAGTAAGTATACTACTGCTTACTTACCACTCAAACACTGTTGTTGCATTGAGCCTTCTTTCAAACAAATAATGTTCCAATAGTCATGTCGTCATAGCGGAAATTTGAAGATAACTAAAAATGTTTCCACAACTCTAACATTTGTCTCCAATCTCTTCGTTTTCTGATTTTCCTATCGTTATACAATGGATATCAGTCCTCTTGGAATTGCCAAGGCTGTTATTCCTAATTTACCTCTGGTATTGAAAACCGCTATTTTAGCATTGCTTTCTCGTTCCCCAAATGCTTCAGTCCAGGATGTCATCACTGAAGTCATAGTTGTGACTGCAAGACCTGTGCTTAACACTCCGGCAGCTATCCTGAAATCTCAAATTCAATCTCAAATAGACTGGGGAGTATGGGGACCAATGTGGATTGCCAAGTATACCATACCGAGACCTCAAGATGATTGTCATGACAACGAAAGAATTCATGGTGTTAAAAATGCTTTACTGAAAGCAATAAAAGAGCTTGGGACTGGAGATAATGTCTTCGTTCTACCAGAAACTGTCGATGTGCAAGCCGAGTGGACAGGCCATCGTAGTGGAGTCTCAAACTTTGCTCGCCGACCAGATATATCTGAGTGCAAACAGTATGAGATGATGATGAGAGAAGTGACTCTGAATAGTCCCACGATTCTTTATTTTCATGGAGGAGCTTTCTGGTAAGGAGATCATGATGTTGAATGTCTCAAACTGAACTCAACGTCTAGTCTCATGGATCCTGTTACTCACCGACCGACAACATCTGCGTTGGCTCAACGAACTGGTGGCCGTTGCTTTTCAGTTCGCTATCGACTGGCACCCCAAGATCCATTTCCATCGGCACTTTTGGATGCGTTCATCGCTTATCTATCATTGATCTCGCCTCCACCTGACTCTTTCCATGAACCTATTCCTCCCAAAAATATTATTTTCTCGGGTGATTCATCAGGGGCAGGATTAGCGACATCGCTTTTGCTATTATTAACAACTTTGAATCGTATGGGGATTGACCGTATTCATTTCCATGGCGTAAATGTGCCAATCACTGCGACCGAAGTTGCTGGTCTTGCCATTACTTCGCCTTGCTTGATATTTCCCGATCCCTCCCATCCGTATTGAGGAACATCCAGTACGATATGATAGCACCACCTTCATTAGATTACACAATGCCTCACCCCAGATTTCCTCACGATTCAGTCTGGCCAGCTCAATCACCTCGTGTTGAGACCTATTGCGAGTCATCAATGGTCACTCATCCTCTCGTCAGTCCACTTGCGGCTAACAGGGAGCACTGGCGCGGTGTAGCACCAGTCTACGTAAGTGTAGGTTGGGAGAGCATGCAAGATGAAGCAGAGGTTTTTGCGCGTAGACTACACGAGGCTGGGGGGACAGTCATATTCGACGGGTACATGGGTATGCCGCATTGCTTTGCTCTCATGCCGTGGAACAAGGCTGGAAGAACTGCTTTTGAAAATTGCGCGAGTTTTTGTGTAGAAGCGGTTCGAGGCAAAGTGAACAGCGGTAATTTCGGTTCATGGACAAATAAAGATGGAACTGTCGAGACGGTCGAGCTAGCGAAACTAGGAATGAGGAATAGTGAAAGGAAAGTGGACCTTGACGACGCCCTCGTAGATAAACTTCTGGAAAAGCAAAGAAGGTGGAGGGTCGAATTGGAAAAAAAATTAAGGAATTGTGAAAAGGGCGAAACAATAAAGATAAATTCAATCAGGAATGGCAAGTAACGCTAAGGATAGACAGTGCTGATTCGGTTTGAAGTGTACCATGCTTTTCATCGCTTCGGATAAGCTTAAGTCTCAACTGCTACTCCTCGTGCTGGCAATGAGTTAAGAATTCAAAGCAGGCTAGAAAGATGGATGAGATAGAAGATTGTATGTTGAATGCTCCATCTGGTTTGACTGCTTATTTCAGCAGACTTTACCTTTGTCACACAGAGATCTGCGAAGGGTCCTCGAACTAAATGGTGGGAGGTGTGGCACTTTGGCAAGATACAGATCTCGTGTGATATGAGTAACGATCGAGTCACGGGTCTCAAACACTGTGTCACTCTTATTTGATGAGTCGAATAGCGTCAATAAGAGCAAGCAACAATGATGATTCCTACAATATTCTCGAGGAGCATCATTTGATACATATTGTTCAAACTTACACCGGATCGTATTGTGTGCCTCGTGATATATATATTACAAGGTGGGTGTGTCTTGGGTAGAAGATGCCATTTTGACAACCACCATTAACCTCAGACCTCAACGGCGCCCCACTTCTAGAATACATTGCGAAGGTATAATCAAACTTAAAAAAAAAAGATCGAATTCTGATGAAGAATGGGGAAAACGCACGGCAAAATGCTGTATCATGGTGTGGAACTGATGCAATGCACGTAATAGATGAAATGCATATAATTGGAGAAGATAGAGGATGGGACCTGAAAAAAAAAGGAGACACGAGCCAAAACCCCCACTGACACTAAATCATTTGTAGTATAGCGTACCATGGCATGAGTTAATCCGTTCCGAAAGCCTCGAGGTATGTAACGACTGAAAGGAAAATGTCTGGAACTTTTCTTGTCATGACCTTATGAACCATCTTATGAGCCAACCATCCATCCATATAAATGAATGAAGATTGGTTAATATCCTCGATTGATCTACGGAATACTGGTGGGCCCTCGAAGGGCAGGCGAGTCTTGAGTACGGCTATGTAAGGTCATTGATATGATATGTTCATGTGTTTGTTGTGAGAGATGTTTACTGATGTTCGAGTACCTTAGAATACCTACGAACCATTCATTATCACCATAGTCAAGCTTCACTCTCTGCGAATATTATGAGGTTCCGTGAATATTAGAAGAATTTATGTTATTTTGTCATTCATTAAAGTCCCTTTCATCTGATCTTTATCCTTCATTTCGTCTCTGAGCTGGAGAAAGCGTCGGAACTTGATTATTGCCTCTTCTTTTCACCATTTGGACACCTTATACCATCCAAGAGACGAACTTCATTGCATGGCAGACAAAGATATTCAATATTGAAGATTTGAAAGACATAATTGTGTGGTTTACGCTGGTTTACATTAGATGATATACCCCTCTTAAAGTACCGTTGCCTGGCAAACATTCTCGGCATACTTCACCTATACTACCTACCATCATTGGACGATTGATTCATCTTATCCCCTTTCCCAAAGTTTGTCAAAAAACAACTTTGCTGCTGAATCAACCATTTTCTCCGCACTCTTTCCAAAATGGAGGAAAATGCAACCCAGCCCTGTAAAGATCCCTTCTTCATTCCTTCTACTTATCCTCCTCCTCCCAAGACTCCAGCATTTGTTTTTAGCTCAATTACTGATGATCCTGATTATGAAGCTACTCAACCTACCGACGAAGCAATTCGCTTTGCCAACAGAAATTCTGGTTTGACCGACGAAGATGCTTCAGATATTGTTTGCATTCTCCATCCTGATTCCGATCTGGCGCGTGAAGCTTGTGCCGAAATCAACAAATCACACCCCAAAAATACAATCAGCCTTGAAGGCGGTAATGCTTACTTGACAGCAGAAGGTCAAATTCCCTGCGACCTGGCACTTCGACTATCAGCCAATCTGAAAGACGAGAATTTGGGCTGGATTTTTGGTCGAAGTGAGGACCGATGCGACTTTATGATAAGAGATGGCACACCTCCTCAGATAAGCAATCAACACTTCCGTATTTACCTCAATGAACATGGCTTCCTCATGGTAGAAGATATGTCTACCAATGGTATCTCTGTTGATGGTACTATACTCCGACTCAAGAAGAAAAACAATGGAAAGCCCTATCGACAAACTATCGAAAATGGGACTATTTTATCCCTTGCTTTAAACAAGCCCATTGCCCTCAGTATCAATTTTGTTGTTCGGATACCCCGACGTAGTGATGAAGCTCAAGGCGCCTTTGAAACAAATTTCGCCGTTCACGTTCGTCGAATTCAAGAAAAGCAAATTCGGCGTCGTGTGGCGGGTGGTGTGGACAGACAGCCAGTAAGTGATTGTTCTGTTCTTAAAGAAAAGCACAACTACTAAAGATTTCAGCTTAATCTCTTCCCAAATGCTGCCAATCGAGGTAACGCAGAATCTTCATCGATGTTCAGAAAGCGCGAATGGAGAGGTGGTTCAAAGTATAACAAGCTCGACATGATTGGCAAAGGCGCTTTTGCTGTTGTCTATAGAGTGACTGACAAACGAACTGGAGTTCCATTCGCTGCCAAGGAGCTTGACAAGAAAAAGTTTTTGAAGAATGGGGCCAAAAATATTGATTCGGAGATCAAGATCATGAGCAAGATTCATCATGTGAGTTCATTCGTGTCCCTTTAATATTTCACGCACACGCTCACACGTTTCAGGATAATGTGGTTTCGTTTGTCGAATGTATCGACTGGGATGATTATCTATATATTATCATGGATTTCGTCCCCGAAGGAGACCTCACAACCCTCGTTACAATGTGCCATTTCATTCCGGAAAATGCAGTCAAGGATATGACCATTCAACTACTAAGCGCATTAAAATACCTTCATTCGATAAATGTCACCCATCGCGATATCAAGCCTGACAATATTCTATGTCAAAGGCGAAATCCACTCCATGTCAAACTGACCGATTTCGGTCTGTCGAAGATGATTGATACGGAAGATACATTTCTGCACACTTTCTGTGGCACATTACTATATTGTGCGCCAGAAGTTTACAACGAATATCCGCAATATGATCGTACGGGTCGAAGAACCAATCGACGCAGTGACGATTCCACAACACAACAGAGATATGATCACGCTGTCGACGTTTGGTCGCTAGCTGGAGTGCTTTTCTATTCATTTTGTGGAACCCCCCCATTTCCTGTTGGAGCTGCCTCTCATCATACGCAAATACTTCAAAGAATAATGACAGTGCCTTTGGACGTTAGGCCCTTGCAACTTTGTGGAGTATCACCTAATGCGATAAGGTTTGTTATAAAAATGCTTCACACCGATCCAGAGCATCGTGCAACTATCGAAGATCTAGAGCAAAGCCCTTGGTTGACAGGAAACGACCCAGATCTTGATGAAACAGAGGATGAAGAAGTTGGACAGCTCGAGGTACCCGCTTCTCAGTTGAGTTTGCTGGATGATCCCGAAAACGATGGTAAAGATGACGAGTTTGGTGAGGAGACGATTCAATTCCAACCTCGTGAGATGCCGGACAGCTTCAGTACTGATGACTCGGATGATGAGAGATCCTTGGAGCTTGCAAGCTCAATTCCGAGTGACTTTGGTGCGGGAACAGAATTCACAACCGCAGAACAAATCGAAGGAGATGAAAGCTATGAGTTCATCCGGAATCCTGCAAATACTGGTCGCTTATTTGGCGAAGTTAATGTAAATTCGTCTGCCTTGGGAAGTTCTGGGGCTGTTCCAGTGGATCTCCCAACCCCGATCCAGCACATTGGAAATAGCAAACATCAGCGGGTTTCGAAACAAGACGACACACTTCCAGTCCCAAAATTCAGGAGTCGTCTTGAAGCTGCGAGCGCCATGCCAAAGACACCGCTCCCACCTCCACCTCACCCTCGCTTTGTGACTCGAGCTGCGAAGCACTTCGAAAATGGAAATGCTCAAAATCACTCGAGCCTTTTGGGTGCTGTATCTCAACTAGGTCATCTGCAGATGAATTCTCCCTTGATTTCCCCAACCGAAATTATAACTCCCCATTTGTCAACTTTTTCGCATGCTCAGGCTGCGAATATTAGTCTTCGAAGACCTCGGGATGTTGGTGGCTGGCAACCTGAGGAGTTTCCACCACAAAAACGCCGAAAGTCTGCGCGAACAATTGATGTCATGGTACCCCCAGAAACATTTTGGAATCCCAGAGATAAGTCGACTCATCATGAACATTATCCACCGATGTCAGCGACGGATTGGAATCGATATGTTGAGCTTGCCAAATCCAAAGGAGAGAAGTTTCAGCATGGCTGTACAATATTTGAGAATGTGATGGTTAGTTTCAGAAGCAATAGCAAAACTCCTTCGATTGGTTCGAATGTGTCGTTTCGAGCTCAATCTGAACCTTTGGTTGAAGGAACAAAACGATGTTTACCATTGACACGCGATGAACGAAGGCTCAGTGACGACGCTTCTGTTCAACAGAGCATAGCTTCCAAGGAAAATTTGTCCATCGCCACCGATGCTCTTGTGCCTAAAGTAGCTCAGAACTCTGAACCTTCTTCACCAGTCAAGATAGGCGCGACAAATGATAATGAAATAATTTCTTCTATTGAAGCCGCGACGGAAGGTATATCAGCTATAATCCCAAACATCGATGCATCTGCAGCAGATGATTTTCAGGTCCCTAAGCGCGTGCTTGCCAAGTTTTCTGCAACTCCAGATTCTTGTTTACCAACCATTGCTTTCAACATTACGGAAGCATTCACATCTTGGGGCCGCGGCTTTTCCAACACTATCCGCTATGCAACTCGTGAAGATATCCGAATAGGTGTTCCCAGATACGCGTTCAAGCTGATACTATTCAAAAATGATTTTTATCACCCCGGTGAAAAGTATCCGGAAGTATGGAATAAGAGCCATAGTGAAGAAGAAGAGCAAGGCTTTAGATTCTTGATCTCTACCAAGTCCTCCGCGGGTCTGAAGATCAATGGTCAAAAACTTCCAAGTCATAACATCAGTGAGACATTGGCTGAGTCGAAATTTTGGGGAGAAATTCGTAATGGCGACATCATCACGATTAGTACGACAAAGAACATGTTCTTGAAACTCAAATTCGACTGTTTCTGGGGTATGGGTAAATATAATCGTCACGAGTCGAAATTCTTCCTGTACAAAGAAGAAGATCATATTACAAAGGTTGACAGAGTATGTACCATGCTCGAAAGTGCGTTTATTGAGGAGCGCACCAAAAAGATGATTGAGGAGCATAAACTGGCCAAGGAGATAAAACGTCAAAGGACGCAATCTGTAGACATCTGATCTCCATTGGTCTTTCGCAATGGAACTTCACAACAACACTTCCTTAGGGACACCCCGACGGGCCGACGGGATCATTTTCTAACACAACCTTTTGTACTCTTATGAACACGAGACCTATTTCTTCCTTTTGTACTATCATCTTTTACGTACACATACCACACGCGAATTCTCTATCTGCTTTCGCTTAGCTTTTCTTTTCTGATCTCTTTTTACTATTTGCTTGCTTCCTTGGCTGAATGGCTTTACTTCTCTGCTTCTTTACATACGAGCTAGTTTTTTCTTCTGATGGTGAGGTTTTGATGGGGTCAAGAATTTATTCAGGTGCTTTCAGAGAGTGGGTAGATAATTTAATATTATGATAGATGTATGGGAGGGATGAATGAATGATATTGGATAGAATGGATACCCGTCGGATTGCGGAGAGACAGTCAGATTGGGTTGGATTTGCAGGTTGCTAATATGAATGGGGACATGAATGATATGTACCGTGAGCGAACTCAGTACACTGTAGCAGAGAAAAATATAGTTTGGATTATTTGAGAAAATACAAAAACATATCAAATGAATGATTGATGTAGGTTATGAATTAGCTAGCTTCTTAGTATATTTAGTGATCCCTTTAGCTTTACCTCTAAGTTGACTAGATGGTTGGTAGTCGACGCTATCCATAAGTGCGGCCCTATTCCTCATTAGTTGTTAGCAGATGGGCTATTTGCTTACCGAGTCGACCCCCTATTTCTTACAACCTATATATAGCCTAGTAGACAGGTATGTACTACGATGTATTAAGTCAAAGTGTCTGACTAATATTCAAAACAAACAAACACTGGTAGATTTTTGATAGTTAATAGTGATATATTTACTGCGTGCAAGATATCATACGAGTATATTACATGGAAGTATGGATACGCCGAAATAAACCACCTTGTAATTAATTAATGACTAATTATACTCGAGCAACTTTTACGATGGGTAGGTAGGTAAGCTGGGAAATGATATTTGGTGAGTGGATGGATCGTGAGTGGAAAACTTTAATAGAGTATACTTGCCGCAAAATCGACTGGATTTCCGGGATCCGGGATGGGGTGGGTGGGAGTGAGTATGCTGGGGAGAGAAGAAGAGAAGGAAGGAGAGGAGGAAGAAGGGATGTGGAAATGTGTTTGGCTTGGTCACGAGGTCTGTTTGATTCGGATTTTGAGTGCAGGAGCTTGGGGTTCTGAAGTTGAAGATCGGGTTACTGTCTAAATAGGTAGGTCTAGCTGGCCTGCGGTCGAGGATTGTGTCGTGTGGAAATGATGTTGAGGTATATGTGAACGTAGGTGTACGGATGGGTAGGGAGATGGATATATCGGTATATCGAGTGGGGATTGGAGGGACTGTGGTGATGCTGGATACTTTGTGATATAACCTTATATGTGAGATTCTTATCTAGGCTCGCCAGTGTGAATAATTGATTAATTAGTGATTGAAATTTAGAGATGAGTTATTTCGTTGGATTGATTCATCTGATTTGATTCGATCTCATGTTATTGGATTGTTAGAGTATATATTGATTTGAATGTCGAATTTCTATCTCACTATGAAATCTCGGATTTCGGTGGAATATTTGCTAGTTGCTATTAGTTGTAGTATCTCAGTATCTCAGTGATCAAACTCCAAAGTCTTGAGCATTCCACTGTATACTCTACATTCTCATTCCCTCCCTCCAACTACAACTACAACTACCGAATATCAACAACTCTCAAGCTCTCTCCTAGATCTCTTAATATATTTATTACCTGGTAATTTTATATTTATATTATTCTCGAATCTGATGTTTAAGATTGAGATTTATTCATCCATCATTTATCCATCCATTCATACCATTGATTGGTTCGTTCGTTCATTCCAATAAAATTTATTATAGCGATTGTCTCTCACCAAGGATTCCCTGTTGGATCTTTCCACGTTCCCCATCCATAGACCCAGACATCTAAACGTGTGGAATGTGAAATACAAAGTTGGGAATTGTTTATTTATTTACTTCTTATTATTAAACTACGAGTTTATTTACATATTTACTAGGTACCTAGGTAATTACCTCTCGACTCGAGTATCAATCATCAAGTATCCAATATCATCAAACCACCCATCCATCTCTCCACACCCAACACTCCCCCCTCATATCCCTTTCTATATCCCTACAGATTCTCCATCTAACAATCTAGATCTTCCATGCTAGAAATATGCACTTTAGAACACACACTGACTTACCAACTCAACTCAAATATTACTCACACTCAAATTCAAACACATTACTTCTCCATATATTCATCCATCCACCCACCCATCCATCCATCCATTCATCCATCCATCCATCCATCCATCCATCCGTCAATCTACCCAATGAATCACCACCATCACCACCATCACCACCATCACCACCATCATCACCACCATCATCACCACCATCATCACCACCACCATCACCAACTCAATCATCAGTCATTTAGTCAAACATACGTGTACTTTCTTTCATTTACTTCATTTACTTCATAAACTCCATCCCATCCCATCCCAAAATCCCATCCCGTAACACAACCAGATGAGCCTCGACCCTGCCTGCATAGAGCATCCTGCACTCCGCCTTCTACCCTCTATATCTCATCGGATCCCAGATCTACACCCAGCGTACGTCGTACAAACCACTGTGCCAACAATCAATCAATCAATCAATCAATCAATCCAACCACGGAAACCCCCCTGTCTTACCATGCTATGATGTGCCCTACATCTGCATCTGCATCTGCGTCTGCATCTGTGGAAACGAGCATTCATCCATAAACATCCACACGCATCGCATCGCATCGTATCACATCACATGAGCACGAGGGAGATCTTAATACCAATGTCCATCCCAGTTTACAGATAGCTGTAGTGAAACTATTGTGTAAACTTACTTTTTGGGAGGCTCAACTATGTCATCTCGCAATTCCGGGTGAAATGTGGTCAGATTAATCAAAATTCACGAGTCATGATAAATGTCAAGGAAGTGAAAAATATGGGTGTATGAATGAATATTTCTATTCCATTAATTTATCGTCTTCGAAACCCATAGTCTCGAATCACAATTCAAATCTCTAACCGCTGTGTAGACTCTACTCCTCTGTCTCAAAACTTAATAGTCCGCTACTGAAGAAGAAAGACGAGAATAAACGCCTTCTAATCGCTTTGTCTTTTCGAACCGATCGTCCATGATATATTCTCAAAGTAAACGTAAGAATCAAGAATCCTCGTAACCGTACCCATTCATTCATGCTATCTTTCTTTCTTCACCAAGAAACCATCCCAAAAAAATTATACCTCCAAACCATCATCGTTCATGCGTAAAGTACATTATAGGAATTAAAATAAAACTTTCGACAATTTGAATTGAAATCGAAAGTAATCAGGTACGAAGTGAAAAATCATGCATCCATAACTTAAAAATTGGATTCTTAGTTAAGGGTGACGATGGCTGCAAATGCAAGGAAGATGAATGCGAGTGGGGAAGCAAACTCAGCAGCTGCTGAGGTTGGGGCGGAGGTTGATGTGGAAGTTCCACCGGTGGAGCTGGATGAAGCAGTTCTGGATGAGGATCCACCTATGATTTGTTAGTTATAGTTCATTGATCAGGACAATTCAAAGGAAACATACTGGTTCTTGAGGCAGAGCTAGACCCGCTGAGAGTGGTGCTGCTGTTGCCGCTAGCAGTAGTAGAAGAAGAAGCAGAAGTTGAGGTACCGTTTGAAGTAGAAGAGCCAGTAGAAGAGGCGGTTGAGGAACCAGTGGAAGAACTAGTGGAGGAACCAGTGGAAGATCCGGTAGAAGTACTAGAAGTAGACGATTCTGAAGCGGAAGATCCGGTAGAAGTACCAGTAGTGGAAGATCCTGAAGCGGAGGAAGCACTGGTAGAAGAAGCAGTTACAGTTGAAGCAGAGGCAGTAGCACCTGAAACTGGGAATTGTTGACTGTAGTTGGGTGTGCTGGTGGAATCTTGAATCTCAATGGCATAGAGATCGGAGTCAAGACTGGATGATGGAGTCCAGGAGTAGGACGTTCCGGTCAATCCACTTCCGATGGTGGAGACAGTGGTGAGAGCAGTAGATGGACCATTCTTGAGGATAAGAGTGACGGGTCCCTCGGCATCTGACCAAGTGATGTTGAAGGGACTTCCAGCGGTGACGGCGAAGTCGGAGTTGGTCAATTTGACAGCGCTGGCAAGAGTTGCTGCAGCAGCGGCGAGGAAAAGAGTGCTGAATTGCATTTTTATTATTGGGATATTCTTCAAGACGATTGATTGACTGTAAAGACTATACGCAGAGACCGGTCAGTTGTTGGTTATAAGGATTGACCAGGTTTATGATAAGGGCGGATTGGAAAGTATAGATGAAAGATTGAGTGATGGGGGTAGATATTTATTACTTACTTTGCGAGTGAATGAATGAACTTACGGAGTTTCCGAAAGATGAGATTATCTGATAATTTGATAAAGTTGTGTTGATGATTTGATGTTGTTGTTGATGAACGACAGTGAGTATCCAAGAAGGAATATGTGTATATATAATGAGAGGAAGTGATAAGGATGAAGATGAAGATGAAAGAATCAGGAAGGAGCAGAAAATGGATGGAAGATGGGTTGATTGCTCTTCTTATTGTCATGGGAATTTTGGAATTTTGGGGTAAGCAATTGGGACCGATGATAAATACTACTAACGGGTACTATGGTAGGCAGACAGGCGGGGCAGGGTTCTGTTTATTTGATGATCAACAGGGGAAAGGACAGGTTAACAAGGATAATAATGCTTATGCTCATTTCATTTGACGCCAATTTTCCACGCTAGGCTCTTATTTAGTCGTATCTCATACTATTAACGGTTTAGCCTCCTTTAATTGAGTTCTTTCTACATGGTTAAATGCATGAGGTCGATGGTTAGTGAAATTGAAAAAAATACGGGGAAAAAGTTGGTTCAGGGGGTTGTTGATCCAATTGAACCAATCATCCATTGACTTTCCGTTCCTTCTCTTCTTTTCTTTTCTTTTCTTCACTTCACTCTTTACCCTTCACTTGATTTACCCTTCACCTCAGTCTTCACTTTGAACTTCAGTCTCTACAATAAGGAAAGACCTCTCCAAGTCCATAAGTCCACAAGTCCACACATATTCCACTCCACTATACATGAGGAGACATTCAAGAAGATTGACATAACTACCAACTATCCCATCTAATTAGGCCTTTATTTTCCGATATATCGCATTCCTCCGCATTCCCAAGGAAATTTGTTGCAAGTTGGCAGAGGAAAATGTAAGATCGTGGCATTTGGTTGTCTTTTTTTCCGTCCACCAAGGAAATCCAGCTCCGAAAGAGGAGTAGTAAGTCACAACATCCATATCCATATTCATATTCATATTCATATTCATATTCATATCCATATCCATATCCAAAAATAACGTCGACACTTGGTCAATCCTTAGCAATCACTGGGGACTCTCATCTCGATTCTCGACCCGTCTCCATTCATTGACAAGTCGCCTAGATCGAAAGGGGTGCCCCTTTTATACTCCGTAGATAGATTCATTCAATACATCGTAATGATTCGATACTCGGCACCAAACCCTTTTCAAAGTCGAAAATATTATAGAAGTTTCAACTAACTAACCTCGCGGCACGAGATTGAAATAAGATGTGATATAAAGTTTGAGCGCTTTCCAAAAGGTTCCATGCGGTAATTTTTAGCTACCTATCATGATTCATTATTGAGGTTTCTTTCGTTCCTGTCTAGCAATAACTCAAGCCATAGCGGTTGTCCGGCGTATCACCAAAAGGCTTGATTATTGACATTGCTCCATTGCTCGAAGAGATGTGACAACAACATTCTTCAGCATCACCATCCAGACTTGCCAAAGAGGAAAATTGTTTTTGCGGAGTCTTTTCTTTCTCAAACATAGATCCATCAAACTCCGCATTGATTGCATCATCAACAAATTCAACACAGATCTTTGAGAGGTCCCTCTCGTGCTCATACACACTACTGTAACACATCCTCCGCACTGTGTCTTGCATCTACAATATCTACGAATGTCCATCAATGTTTCGGAAGAACGACTAGTTCTACATCAGTGGCGAATACGAGGTCTTGGAGCTTGAGCAATCATGCCAATAACTCACGTGATCGTAGAGCTGTACCCGGGTTGGCGTTGTTTGTTGATGGACTGGCTATATTTCTTCGTCGTAATGTCCACATTAGGGTTGGGTGAGTGAAAAGAGAAAAGTGTGTATCGACGAGGAAACTTAATTCAAGGTATCCGAGAAGCCTTCGCTCCTGTGAGATATCAGGAATGACGAATGATTTCAATTGGTGTTTCCAGTGAAATATCAGTACTGGGATACTGGTAGGAAATCAGCTGTCTGGCATTTGCCAAGATATTTGGGCATGTAAGATCTAGATGGTCGGAGGCCGACATTGTGAGATTGTAGTTACGGATAGCCTCATCGTTCTGGCAAGGAAAACAGTAGTAATGATTACTTTCGAGTCGAAGGACGAGTATTCAACACTAGTTGAAAATTCCATTCGAACTTATTCGCCGCGCCAAAGCTCATCAAGATAATCCAAAGACTGCGAGCTCAAGTGAACAGGTACAAAGGTATATTTTCCCAGTACTCAGAGCAAAGAAGCACTCAACGGGCAGAACAATTATCTATTCACCAAACATTTGAACGCATAACCAACTTTGGTGTATCTCAACGAAGAGTCCTTGTTGCGCAGCTTAAGTACCAAGCTGGTATCATGAACTGAGGCTCGATGTACGCAAACAAATTTCCAATAGATTTGAGCGTCCGCCTTTTTTTTATAAGTATCATTGTAAGATGCTTGGTGATTTTCACTCTGAGAGGTACCTCTTGGTATGTATATCCCACAAGTTATGGAAACTTCTCATTTGATGGCTACCTATGCGCGTGTGGATGAGAAACTCGAGGTGGTGGTGAGGTAAAGCATGGCACACACGAGAAAATGATCAAATATCGATTTCATTGCCCATGTCCTCCTCTATCATTCGTAAAGGTTTTTTGGAAGCTTAAGAGATAACGCAACAGTTGAACTTGTACTCCTAAATTGGGACATTGAATACCCAGTTTATAAGGCTTAAAACTTGCTTCAGTGTGATATCTCGTTGCGTAAAAGCTGGTTTGTGTTCGAATGCAGAAGGAAGATAGAAAGTATCTGTCTCCTAGTTGCATAATCTTATTTTCTTGCACCTTCATTCATTTCCATACAATAATCAAAACCAACGCAAGTTATCAATCGCGTTCTATTTGTTTACTTCACTAAAATTCTGAGTTCAACACTGACATCTCACAACATGAATCCCGAAATGGAGGATATCCATAATAACGTTGTAAGTGTTGCTAACGTAAAATACACATATTTGTTGTTACTTAATACATACTGCTTAGAGCCCGAGTCTTCATAAAGGATTGAAATATTATGACATGGGAAATGAAGGATTGGAGGGAGAGTTGATTGAAGGGCGGCCACAAATCCCTAACTTCAAAGCATTCAAGCTGGATACCTCTGAAGCCAAGGATAAAGAAGGTCGTCTCGCCAAAATCGAATTATGGGAGGAAAATATGAAGAGGAATAAAGCACGGAAGCAGCTCAATGGAAGCGTGGAAGGAGCGGCATGTACACGAAAGGTTCAAGCAGAATTGCCTCTTATTTCTTCCACACCTTCGCCGTCGCCCCAAGACTCAATAATGTATAATACTCGGCAGGAATCCGTGAGCTCGGAGATGAGTGGTTGGACAGAAGAAGAAAGAGAACAGGCTATCCATAATGGGATGTATGGGGACGCGTATGGAGATATATATGGCGATGTTTATTGGGATGCGAATGTGGATCTACACGAAGAGAATCCCGTTTCAGAAAGTCTCTCGCGTACAAGACGAAAAAAATCGAATCGAAGTAAACAAAGGAAGAAGGCTGCAGAACTTCAAGCTTCCCTACAAGCCTATGGATTACTTCCTGTTCCTCTTCCTCCGCAACCTTTACAGGAGCAATCTGATCGAACGGTTTCGCAGCGTGATGGCGCAGCTCTTCGCCCCAAGTCAAATAATAATTAACAGGGAGTAAGAGAGCAGGAAGTGGGGAGGCAGATGGCTATGGAGCGATCTAATTCTGGAGGGCTTACTCTACAGCACGATCGTCTGAAACAAATCGCTGATCTACGTGAGAGAATAAGGGCGCGCAAAGCTTTGGTGCAAGCACAGGGTCTTCTCCCTGTGTCCCCTTCTCGGCAAAATGTGCAAGAGGGCTCCATTCGAACCTTCCCGGACTCTAACACTATAACTAATGTCTCTGAATCTCATGACAATCAGGTCAATGAGAGACAGCTGAAACCTCTCGAGATGGTGGATATCGAGAATCTTAGGGTTGGAGCTAACCCGCAGAAGAAGGGTTCAAGTCAGCATAACACCAAGAGCCCAAAAACATATCAGGTCAGGTTACAAGAGCAGAGGAATAAAATGCGAGCAAAGACACAAAAGAGTGCATTGGATCGACAGAAATCGTATGGGATTGCAGCTACCCCTGCTCAGCCTACGCAAAACGATTCCATGATTGTTTGTAGAAGTCATGAAAACGATGCTGTGACTACGCTTCAGCAGGACAAAGATACTAAAGTGAAAAACGAGGTAGAACCGAGTACTTCAATAACAGATGAAATTAGAGTGTTAATACAGAGGGTGAAGGACCGAAGAAAAAGTCTATCAGCACTAAATAACTTTGAGTTGACGGGAAAGATGAAAGAAGAACAGGAACAAGGGCTTTCGGCTCCGGAACACATTGGATTATCGATAGAGAGTACCATTCCGATGAGTGTGCCCGCCAAGATGTGCGATGTCGCGGAGAAGATGAATTCGGATATAGTGCCAAGAAAAGCTGCGTTTTCAGAGGAAAGTTCATCATTGCACGCACATTCTGCTCCTCAGACGCCGTGGCAGGAAAATTCTTCTATATTCAGTAATGCAAGGCGAGAGGTGTCACAACTTGAGTGTGAGCAAGGGCATCACACGAAAGGGGCGGAAGACGGGGAACCACTTCCAATACTAATGGATAATGGATTCCTGCCGGAGAACGTGAATATGGAAATCGATCTTGTTATTGAACATAGAGACGAGGAGGACGTTGCAAAACTATTTTCAATACCTCAAAATATTGGAGATATGCTAGACAACGCGAGGCGGCGCGGCACAAAGATTGGAGAAGCAATGTAAGAGCCTTCACTAAGATCTGACGCCATGGTCGAGGATACATCAAAAGATGACTGGCCCAGCTCTATTCCGGAAATGCTATCACACCTTTTATTTATGCCGGAAGTCCTCGAAGAAATGATAAAAATGGAAAAGGAATGGTTGGGATGGCTAGGAGTAGATACTGATGTTGATGCCGACGTTGAAGATTTCATCAACTCAACGACACCCTCATCCAATACCACTATCGAGCACCGACCAGATTCAGAAGAGACCAGGCCGAGAGCCACCCCCGATATCTCAGCAGAGCTATTCAGTATATCAGAAGATATCGAAGATATGATAAGCACAGAAAATAAGTGGTTTGGCTGGCTGGGAATGGATGTTGATGTTGAAGATTTCGCGGGCTATCATGAGCTACAATAGATTGCAAAGTGAGGAACGTCAACGTCTTACATATCGTGAGATTTCCAGATCTCTTGGAAACGGGATGGATTGGGTTCCCGGAGTGCTAACACCGATATCGACGATTTCCATATATCTATATCTAATGGAGTTCGATTATAGGCTTTCTTACATTCTGTGGATGTTATGGAGATGTTGCACAGGTCTTGGAGCATGAAATTGAAGGAGATTGCATGGTGGTATAGAAGTCTTGCAAGAGACACGCACGGCTGTGATCAACTATACATATTCAATTTAGTATTGCCCAGGTTTCCTCGCACTATCTACAGGCAAAGCTCAGTCACACGATACAACACAAACATCGATCCTGGAAGCACATCATTTTAATCTTTTTTTATTGGGTTTTTCCTATTTATCTACTTTTCTACTTCACCTCATACCATAAATTTCCTTCCTAAACAAATCAGCAATTATTAAAATAACCCAAGTTATAATAGCCATCTGCTAGCAGTACTGCCTGCATGCATGTATTGTCGAAATCCCCAAGTCTGTGTATCATATCCATATTCCTATTCATGATCCCATGAGCGTATCCCATAGGTGTTTCTTAACCCCTTACGTATCCCAGAGTGTGTAAGCCAAGCAACGAAGCGAGTAAGTAAGTATTCCCATGAAGTAAAGTGTCCCCCACGCATCCCATCATATCCCCGATCAAAATCTCTCGTGGAATATTGCGTGATGAACGACGGCTTCGGGAAGTCTGTATTCTGTAGTGTTGGTACTGGTACTGTGTCCTTATGTATGTCTTGAGTGTGTGTATCCGCTCAATTTGATTGAGAGAGAGAAGATGAAATCAAGGAAAGAGATCAAACGAATCAACTCTGTCAGCTCCGTCAACTTCGTGTGTGAGGAGAAATTAGAAGATGAATGCAAATGGAATTCGACCACAGATGTAACTCCTTCAAAGCAGGCCTTCCTATCTCCATTCAAATTAGAACCTGAGCCGATGAAAATCAAACCAAAGAAATGAAAAGGAAACAAATTAAAGCAAAAAGAAATGAAAGAAAACTCGAGAGAGAGAATCAAAAGAATGTGAGCGATTGATTGATAGTGAACAATTACACATCCAAACGTCTTTTGTTTGTATATCTTTTGTGAACATGTGTATGCTTTGGTAGCATAGTATGAGTGATATTCGTACGCCGTTGACCAATTCCCAGTTTGCTGAACCATTTGTTTGTGTTGTAGTGTTTTGGAGTGAAAAGTGCTTAATCCATTGCTAAAGTAACATTGGAAGTAAGCGGGGGAAGAATTGCTGAAAAGAGCTTAAAGTTTGAGAGAAGAAAATGTAGGGATGGGTCCCCAGCTATCGTCATCATCATCATCATCAGCTTCCTTCTTATTCTTATTATTGCCATTGCCATTGCCATCAGTATTACCATCCCCTCCTGTACCGGTTTTGGACTTCGGTGTAGGAGTAGATGCAAAACCACCTCCGCTGAAATCCAAGGGATTGCATTTGACACTAGCGCCACCATTGTAGCCGCCTATATCCGGAAGGACGGTTTCGGTATCTGTTGGGCTTGACTAGAAACTGTTACTAGTAGCGCTATAGGATTGATCTGCATTAGCATCCCAAGATTGATTATTGGTATAGGTATTGCCACCATATGATTGCTCCGCATCATTATTGGTAGTCTCGGCCCAAGAATTCTCTCTAGATGGCTTAGGAGTAGCCGAATACTCAGGGTTTTCTTGAAAAGATACTCGGCGTCGAAGCTTGACACGATCAAGCACAGCGGTCTTAGAACGAGCTGTTCGGAGAGTGAGATCAGTAGCGTCGTCAACGATGGTAGCATTATCATCTTTGCCTGCAACGTTTCGAGTGCGATTACTAGCGTTGTGGTGATTTGTTTCGTTGGCAGCCACTGCTGCATTACCGTACTCAACATAGGCTGTATAGCTTCCAATTTGATCCCTGTACTTCTGGGAGGTAGAGCGGACAGCATGGCTCTTATCGTCGACTTTGGAATCTGGAATTTCAGCACGTTCATAACTACGACGGCTAGGTTCAATAACTGGCTTCTTTTTGAGAATTGCCTTTGTACTCGGGGCGGCGATAGTGGATTCAATTTCATTCCCACTGTCTGTAGTGTCGCGAATAGAAACTGGCTGAGAGACCATGGATAAACGTGTAGAGTCCGAAACACTAAGTTCATATAAGCCAGCTGGTGTTGATGTTGTTGTGAAAGAATCCGATTGAGTGACCATTGAGCCAGAAGATTGAGAATAAGATGATCGAGAATGAACTCGTGATTTTCGATTCTGTTCCAAGGGTTGATCAAGCTGATCGATTGTCGATGCATTCATCCATGCCTGATTGTTCCGAGGAGTGCTCTGATGTTGAGGAACTTTAGGTAAATTACTCTGAGAAGTTGAACAATCTCTGCTTCTGGACACATATCTGGGGTCCCAATTACCGTTCGAGGTTGGTGGGTCTGGCGCTCGAGGAGGTGTCTTGGTGCCATCCATAAAGTTTCCATAACTTTTGAATGAGCTACGTTGACGACGACGAGGTCCTGGGTTTGGCAAATTCTGATGAGCCATTTCATCTAGATATAATTAGTCGCTTTGATTGCAGATGTCATAAAAAAGATAACATGGTACTTACAAGCTCTATTAAACTCTTCACTAGAATCTGAAGAACAACGAATGGTTGAAGGATGATAGATATCTGAAGAAGCACGTCGAATACTTGGCTCGAAACTCCTCAGAGAGCTTAAGCTTGAACTTGTTCGGCTTGTAGTAGTCCATTTATACTGCGTCTCATTGCCATGCTGATCAACTTTAGAGGTAATATATGTTTCTCGAGTCCTGATGGGGGTAAGTGGAGGACTGCGACGTCTCTCTTGTGGTCTCCTTAGATCGTGTCTAGATTCAAATCGAGATCTGGGAAATTCATGTTCGGTCTCGACAACGATGAAGTCTTCGTCAGAGGAGCGCGGGACACGGCGAGGCAGATTTCTTGGCCCACGTCGAGATTCAGGCTGTTCATGTTCGGTTTCAACCACGATAATATCTTCATCGGAGCGACGACGAGGAACATGTTCATGTACTTGCTCATGAATGTCATCATCGTAAGTACGCTCAGGATATGCACGCTCAGTACGTCTGCGCTGAGCATGATCTTTCGTACGTAAGCTTGGAAGAGACTCTTTTGAGAAACGAACAGATCTTGGCGGAGATTCGTAACGAGCAGCAGAGTGAAGCGGCTCAACGTATCTGTATGCTTTATGAAGGTCTTGTCGAGAGGTGGCTTGAGAAGTAGCATTTGCTTTCCTCGCTTGCTGGTTAAAGCGGACTGACTTTTCTCGGGAATCATCAACGATTGATGGTGGACTGACCGATAAGGATCGATTTGTGATACTGATTCTCACCTTTGGCTCTCCTCTAGCAGCAGAGTCTTCATCAACGATATCTCTTTCACGAGTACGAGTGTAGCTTCTGGATGCTGAGTGTTTCGAGTTGTCCTCACTTCGTCGAGCTGGGTCCTTGGGTGCGGTTTCGCGTTCGTGTGTAACTTTCTCCTCAACGACGACTTCAGGCCGATGGTCTTTACAGTGAGCATTGCCTCTTCCCTCATCATCTCGGCTCAAGAATTCAGTTGAACGAGCTCGAGACATAGGTTTGCGTCTGTAATGCTTCTGAAAAATATTAGTAAGGGAACTTTCAAAATCACTGAGCAATCTAGCTCACCTTCGAACCTCTCTCTTTTGTTCTTCTTCTTCTTCTTCCTCTTCCTCCATATCCATCAATCCTTGAATCACTGTCATCACTATCATCACTACTTGAGCCACTAGTAGAAGTAACGTTTCTGCGACACCTGCGACAAAACCCAGGAGTAGGAGTCTCGCCAGCCTTGATTGGATTTTCAAGATGGTACTTAGAAGAACGATCTCTCTGGCAGCCGACACAGATATGTTTGGTGATGACGGTCGTTGTGGTAGTCTTGATCTCTGTATGGTCATCATTGTTTCCGTCTCTTTTTGACTTTGACTTCTCCCTCTTAAGAAAGTCGGATTCTACTTTTCGAAGATCTTCAAAATCTGGGGACTTTGATACTTTTGGTGGAAACGCAAATCGCATGGGTTGCTGTGCTGTTGTCGATGCCGGCACAGGCGCAGGAGCAGCAGGAAATCCAGGAACAGGGTAGAAAGGAGGAAATCCAGGGGCTGTTTGAGCAAAGAAATTGGGATTCGGGAAGGGCTGTTGAGGGATGTTTGGCGCATAAGGAATTGGTGGTGGTGCAAAGATGGGAAAGTTTTGTGGTGGGTGCGCTGTCGAATGAGGAGGTCGTGGGATAGGAAAGCGCGCCAGTTTCTTCTTCTTCCTCAAGGCCTCTATGGAAGTTTTTCTCTTGGGTTCATGGATCCCGAAAGCTTGACCTAGCAAACTGAAGTTTTTCTTTCCACGTTTTGTAGAAATCTTTCTTGCCATCACCATGCGGCCATTATTTTTCTTGAAATAATACGGGTACCCGTCTCTTACTATCTCCTCGGTTGTGTCAGAGCCATCATCGCTCTGAGAGCCAGCTCGCAACCTGAGATTGTTGATTAGAATTGAGGATGTTGAGAAAGAACTTCATTCGAATTGCTTAACTCAAATGAAGGGGAAAAGACTTACATAGTAAGCATTTTGGCCACCGAGTTAGGGGATTGTTATTTGTTAACCAGCCGAGGACCGTCCTAGGATTGTTGTCTGTGGCTTCTATATTGTCGTCTTGTTACTGCTCGGACACAAAGTAGACGAATGGAAATCCTGTAAAAACGTCGGAAAGTAGATGAAAGAAGTGAAGTAAAATGGTATCACAAAATCATAAGATTCTTGCCTACCATTAAGCAATTAATATTAAAATTTGAATACAAAGCCGACTCAATGAAAGAAGTAGAAGGGAACTTGATGTGCAATTTTGTCTTGAAAACCTTGGTTGTATAGGTGTGCAAAAGAAGATGAGAGAAACGAGATATTGAATCTATGGTATGATGGTTTCTCGGGCTCTCCCTACTCGGCTATCGTCAACATCATTAGCATTGACCAACCAGATGCCTCGACGATGAATAGATACACAAACAGAGATAATTCAAAAGGTATTATTCACTGTTATCGACCCATAATCATGAAGAGGTGGCTGGCAATGTTCTCTCGGGTTCTTATCGGTTATTAAATAGTATCATCTCGACCTTTGAAGGTGAGGTGAGGGGGCTCTTTTGTCCAAAGGTTGAACAATGTGAGATGGGAAAGTGAAGGGAAATAATGCTTCGAGCTGCATTATAGGAAGGAGCTGGTGTTTTGTTCCAGCTAACATTAAACTAGTAATGACTACCTATTCAGGTAGGTAGGTGGTATATCATAATAAAGTGAATGATTATTGTTAGTAAACCAGTGTTGAAAAAATCTCTTAGCTATATTCTGAAAGTGCTATCAGAGACTATGAAATAAAGAAACTGAATGTCAAATGGATCTCATACCTGTCACATCAATCAATACCCGAAGCTGATTGAACCTAAAGTAGGGCCATATTTACGAGTACATTTTATTTTCTATACATAATATAATATTGGACTCACGCTATTTTTCAATACGCCCAACCCTGGTTAAGGAAATATGATACAAAGCAAAGTTCATCTCTTTATTCAACTCTCAAAACTTTTGGCCCTCTCTTCTTCATTGCCTTCTTCTTTTTGTTGCCTCTATCGAATGATGCGGCTGATGCATGATCTCGGCCAACATTGTCAAGGTCTTTCACCTTGTAGATTCGGATGATCCAATTCTCACTAGTGAATGCTTCTTCAACAGTGTTAAGAACTGGGCCAACTTCTGGCATCTTTACGCCACGAACTCTATCTTGGGCTTGTCCAGGTGGGAAGAGGGAGTTGTAGTTGTAGTATGACATTTTGTACCTGTTCAATATTTAGCAAATTTCCAAAAGTATTATGATCAGCGTGACTTACATCAAGCTGTCCTTCATGGTTTGAGTGGCGCCATCGTCAACTCTGTACTCTCCACGTTCAGTGAAAAAGTCACGTTCCTTAACCTCATCTGGCCAAATACCTTCGGCAATTCTGACCATCCACAAGAACTTGTTAATATCATCTCCAGAGTATCCAAGGAGACCACCGAAGACAACAAGAACATAATCAACTTCATGTTGGCGCATTATAGGGTAGCTGACCTCTTCACGAGAGCTCATTGCCTTTCCGACAGTTGCGATGTGGGTGTTATTCCAGGTGTTGTTGTCGACCAGTGTGGGTCTATCAGCCATACCACCAATTTGGTAACCGTAATCCCACCAGGACATGATCTTCGCATCTTCCTTAGTGTTTTGTCGTAACCATTGATACGCTTCTCTGTAATCGTCGATGATATGCTGGCTACCGTCTGGCATTCTACTAGCGAGCACGACAGATGGAGAAGAGTAGGCATTCGATGTGACCCAAGTACAGTGGAGAACAAAGATCAAGAGATATGTTGTCATGGCGCCAACAACGGAAATCTTGGAGAAGCTAGCATAGATACCGACAAGGGGTTGACGCATGGAGCGAAGTTCCTCTTGTTTAGCGGCCTTCTTTGTGGCGCCATTGCTAGCACCATCAGTAACAGTAGCGGCTGAGATTGGTTCATCAGGTGATTTGAAGGTCAAGTAAGTGTCCAAGATATTGGACAATGCCAACGCTGCAGCCACACAGACGATTGGTGTCAAAGTAAGCATTAATCTAACCATGACACCAGAGAAGTAACTGGCGAGAATTGCATATACGACAACGAAAACTTGCTCATCGGCAAGCTTCAAGAAGCAAAGGTACACACCAGCTGGAAAGAGCCAGATGAGAAGGTTGAGATCGAAGAAATAAGCTGGCCATGCGGTTGGCTGATGCTCAGAGACAGAGGCGATGATAGGGATGTGAATTTTGGCGTATCCGGTATCCCACAAAGAGTAGAAACGACCAGTCCAAGGAGCAATGACACCAGAGACGGTCAAAAGTACTAAACCACCAAAGGAGATCACGAAAACGACAAGAACAAACCCTCTAAGAAGAGTAGCGAATTGCTTGCTTGGTACACCCGAGCGGACGAATTCGACGAAACCAACCAATTGAAGAAGACCGAAAACACCTGAACAGATTAGCACATTAAATATTTCAAAACAAGGAGGTTAAACGTACCGAGAGCAGACATATGCTCACTACTGCGAATTGGCAAAAATCCTACAAATGGAATTTGCATGCTTGCCAACGTGCCTAGTGCGTACCAAGTACAGTAACTGACATAGACTCTTGGACTAAATCTTCCCATGCAGACTAATACAAATACATGGAGGGGGATCAAATTGGTAATGAAAACATATCCACCCCAGGCTGATACCATGTATCCATAGAACAAAGCGCAAAGAGCACCCCAAAATGCGGATCCGAGCTTGATGGCTTTGATCCAGAGGTAGAACGTGAAGACGAGTAGGAAGATTGCAATGGCTTCGTTATCGTAGCTGCCAGCAACTGATCGCGATATGTAACCTGGAGCAATCCCCATAAAAATAGCTGCGAGAAGACCAGCGGATGGGGATGTGGACATCTCATTGGTGAATAGGTAGGTTGCGAAGGCAGTCAAACCAGAGAAACCAGGTGCAAGAAGCACACAAATGTTTCGAATATCGACTGGAATAGTAAGAGCTCGAAGGGCATGATAGATGACACCACTGGTGACCATGAGACCTGGGTATAAAGTTCCTCCCGTAACTCGACCAAGTGGATGCCATGTTCGGTCGTCAAACCAATCCCAGAAATCGTAGAATCCATTCGAGACCAAATATTTTGTAGCTCTGAAATTGAACCAAGGATCAACTAAATGTAAGTTAGTTTCCGGGCATCTGTTGAGGGTAGATCTGGAGCAAAGAGAGCTCCGTCCATTGAGGGGTTCATCGGGTACTAACATTCGTGAATTATACTTTCGAATCCTAAAAATAATGATGTTAGCGTTTATTACACAGCTTGTACATTGGCAGAAAGCACGATAAAACTGTTATGTCCTTCAATGCCATGAAAAATGCACAATTCCCAGAGCATTATGTGTGAAGCTTGAGGTACTTACGAATCACAGAAAACAGTCGACTGGCGATTGCAGCGCCAGCAATTAAGCAAAGAATTACAATTCTTAAAACCCCACGAGAATTCTTTCCCGTGCTCCCTTGGAAGAACGGTTCCTGAGTTTTGGCAACCATGTTGATGGCAGCTATGGTGAAAAGGAAAGTTGTCGCTGGTTGAAAGTTTCTCTGGATTAACACATATCTGTTCGCAATGCCGCACTTCAGAGCTCCGCGTCAATTCACAGGGATTAAGTTCAGTGACCCGCCGCACTAGTCCAAGTATCACGTGAATTGATCAACACATCAATGGCCTATTCTCTGTTTGTGATGTGTACCCAATGTAGGATGCTTGTCTCGATTTCTCAAGAAGCTGGAGTGTTTAAGTGATGAGGTTTTGAGGTGCGAACTAATTTTATTTGGCTCTGATTTGAAGGGACGAATGTATTCCTTGGATTATGTTTCTCTGATCTTGTTATTGTCAAGCGAAGCAGTGCGAAGGATTCATGCTCTTTAGTAAAAAAACCGAGGTGCAACTATTTCCTCTATAATTTCTTTTAGGTAAAGTGGTTATATATGTTCCGGGCTGGTTTGGCCTGTCGATGAGAAAAATGATTGCCTCAATATACTCATTCCATGTGAACAAAAGGAAGGTTGGGAAATCTTTCATGATCCAAATTCGGAACATTCGACGTGTACTTCCTTCTTCTGCGGTCCTCGTAGGTGAAAATTGGGTCTCCAACAACAGAAGCTCCCAGCTGTATTGGTCGTCTATAGTACAATGTACAAGAAGTATCACCTAAGTGATGTCTAAAGGCTTTTGTGTGTTTGCTCAAACCCTAGAAACCCTCTCCAAACATCGCCGGAGCCCACACCAACTACCACGAATGGTCTCATTCAACGATGCCCCTCTATCATTACCCATAATTAAAAACCCCCATTCCACGAATGCCCCTAGTTCTCTGCTGCTAGAACCTTCAAGTATGCCTCGAGATCGAAATTCTTGTCCATAGGATCCCGTATAACTGTTTTTGGATGTCAGTAATGCTTCATCCAAGAAATTCGGTTCGAAGTATCGAAATGGACTCAAAAATCCACATTCAGTTGCGGATTTGAGCAGGTGTAAGTGTGGTAGAGATTGAAATCTATGGAAACTTCACGTACTGTCACCACCTCCTGTTTTCTGGCTCGCAGGCAAGTTCTTCTTTGCGTACTCTGCTCTCGCTTGCTCAATTAACTTTTGCTTGTGCTCGAATTCCCTGCTTGCTGCTGCTGCTTTGGCTGCAGAAGATATGCTCATTTGATGGTAGAATCCGTAGAATACACCCGCACCAAGGGCTGACCACCGCAGAACCTATAGGAAAATCTTCGTTAGCACTTTCTTTCACTAATAGACTCGGGAAGAATAGATTCCAACTTGGGATGAAGTCTTCGGGTTAAGGATTGCGCAAAGTCTTAAAACATACGTTTACCCCAGTTGAAGCCATCGGGAACAGTGGTAAGAATATGCCGGGGATGATATGGTGAGAAGAGTAGTGGCTTAAGAAATACCAATTGAACTCGGTATCACAACGAAAGGCAGGTAGCGTGATTGTTGTCGGCGATAAACTTTTTCAAGGTGGTCGGATGAAATACCGCAAGAGCAAGCTTCAGCGGCATTTTGCGGGACCAGACTTCCACGTGATATCTAAATTACAATAATGCGCATTCAACAAACGCGACTTTTATTATGCGTGTCTACTTGTATTTATGAACTGTTATAACACAACTTCATATTTGGGTTCAACATCTTCTGGAATAATCCCCTATCATCTGCAAACCTCAGGTTTTTTCAAGAACACGATATTGCGGTAAAAAGAAAGGTATTTGCCCATGAGATGGGCATAGAACTCCCGCAAAATGCAACAACGACGAGATGAAATACTGGCGAAGAAAGCCAAACTTGCAGAGTTAAAGAGGCAAAGAGAACTTCGTGCAAGAGAAGTTTCCGTAAGCAGACAGAGCGTAGGAAGTGGAAGTGATGTAATTAAACTTACCCTCATACTTGAGTTAAACTTACAAGCCATAGCTTGCATCACCGACACCAGGACGAGCCGATAATCGAAGGGAACTTGACAATCTAATTTCCAGCTTAGTTGGAGATAGCAGACCCGGATCGACTGGTCCTGGCGGAGCAGGTTCACCGGCGAGAGGGAGTCGACCAAACAGTGTATTAAGTGCCGGTGAACTAAGTAATGAGCCTTCCGAATCGACCATATCGAATGCCCAAGTCTCGCAGACCCAACCATTATCCATATCGAATCCCCAGTCTCTTTCCACAGTTCCATTATCTACAGTCTATGAATTTCCGCCATCTCCAATTAAGGAAGTATTCTCATACAGTAAAGGGGTACAAACAACGGAAGAATGGGGTACACAAACCTCGAGGCCTAGAGGTTTCGACGATTCGGAAGATGAACTCGACAAACCCCCTGGAGTTCATTCACCAAGCAAACGGCTAAGCAGGAGAGAAAAAAATAGAGAGGAAGAACTGAGAGAGAATATTCGCCGGGAAATTGAGGAAGAGCTGAAGGCAACTCGAGATCTTGTAGATGGCCCTATAAGACCAGATTCCCAGCATTTATCAACCGCAAATTTCCCTGCGAGAATTTTAACAAATGAAGAACTCAATGCTGTGACATCGTCAGAAGACTTTATGGAATTTGTTGAAAGGTCTAGTAAGGTTATCGAAAGAGCATTAGATCAGGAATACGATGTGCTTGCAGATTACGGATTAAGCGGCGCAAATGGAGTTGGGGACGACGATGAATACGGTAATACAGGCGGAAGGGGTCGACGGAAGATAAAGGAGGTTGCCCAATTCTACGATGAACGATGGTCAAAGAAGAGGATGATCAGCGCTATCGATTTCTCACCTAAATTTCCCGAGCTAGTTCTTGCAGCATATACAAAGAATCCATCCGCACCACATGATCCTGATGGACTGGTTCAGGTCTGGAATATGCATCTTCACGATAGACCAGAATTTGTGTTTCATGCACAATCAGATGTTCTCGCCGCAAAATTCTCCCCTTTCCACCCCAATCTGATCATTGGAGGTGCTTACAGTGGCCAAGTTTTACTCTGGGACACAAGAGCAAAATCGGCCCCAGTTCAAAAGACGCCTTTGACTGGATCAGGACACACTCACCCGGTTTATTCTGTCGATATCGTAGGAACTCAAAACGCGAATAATATTATATCCTGCTCAACAGACGGTGTTATGTGTGGATGGACTGTAGATATGCTTGCGCAACCACAAGAACTACTTACATTGACAACTCCACCACCCGCCAAAACCGAAGATATGAGCCCGACTTGTATGGCTTTCCCACAAACAGATCCGACATATTTTCTCGTTGGTTCGGAAGAAGGAACTGTGTATTCTTGCCATAGATATGATCGAGCAGGTGCCAAGGCAGGTGCTGATCAAAGAGTCACTTACCGTGGTCATGCAGCACCTGTCATGTCTTTGAATTTCCATCCAGCAAAGGGTCCTGTTGATCTTGGCGATCTTGTTCTTACCAGTTCTTTGGATTGGACCGTTAAATTGTGGAAAGTCCGGGCTCCAACTGCGACAGCAACCACTTCTATCTCAGGAGAAGGGCAGGCAGTCGCCCCATTATTCGATTTCACCCGAGAGGATCTTGTCTATGATGCAGCCTGGTCACCTATAAAACCCGGTGTATTCTCACTCGTGGATGGAGCAGGTAATCTAGAAGTATGGGACATAACCGTGGACACCGAGGTTCCAGTATCTAAAGTCCAGCCAAGCGGCAGAAAGGGTGGTCGAAGCATTATGTCCAAGAGCTTGAACAAACTCGCTTGGGAAAAAACCGAAGGAAAACGTATCGCAACTGGTGGTATCGACGGCGTGCTTTCAATATTCGAGGTTGGTCCGGATCTTGGAGGCAAAGATAGTGCCAGAAGTGAGGAATGGACGAATGTCAAGAAATTGGTGGCCAGAATGGAGTCATCGGCACAAAATGCTCATGATGTGATTGGCATCAACGGGTTGTAATTAAGATTTAGAAAGGGGGTGATACTTGTTGAGGCGATGGGATAGCTGTATTTGATAGATATGGCGTCGTTGCGTTGAATATACCCTAGTTAACAATTAACATGATTGGTTTTTTGTTCTTTTGTTATTCATTTCTATGTCAGCTAACTTTCGACTATCTCATAGACACAGAAATCAATAACACACCGATATGGATAGCCAAGCGAAACTGGTCCACTTTTACCCCTGCATTATAATCCTACGCTGACATAACTCTCCATGGTAGCGTAGCATAAGGGAAGCTTCCTGTCTTCCTAACTTTCAGATCAACTTCCTTCATGATTAGAAATACAAAATCAGATTGTCTACCTCTTGGCTCTCATTTTGAGACTGCACAGAAGAGGCACATCTCCAAGAAAAACCGGCAGCGGGGCTGTGTCAAATCTAGATCACGGAGCAAGTCATATTAGGCTCCAGGATTCTGTTACATGACTATTTTCGCCTCTTATATCTCGGAATCGAACCCATTTTTTAACTTTCCCCCTGATTCTAACCAATAATATTAGTCCCAATGTTATACTACTACATATCATAGGCCCCAAAAACCCCAATTGCGAAGATGGCGCCCACAGCGGCCGATCCAAAAGATCTCAAACTAATCCTCAACCCCGCATGTCGACGAGCCCTCAACATCCTAATCGGATCCATCACAGAACACATGCGCAAAACAATTACAGATTCCTTTTCCAACTCCTCGAGCCAACCCACCTCCAATCTCAACAACAAGAACATTCCAGGACCCAACCTAAATGTCTCTTCCTACCCCAATCCTCACTGTTCTAACGCCTCCTCGCCCGCTTCCACACCAAGTGCAGAAACTGATCAAGAAACAGCCCAACAACGCCGTCTCGAAGCCCGTCTTAATCAAAACCTTTCGACCCCCAAGCTACAAGCTTTGGAAAAAGCAGCTTTGAGTTATTTCGATTCGTGGCGGGATTCAATCCTCACACAATTAGGAAAAATCTTGAATTCCCCAGACGATCCTTGTGCAGATCAAAAAAAGAAAGAATTTCTCGCTTCGAGACCACCCCCTCCTTACAGCCCCGCTTCCAACAACCACAATGAACCCAGCAAAGATATCCTAGCTTTCCAAACCCTCTACCCTCCAGTACCCACCCGTCTCACTACCATTTCCCTTCAAGATCGCATCCATATACTCTCAAGTCTTCTCATCATTGTCCTCTCCCTCGGAACCTACTCCGCCCATTCCCGTGTTCTCCTCTGCCACCTCACTACTTCCCTCTCCCTCCCCCCATCCCTCCTCACCCACGAAGAAATACAAACCTCGCGTACCCTTCTCCTCGCCTCCAAAGCCGCCCTCAACGCCGACGCTGAAACCGCCGCTCGCGCAACCCAGAATACGTCTTCGCGTCGCTGGAAAGTGGGACTTGCTTCGGTAGCAGGTGCCGCTTTGATTGGTGTCACCGGCGGGCTTGCGGCTCCTGTGGTTGCGGGTGCGATTGGGGGACTCATGGGCTCTGTGGGCTTGGGAGGCTTAGCGTCTTTTCTGGAGGTTTTTTGTATGAATGGTGCGTTGGTAGGAACGTTTTTTGGGGCGTATGGAGCAAGGATGACAGGGGAAATGATGGATAAGTATGCGAGGGAGGTGGAGGACTTTAAGTTTCTAGATGTGAAAGGTGAGTGGGGGGAATTTGGGACTAAAGAGGAAGAAGAGGTGGAGAAGAGGAGGTTAAGAGTGTTGATTGGGGTTAATGGGTGGGTGGGAGAAGAAAGGGATATTATCAGGCCGTGGAGAAAACTTGCTGCGAAGGAGGGAGATGAGGATAATGGACATGAATGTGAAGTTTTTGCGCTGAGGTATGAGACGAATGCGCTGGTGGAGTTGGGGAATAGTCTAAAGGATACGGTTGGGAGTTATGCGTGGTCGATGGTTAAAATGGAGATTTTGAAACGGACCGTTCTGCTTACTTTATGGGGAGCATTGTGGCTAGTTTATTTATTGAAGATGGCTACTGGGATTGATAATCCTTTTGCGAGAGCTAAGAGGAGGGCGGAGAAAGCTGGAGAAGTCCTGGCTGATGCGCTTATTAATCGAGCGCAGGGAGAACGTCCGGTTATGCTGGTTGGATACTCGTTAGGGAGTCGGGTATGTGTCAGCTTCTCTCTTCAGTCTCATCCTACTTTCAAGTGTTCACACTGGTCGAGACGTTGGGAAACATGTTCAGAAGACATTTTTCAGACTTCGCTAATTTCGCCTCATAGGTAATATACTCCTGCCTCCGCTCTCTTGCCGAACGCCACGCCTTCGGTCTCATCGACAGCGTAGTACTAATCGGCTCTCCAATTCCCTCATCGACTCTTTCCCGTAAGTCCACCCTTCTCCCCTCCTCATTCATCCCTCTAACACCTCACCAGTTCTCCCTCTTCGCACCGTCATCTCCGGTCCCCTCCTAAACATCTACAATCCCTCTGATCTCCTCCTCGCCTTCCTCTACCGTTTCACCTCCCTGCAGTACGGAATTTCCGGTCTGCAACCAATTGAACACATCGAACGCGTCACCAATATCGACGTGAGTTCAAAACTCAATTCGCATCTCAAATACGAGGGGGTCATTGATAAAATTTTGGGGACCCACGTATTTCCTAGCATGAGTGCTGTTGAAGAAGAGAAATGGGAGAACGGAGGAGACGGAGAAGAAGGAATTTCAATGATCGATGGCGAGGGCCAAGTCAAAAAGAATGAAATAGAAGAAGAGCTATTGATTGATTTTGGAGAGGTAGCGGAGCTGGAAGCCAATGTTTCATTGCCATCTGGACAATTAGACAACAAAAACCCCAACATCTCTTCGTCTACTGGTAGCTTGTATAATATGGAAGATTTGTTAGGCTCGCCAGTGACCCCGACAGAAACAGTCACAGGTACAACCAAAAGTATCTCAGGGACTCATTTTGCCTCACATTTAAACAGCACTATATCACCCAGTATCACCACAACCACACCTACACTCGCTACCCCGAATACCACCACTCTTTCCTCGCTATCTTCTTCTTCTTATTATTCATGCTCTGAGGACGAAGGAGGAATCCAAATGATTGATAACGATGATGATTTAGGCATGTATATACAATTGACCTCTCCGGAAACCTTATCTACCTCATCCATGAATGAGGCCGGAAGGATCGAGAAAGGTATGACTGCGCTTGTCGTGACCGAAAGATCTATCGACGATGTGAAACATGAATCTCCCGTAGAGCCGAAGAGCTTGGGCTCTTTGCCCAGAGGTGACAGAAAAAAGGCGGCTGATTTCGCATTGTATTGAATGTTTGGATATGTTTTTAGCGTCCATGAGATTATAGCAATGCAATACACACAAGTCACAAATCAATAAATTCATATAAGTTCATTAATTAAAGTTCAAACATTTTCATCATATTATCGTGAAGTAGATAGAAACAAGTTGGTATCATGCGCTATTTACGCCACATCAAAGTCGCCGAGGAGGTATTCCTCTCTCTCGACGTAATCCCAAACTCCATGGAACCACACAGTAGGAATCACAAAATAATCCAACCCTAATCTATACATGAACTCCAGCGCAACATGCATCCAAACCATAAGCGAGAGCTAAACTCCATTATGAACATCTGGAAGAACGTAAACATCCACCACCGACTCTTTCTCATCAGTTCAAGGAAGGTTTGAGGCAGGGACACCCAGGCCAACAAAATGACGACTCGCACAACGACCAAGAACTGATGTTTTCTACCCAAACAGCAAACTTAGAGGGATCTAGCACGCTCCAAAGCGGCTAGCATACGACATCAGATCGACAATTAAGTCTGTTTGCGTTGATAGAGCAGCAAATACGGTTGGTTACCCCCCAAAGCCTTTGCCAGAGTCGTAGCATTGTAATATGAATCGTTAAAGCAACTCCAGCGACCATCGGGCCCACGAGCATCACAGGTGTAATGTCCGTAGTCGAGGCTACCAGAGTGCGAAACGGATGCTACAAGCTCGTACTCCATGGAGTCCTTGCTCCCACTAGGGTCGCGATAAGGACTGAGGTCGAGGGTATGGTCGATCGGAATAGCAAGCTTATCCTTTCTTCCATCATAACCAAACCGTTTAAGCTGGACAAACAAGATATCCGGTGCGTGACTGATCGACTGTACGCGATGAACGTCCCCCGTTACCTTACACTTCTCGCACTTGTAACCTTCAATGGTCTCATCTAAGTACTTATGCAAGTACGAGGAAACAGAACCACCTCGGATGCGCGGCTTGAGGGGTATGGATAAGGCTAGTTCATCTTGTAAGTCTCCCACAGAGACGTTATTACAGTGATCGCATTTGATTCTGCTGCTCAAAACAAGCTGCATTATCGACTGCATACTGGCAACGCTTCTGAACAAACGGGGTCAGTAACACGTTACTTGTAGACGACCGAAGAGATATTAGACTTACGACGCCTTGATCTGTTTCTCAATCTTTTCCAACATCCAGGTAATTTGCTCATGGGGATCACCTTGACCAGAGGGTCCAGGATACCACCCAAGACGCTTGCACTGAATCTCGAGTTTTCTCAATATTGGTGTGATATCCTTGGAAGGAACATCGACGGTCCAATACTTAGAAGAGAGGAGGCTAAGAGAACAGGCCAAACAATCTCTTCTGGGTATGTCACCTAGTAATATTTATGAGTTAATGAACAACAAAACCTCAAATGAGAAATAGCTTACAAGTTTCCACAGGATGTTGGTCAATCAAGAAATTGAAGAACTTGGGAAGATGTAGAAGTCCTTGTAAAAGACTGTTTCTATAGCATGCATATCCAGTGACATTGGACAGCCCCCTCTGTGCATTTGATGGCATGCGTGTTGAGTCATTGCGTACTTTAGAGGCCTAAAAATATGGGAATTAGTATAGATAAATGAGTGGCGGCTGGTGAACATTACCAAGTATCTTCGCTTTCTTAGCGAGTCACTGCGTGCCTTCTCCAATTCTTCTTTCGAGAGCTTTGCAGCCGGCTTGGAAGTGGCACCTTTCTTGGTAGCGACTTTCGAGGGCTTGGCAGCAACTCTTCGTTTTTTGGGGGATTCACTCTGAGCAGCTGTTTTTTCATCCTCATCATCTGGCCGTGATCTCTTTGGAGCGCTAATCTTGGCAGTAATCTTTTCGTCTTTGATAGCAGGGTGAGGTCTCGATGGTTCAACGCTTTTGATGGTGATAGTGTTGCTCTTTGCTTCGGCAGGTACTTCTTTAAGAGAATTGAGTTTGGTAGTTGTCTCATCCTTATTATCTGGACGTGGTTTGTTTGGTAAGGAGACGGCTGGATCCGAGGGAGCTGAGACTGCAGATGATGGAGGCGAGGGCAGTTGTATCTTTTGAGTAGCGGATGATGAAGATGAAGGTAGAGGCGTCCTCAAAATAGCCGAGACAGCGGATGAAGGGGGTGGAGATGGAGGTAATTTTGAAGAGGTCGAAGAAACAGATGAAGGGGTTGTGTGGTCAGCCCCCTTTACTGATGAAGAAGAAATAGATGGGGAAGTGGGTGTATTGTCAGAAATCTTTGACGAAGATGAGGAGGCAAACGGATTTTCTCGAGGGAAAACAGACGCCAATGAATGAGGAGTAGAAGCAGATGGCTCTACTGACGCAGGAGTATCAATTTTCTTGGGGTGAACAGTAGTTTCGGCTGATTTCATTGGCGGCGGAGAGGCAGATATCTTTCTCGAAGGTGAAACAGACGATTTCGAACGAGAATTGGATTTTACTGCTGGATGCGAGCTAGAAGACTTGGTTGATGGTGGTGGAGAAACAGATGATTTCGAGCTCGAATTAGAAGAGGAGGATGATGATCTTGCGGGAGATGACATCTTCCTATTACGCACAGATCTTCTTCTGTAGTTCTTCGATTGAGCGAAGTACTGTGCGTACAGCTTATTTTGACGTGGGTTCTTCATTAGGAATGACCTTGGGTTGTACTTGAATGCCCCCGTATAGTTGTATGCTGGAGTATTTGAAGAATCGAATGATGGAAATAGAGGCGTTTTGTACATTTTTATAACTTTAGTCGCCATTTTGACGAAGATCAATCCTCTATTGTCTTCTTGGCCAATCCTCTATTGTCTTCTTGGTCGGGTTGGTGGGCGTAAAATGCGGTCAAATCGTTAGTTTTCAACAATAGCAAATTTCGACAGTGCGCTTATTGTCTCTCTTTTCCTCGACGCAGAAGTGTATTGTGAACGACGACGATACGACTCGATTGGCTAACCGAAGCTCAAATGGGCTCAGTTTCGTTAAGACGTCTATCTTGTGCCGATTATATATCCCTTCTGATATTGTGTTATGTTCGATATTGTAGGTGAAAGTGAAAGTGAAAGTGAAATGTTTCCAAGTATGGGTTGAATCTTGCTTTCCACCTCAGCTTCCTCTTAAGTTTGTAGTGAAAATCTGTATATATTGTAAAAGAAATTGGAGTTCTCGCTGGAACTTGATCGATGCCTTTAAACCGTTGAATTTCGAACTGTACATCGAGTCCGGGGCGTGGAACTGTGTATTGTTCGTGGGACAAGTGCGCTCGCTGTAGTTTGGTTGCGTAGTAGTTTTATCTTGTAGTGCGAATGATTCACTATGAAGGGGTTTTTAATTGACTTCTCTGCAATGCAATAATAAGATGTATCGTTGTTGTTGTACTTTCATTCACGTTGGAGTGTAGTGAACGTGTGTGTGGTTTGGAATTCAGAAAAGCATATTTTTTTTTTTCTCGAAAAAGCATCATCCACCAGTGATCCACATCACATACTTCGTACCCACTGGAGGTATCTGTGGATTGAGCGGCCGACTGCTCCGATTATTCCGAGTGCCCGGATAAATTACTGCAACAATGTGATTGTGATCTTTATCGAGCTTATCTAATCTGAATCTAATCCACCACCACTAATAAATTAGTAACCCGTCATTCCCACCATCTTATTATTATTACTCATCCGACATCTCAACATCTCACATTGGATGTTGACTTCCCTGCTGCAAAGTGCAAAAAGTATATCACACAGTCGCATTCAACTATTCTTCCATTGAAGCCCTTGTCTCAAACTGCAGTGCTTGATCAGAGACAATAAAACCTTAAACTGACCTCCGGATTCTCTTTCATTACTCATCACTGAGCTTATTCTCAGTGAGAAGAACGATAAAAACTCTGCCCCTCATACCAAAATTTACCCGGCACACTACACAACCTTCATATCTGATCACGAGATTCGGTATCCCTTTTTCGCCTACAGGGGGTACATACATGACCCATCCTATTAGCAAGACCTTACGCACATTCAAGGAATTGAAACATTGCAAAGGACTCAAAACTATCGCCATTCTACCGAATCTATAAATACAAGGACCTACCATAATACTCATATATTAACCCTCCAATCTGATTCTGGTCACGCGACCACCTTCCCACACTCGAAATCATGACTACCTCACAGCCAGAAGACACCCAACCCAAAGTCCCCAAACCCGCCTCAGCACCCGAATCCACACCCATCACCATACCCCCCGCCGCCCCCGAAACCTACGAAGAAACCAATGTGCACGAAGTCTACGAACAAATCGCTTCCCACTTCTCCTCCACCCGCTACAAAGCCTGGCCTATCGTAAAATCCTTCCTCCAAGGTCTCGCACCCGGATCCATAGGTCTCGACGTCGGTTGCGGCAACGGCAAATATCTCCTCGTCAACCCCGACGTCTTCATCGTCGGTTCCGATCGCTCTACAAATCTCGCAAAAATAGCTGGTTCCCACCAACCTCATTCGGCAATCGTAGCCGATACGTTAGCATTACCTCATCCAGAAGGTAGTTTCGACTTCGCGATAAGTATAGCGGTCATCCATCATCTATCTACTCCAGAACGTCGTCGCGAAGCCGTCCAATCCATCCTCGCTACTCTTTCCCCTTCAGGAAAAGCACTGATTTACGTCTGGGCCCTCGAACAATCTTCTTCTCGCCGGGGCTGGGATGAAACAAACCCTCAAGACGTGATGGTTCCTTGGGTAATGCGAACCGGCAAAAAAGTCGCGCCAGATGGAAGTATCACGCAACCGGCTTCCGAAAAAACCTTCCAACGCTACTACCATCTATATCGGACCGGCGAACTAGAAGAGGACATCAAGAGCGTCGGCGGCACGGTACGAGAAAGTGGGTATGAGAAGGACAATTGGTGGGCCATTTGCTCTCGAGGAGACTCACTTTTACCCCTAGCATCTGAATCCATAGTATGATCATGCTCGCGCGGGATGACCACGGGAGATCAGCAGCAACTCGGGATCTGCCTGAGCCGACATGCTGATTCCTCTCGATCATGCGCGACCTCGTCAGACTGCATACACACATGCAAAAACGATGATCGGCGTTACTCTGGCAATAGAGAAGGTGACAGGACCCGAGTCGAGGAAGCGCCAGTGTAGTACAAAAGGAACCATGAGGTCAATACCCACTTCTTTCATGACGCCGGCCGAGTAGTAAAGTTTCGCCGGTTAGTATTGATCCATCATGAGAACTTGAACACTGTACTATTAACGCACCGGGCCTGAAGGTCATGTCAAGAAATGACACTCTATAAACATGTTCGTGTAAGATACATCAATACATGCATACGAAGTAGATACACAAATCATAAAAGCAATTAGAAGACTATAAAGGGGTTAAGATACAAAAAACCATAATACAATCTAGAAGGTATAGTTTCGAACACCATGCGTGCCTGCAAGCAATGCGTGCTACGCTACCCCATCTCAACCCCATTCCATCCCAATCAATGTAAATTCCAAATCATAAAGCCCTGATACAAAGCCAAGGGATATGTTTTCAAAACATCGCGCCATTCCAACATGCAAGGTCCATCCCCATATGCTCACTCTACCCATCCATACCCTACTTTACCCTAGAAGAAAGAGAAACAAAGTGTAGAAACAGATATTAACTTTTTCCCCAACGCCAATCGCATTTACACACGTTTCCATCCATCCATCTATCCATTGCACATAACAAACATTCATCAAACATCACGACGACCCTCATTGTCTCCTCCTAATACTATCCCGTGTCCCACCCTCCGGACTTCCCCTTCTCTTCCCATCGTTCCTCTGCCCCAACATGCCAATAGCCGGTAAGAGGGGTCCAGGGCCAGGACTCGGATATCCACTCGAATAGCCACTCGAATACGCGGGCATCGACATCGCATAAGCAGGCGTACTATACGGGCTCATACCTGTGGTCATTTCTGACAAACTAGGTAGATATCCTCCTCTACCCTGACCCATCATCATGCCACCACCGCCTCCAATGGCCGCCAAGGCCAGGCCATCTGTCGGGCTTGTGGGCGGTACTGATCTAGGGGTGCTTTCTCTCCTGGCTGCGATTGTACGAGTGGCTCCTACACCTCTTGGATTTGGGTTTCCTTGTGCGGTGCCAGGTCTACTGTATCGAGAACCTCCAGATGCTGAATTCATCGTGCTGGATGTGGATTGACTATATGAATGACCCCTCGCAGGCGAAGCTCTCGAACCAGAAGATGGAGCATCGAGAGTTACGCTTGAGAGAGAGAAAGGAACAACACCAGCACGTCTTGCCATGTCGTTTTCGCCGAGTTGCCAGTGCATGGCTTCTGCTGCTCGCCATGGAACTGCCATTTCTTCAGCCACTTTTGACCACATTTCTTGCTTGAATCTAGATAGTCATGTTAACAACATTATTGTGAGCTTGATACTTGAAAGAGTAATACCTTTCATAGAGTCTAGCGAGTTTGTTCTTTCGTTCTTCGTCCCATTCACTCCTACGTTCCAGATAGTTTTGATAATGTAACCGACAACTAATAGCACTTCGACCTGGTAGCCTCTTAGAGATATCTTCCCACTTCATTCCACTGCCTCTTAGATCAATGATTAGAGCATCTTCGTCGGCCGACCATTTACTTTGCTTCTTAGCAGGAGATTCTGATGGATGGGCACCCATACTTCTTTTTCCGCCGGCTGCAGAAACGGCAGCAGCGTAGTTTGGTAATTCTGGTTGTGTGATTGATGATTGAACGGATGTAGATCTTGTTTGGTTTCTGTCGGGTGGTGATGTGGTCTGGGACTCATTAGAGTCCGGATCCTTGAGGAGGAGGGAGATATCCACGGTGATGGTGAAGTCCCTGATACCGTCAAGGTCGACGGATGATCTGCGAAGAAGAGGTGCACGGTTTGTTTCTGTGATGAGATTCGATTTGTAGATCATCAAATTTGACACAAAGACTGGTGATTTGAGGCTTCTATCGAGAATTGACGCTGTATAATCAAAAAGAGTAGTATGTCGGTCGAAAGATAAAATGCTAAAGGAGATGGCACTCTTTGATAGATGTGAGTATGTAGTGGCGTGAAACAGACTAGATGATTCTTTAAGACGTGGTAGCTTGGATTGTTCGAGAAAAACTATCTTGAGACGATTTGGGCTATTTCTAACGAGAGGACCACGATCCTATTTCAGGCCTTCATAGTGGAGGAAAATTCGTGGCTCGCCTATAATTTGATGGCCATAGAACTGATTGGTAAAGATATATCATTGGTGCAGCCAATCGCGGTAGATTGGATGGAAATTGGAAAAGAGTAGAAGCCAACGCCAACGGAAGAATACGTCAAGTTTGTTAATGAGCTTGCCAAAGACAAGGGCATTGTTCGAACTGATCCCCACAGGAAATAACTAGGTTGAATGTTGGACAGTCGGTCGGAAGCATGCGATGCAAATAGAGTCCTTAGTGGGGGGGGGTCCAAGCCAGGGTATGCTAGTGTGGAGGGAAGGCCGGCCACGAATTCATGCATGAACATGAACATGAGCATAGTAATGCTTTTAGAAAAGCTGCATTCTAGTGCTTCCATTGTTGAAGTTGTGGAAGAACAGTTGAAACTTGGGAGCTGGCGCTTGAAACTGATTTATACTCCTTCAACCCCTCAAAGCTGTTTTAGACACATGTCTGTGCGTAATCGTCATCAAACTTGACTTTGATTGTATTTATCTGCATTTCACCAAATTTCATATCAGGATGAAGGTTTGAAATGCCACAATAATGAAAAGGCTCATGCTTTGATGTGGATTGCTTGTCGTCGCCTCAATCGGCCAGCCACTGTAGATCCAAGATTGACGTCTGAAAAGAAGGAATTGGCGGTCTGGTTTGCAAGGGTAGTGGTGAGCTTTGCTTCAAGGATTATAATGTATGATCTTCATGGCTTGCAGCGCCTCTAAGTCCTCGATGAACCACGATCTTCAGTGGGGCAAGCAAGCCGAAAAGACCGAAGAAAACTATCAAGCCACACAGAATAAATTTCCCTTTATTTGGGTCGTTGGTGGCTGAAAATAAAGCTTACGCGACCGTTTAGGTCGGCTATGCCTCATCGAAATTCCAAACCCTTGATGCCTAATCAACAGGAGTGTATTGCGTTGTTCTATCCTGCGTTTGTATCTGTCGGTAGCCATCACAATGAGCACAATTACATACCAGTCCTTTTCGTCTAGCACACCTTCGGATACCAACATCTGGCGGTGTAAATTGACGTTGTCATGTGAGACGGCGCCATAATCGTGTAGACGGTTTGAGTCAGTAGAGCTTTTTTCAGAAATTCGGAAACATGGTATCCATGAACACAGCCCAAAGCTTAAATGACCAACTCTCAAATGGCCTCTACGGCGGGCACTCAAAGCTTTCTGCAGTTCGCCTTCAGCCCTGATAATCCCATCCGGGGAGGATTGGGGGCGGTGAATGCCCAGTTCACGCTTTGAGCTATCGCCTTAGCCTCAAAAAATAGAAGAAAACTTGTCAGATCAGACGAGAGTACCAGATAATTGCTGTCGCACGGCCTTGGAAAATAGCGCCTCAAGCACCCTCGCCCAATTGCGTGCATTAGCATGCTAGCAACACTTGACAACAATAGTATAGCTGTGCTGTCATTGTTGATTGCGGTGTCTCAGGTAGGATACATATTCTGCAGATATCCGTCGACATGTAGCTGTGCCCGTTTGTTTCCATTTACAATGGCCATTGTTGTAGGAAAGGAGTATTCTGCATCCATTGAAGCCTGAGTAAGGCGGCTGTCAAATTAGTACATAACTGCCATGTTAATTGCCTCATGCACAAGTATAGGTGGATTTAAGCGTAACTCGGTTTGCTGCCGATGTTATGCCATGAAAGCATGATCTCATCATGAGTTCCCTAGCCGTCGGTGTAGAACTTCCAAGATGAGAAGCTTAGTAATGCAGCTATCGTGTTTATCGCTCCCTCGTCCCGAATCATAAGTAGTCCGATCATTGTGGGGGTAGATCTTGCGAACCACCAAACCAAAGTCAAAAAGTATGTAACTACTGCGTAGCTTAACTTGGTTTGGTAGGTATTCAAAAATGCAAAGATGCAAGTCGCGTGGCACTTCGGTGAGTGGCGTATCCTGTACAGGGCAGGGCTATGGAAAAGAGCTCGTCTCAGAAAAGTACAAACCCATGTCTGTTTGAGCGGTGTAGTATGCTATGCAATCCCAGAGAAGAACAATAGCACTAACTATAGTCATTTTGACAGGAATAATCGCGCCGAGAGGAGTTCGAGGATCACCTCTCATTCAAATTGATTGTAGGGCTTAAGATTATTCATGCGGAGTTCCGTCTCTTTTTGCAGCTTTGTCCAATGGTGTAGAAGAAGACATTGATACAAGTCCACAAGTCAACAACCCCAACAAGCAGACTGCAAGCGAAAGTTAGCCAACCAATTGGGACAAGAACTGTTAGAGATCTCCTCCTGATCCTCCTTTTTCTTTTTGTTATTTTTCACACATCCCATCATGTTTGAGCCTTGCGACAAGACAATCCATAATCCTTAATCCACGATCCATAAATGGGTCAGAGACACAGATACTTCATCCTGCTATACTGTAAGAAGTTAAGCCAGCGATCGACTGAAGGTTAACGTCCCTTTGAAACTTCTAAAGCATTGACATTTTCGATTCATTGGGTGGGGGATTTGAAGAAGGTGCTCACTTCTGTGTAGAAAGGATGGAAGATGTAATTATCAATTGATCAAATGGATTGTGGACGAGGCTTCAAGAATAGAGGCGTAGTGATAAACATATTCTAATTTTAATCATATTTCGCTCTTTCTCAAGGGATGATGATGGTAAATGAAAAGTTTCGAGGGAGAAGAAAAAGAATCAAAAAAAAACCATCACATCGCATTGATTTTGATTGACCAATGGTGATATGCGTGTGATGGAAATAGAAATAGATAGATAGACATGGGATTTGATTTGTCTGTGTGGGAAAAAACATCAGGTACAACAGACCAGTACACCAGACCAGTACTTACTTATCGATGAACAGAACAAAATCAACAGATGCTTCCCTCGTGCCTGTCTGTGTAGTTACAATTGGTGTGTGTATGCCACGGTATGGTCTCATTGGTCTGCTCGCTGCTCGCTGCTACTCTCTGCTCTATACAGGATGGACGTTGACAATACCTTTCGGCAATATGCGTTGAACGATCCTTCCCTATTGCTTGTTCACGTTACATATACTAGAGCTCTGTACCACCACCCAGTATGCCAGTGTCCTCGTGTGGATCTGAACTTGCGTGTAAGGTGCCCAGGTGCCCAGTCACTTGTAAGTTGTAACTTCAAATATGGGGCATTAAAGAAAAGAACTGTGGCTGATGAAATTCGAAATAACACCACCTGCGCACCCATGGACACCCTCGACACCCTCGACACCTAAAATTATTATTCCTATTCCATTCCAAGGTTCTGTATGAATCTTTGGGCCTGTGTCACGTGTGGCAACCAGACCAGTTTTTCTATGGGTCGACAACAACAACTTGATGTATCATGAAATGAACGCTTCACTCGCTCCTTTTTGACCCATAATCATCCTGCTTCTACCAAGAAAAGTACACTGACACCTCATCGGTCTCCATAATCCAGCTTTCAGATTCTCCATCGGGCTCTGCATTGGACTTCGAACCCCCCCATCGAATCTTCTCTCATCGGATAATTAACAATTGGTTAAACGTCGTTACTGTAGTTATACTCCGTACAAGATTAAACGGCAGTTGTCCCTCCCGCGTTCAAAGTTCAAACAGAAACCTGGTAACAACAACCTGGTCATCTCACGCCTGGCAAACTGCAGAGATCCGTCAACCGGGATAGATTTCTATTTCAAGAATCATAAGGCATAGAAAAGGCAAAGACAAAACCAAAACGTCCATACGATTCCATACCATCTTGTGGAACACTCCAAATATACATCTATACCCTCCAGCCCTTTATCGATAAGAAAATCCCACGGGAGCATCATCCCATTCGCAATTAACATCAACCCTGAGCTCCCTCGCAGATTTATTATTCATTGTCTAACCGGACCTCTTTCCCTGGTCGCCTTACATCGGAAAATTTTATCCATCAAAGCCTCATCCGTTACGCCCTACATTCCTTCCACCTTCAACAACCATGAGTGGTATGCAGACAGCAGGGGACATCCCCATGATTGTTAAATCAGAGAACTCTGGATCAGAGCGTCGTATCACTCCATCTTGGTCCATTGGCCAACTAAAATCAAAACTTGTACCCGTGACCGGTATCCCTTCCTCGGATCAAAAACTCACTTTGTGGATCAACAATCAACAATCCGTCGACATCCAAGCTCTGGATGAAGAGAATACACAACTGACAAACTTTCCTCTGGCACCACACGCCGTTATTCACGTGAGTTCGGAAATTTCTTTAGCTTCGTAACGCGAAACATGTCGTGGTACTCTAAGACCTTATCGTTCTGCAAGGCTGCCTGTCCACCTCGATCCCACGGATGTTATTTTCTCCTCGATATGAGACTTGATCTTCGGTATCGTATCCATACTAGACAAGGTTTTCATTTCAGCATCATATGATAGTTCATGCCGATGTTTACCGGGTTGCCCCAATAGTTCATTCCATGATATTTGGGTCATTGAGATGATAAATCTTGATTTATAGTCTACTCAACTCGCGGGTGTTGCTTTGTGTGGGTTAGTTTCCTGCCCTACAGCTAGGCCAAGTGTTCCATATTGCTTAGAGTGGAGTGTTTCGTCACGGACACGACAAGTTTTGTTCGTTGTCCATGAACTATTTGCCGTAGTCTGAGCCCCATCAAGTGGATAATATATTATTGCATTATTGTTAGTCTCATTCTGAGTCACGGTGTGCTGTATTCCAAAACTTAACAAGCATCTGATACTTACAAGCACAAACCTACTGTTCTCCATTGTTAAGTTTGGCCATCATCTTTGGAGGACACGTATCATTTTGTGTCTTTCCCACCGGGTTCTCCCAACAAATTTATGTAGCGATACTTCTGCTAATTAGGCTTGGCTGTTTTTCAATATGCTAACACAACTTTTCCCAGGTAACCGATACTCGCGCCCCTGGTCTCCGTGAGAATTATACCGATGTCTCCGCCGTCGAAAAATACACCCTTCCCGTAGAATCCTACGAGAAACGCACCGACAGTGTTCTTGCGTGGAAAAAGAATGAAAAGCTCGGACGATTCAACCCTGATGCTCCCACTCTTCTTGATGCCAAACTTGCTGTCTACGATAATGAGATCAAAGCAAAAGGTATCTCTGTAGGAAAGAGATGTAGAGTCGGAGAAGATGATTCCAGAAGAGGTGAAGTGATGTATGTAGGTGACGTTGCAGAAATTCCTGGTGGAGCGGGAAAATGGATTGGAGTCAAACTAGACGAACCTGTCGGAAAAAATGATGGCAGTATAGCTGGAAAGAGATATTGGGGTAAAGATGGTGATGGGAAATTCGGTGTCTTTGTTAGACCTGAGAGAGTTGTAGTGGGAGACTATCCAGTAATGGATGATTTTGAGGATATGGAGGAAATGTGAGAAAGCATGTAACTCATTTGCATTGGATTGAGCTTTTGTGGAATCATCCCTTTTAGATCCCTTTGAATGCGAGGCGATTTATTTCGCATAAAATTGAAGGTTACATTCTCTCACTTGGGCATAACATATATTTCTATTGATTGAGGTGTACACTGCACAATATTTCAAACCTGTCGTACCAAAACTCTTTTTCTTCTTTTATACATTTCTATCCTCCCACTTTATTCCCAAGTTCACTCGAGGGAAAAGGCGAACACTCCTCTCTCCCCCAGCATCAAGGAGCCCGTTCACAAGAGGAATACAACAGATATATATATGTGATTATCTAACCATACAAAGTAGCTTAACACAGGAAATTCCTACACAACTCGCCAGTGTGTAAACCCCCTTTCAGAATATTCCTAGCACGATAATCATCTCGCATACATTAAATATATCTATCTCCTCTCCTACTGAAGTAAAAACACCTCTCATCAATAACAAGATTGGTTTCTCGTGCATTCCTCTGTATAGATTAAATCACTATTTCATGGTGTTTCTCATTCTTACTGCATTATCTTTCGTGTAGATTTTGACTCAACTTCAATATTAGGTTTAATAGGCATCATACATACATACATACGCGTAGATGACTACCCATCTCGTCATCTCTCTCTCCCTCGCTAGCATAGTCTAGCTTACTATCATAGTACATAGTTTGGATTTGGAAAACATATTCTCTCTCACTCTCTCTCTCTCTCATCAATTCTTCCACCTTGTACCCATCTCGATTAATCTTCTTGATTGATACTCATCTCTTTAACATTTTACTCACTATGACACCATCTACCTCTTGTTCTTTTCTTGATTTCCATGCATCGTCATATACTCGCTACTTGTATATCATTAATCCTAATATATCAATCAATCAATCAATCCACGTACATGTGACATACACACCACATCTCACTTCTCAATCCTCCTCCAAACCGAATCGAACTAAACCCAACTGAATCGAACTGAACCGAATACATCTATCTCCCCTATTCTGTGAAAATCTACTCAAAGTTCAATCCTAGTTCTGAGGGAGAGTAATCCATAGCATCGTACCGTATTCTGTTAGATTAAAGTATGTATGGATTAGTCGATGTTATTATGTTTTGTAGGAGTGGCATTGAGAGGTCCATACGTTGGAACATGGTAGGGTCTCTGTGACTTCGAGGGTATTATTGGATATTGGATATTGGATATTGGATAGTGGATACTGGATAGTGGATGTTAGATGTTGAGATAGACGGGTTGATTGATGGGTTGATGTAAATCTTTTTTTGTATTTTTGTATACGGGGTTTCTGTAGTTGCTTTTCAACATCCTTTTTACATCTCCTTTAAAACTCACGTTCTTTCCACGTCCTCTGATTCTCTAATGGGAGTTTGACTTTTCTATTGCAATTGGTTATCTGTAGGGGAAATATTGATATTTACATATGAAATTTCAATACGAATTATAGGATTCAGATCAAATCTCTAAGTTGAAGTAAGAAATAGGAAGGTTCAGGGAAAAGTCATTGTGTTGTTCCTCTCCCCGTCCTCTTTCTGTTCTTTCTTCCCAATCCCGATTCCCCATTTCTTCATTTCCTTCCAACTGGACCAATACATCCTTTCAACAACGCCATCTCCACATCTACAACGTGCTCTTCAATTCCCTCCTTTCCCTCTTCCTCTGTATCAGTGTCACCCTCTCCGTCTTCACTTCCCACTCCTCTATCGTACCCCCTGTACCCCCTGTACCCCATACGCTTTCCGTCTCTTCCCTATTATCGAATCATCTCTCTCTCTTTCTCTCTCGTTTCTTCACTTCTTCCAGAATCCTCATCGAATTAGCTCCTTATTCTACCAACTCATCTAATACCATTTTCTCATTCTGAATTCTGTTTCTATTTTTTCCCCTTCTTTCCTATCTTATTTTGTGAAAGATCTACAGAACTAGCTAGACTTTGAGGATTGCTCATGTTGATATCCCCTGAAGGGCAAGATACAGAATCGAGAGACCTGTAGTCAGGCTAGTCGATTTCCTGCGCCATTTCGATTCAGCCAACCCGACGTACTAAACCGGCTTTACGAATTTGGGGGCTATCTCCGAAGATCTCGTAACGGCGGATTGTGAAATTGGTTTCGGGGGCAGGTGACCCATTGGTATGCGTGTTTGTGTTTATAAACGATTTATTTGTTTTTACTTCCCCAGATGGATGTTTGTTTGCGTATTCCGAAGTCTTTCGGTAGGACACAGATTCTTTTGCCTTTTGTAACGATTGTTTCTCTGGTAACGATTCGACTATTTCATCTTTCTCCCAATCTCGTGAAGTATTGATATCTTCTCCGCTCATATGATACTCGTGTCCTTTATTCAAATTCTCCCCGTTAACATTGCCTCCCTTCCTACCCGCACTAGCGAATGTATTTCTCGTCGGCCTCTTCAGGTTTCCCCGCCCATTATCAACCAATTTTGCCACCCCATACTCACGCTCCTTCGTAGAAAGACGAGATATTCCAAGGAAGAGACCTCTAGTTCTACATTTCGGAAGACCAGCTTGGAGAAACAAGAGTGGAGAGATGGGAGGATTGGTAAGCATTGATATTAGATACTTAGAGCTGTAAGATATAACTGTGAGTTAAAATAGAGAAGCGATAGTGGGATTGTGATACCTACCAATGTTGAATGGTTAAATTGGATGTGTACACCAATTGTCTAGAATCCGGATGTTGTTTGTATTGACCCGTCGGACTTCTTGATATGGTAGCTCCGATGATATTGCACACAGCGGGGTAATATACCTAGGTGGCGGATGTGGTGTAACGTTGACATATGAGATATAAGATAAGATGGCGGGGTAACCTTAGTGGATACTTATGAACACCTGCATCGTGCCAGAATTGCCTTGTACGTCATTACTCATTGTTTACTTGTTAAGCTTCTTAACACCAGATTTCAGTTACATTCTTAACTCATCAACCATTCTCTACTTGTTTATGTTTATGATTATATACCTCTCCTCTTCATCGCCACGTGAACATAATCAATACAAACAGAAACACCACCATGCCATCCAAACCATATGAAGTCAAATGGGGCATCCTAGCCACCGGCGGCATCGCAACCAGTACCATTCCTCTCCCTAGTCTCTAAGGCATCTCAAACTAACCACCCCCAGCTTTCTGCAAAGACATTCTCTGCAATCCCGCCACGCGTGATGTCCACGACATCAAACACACCATCATCGCAGCGGCCTCCTCCACCTCCGCCTCCCGCGCCGAAACCTTTCTCAAAGAAATCAACGCGCCCCCGGGTATCAAAGCCTACGGATCCTACCATGAACTCGTCGCCGATCCCAACATCGACGTCATCTACATTGCCACACCACATTCGCATCATTTCCAAAACGCCATGTTAGCACTACACGCCAACAAACACGTCCTGTGCGAAAAAGCCCTCACAGTCAATTCCTCGCAAGCGCGTAAACTATTCGAGACAGCCAAAGAGCGTAATCTCTTTTTCATGGAAGCGGTCTGGACGCGATATTTCCCGCTGAGCATTCAGATTCGGGAGATGGTACGAAATAAAGAAATCGGAGAGGTGCATCGCTTATTTGCAGATCTGTCGATTGCAGAGGCAAGTGAAGATGGGAGTCTTACTTTTCCTTCCCAAAATCGCATGGTGAATCCCGATTTGGCGGGTGGTGCCCTCCTTGATCTAGGTATCTATGCTATCACATGGGTTTTCCAAATTCTGTATCACTGTCAGAGCTGTCCGTCTACCGAGCGCGAAGTACCCTCTGTCCTTGCGGCTGTGCAGAAATACGATAAGACGGGTGTGGATGAACAAACGAGTATTATTTTACAGTTTCCCAAGAATAAAAGTATGGGAATTGCGACCACGGGAATGAGAGTGGCGACGCAACCGGATGCGCATGGGGAGGCCAGTAGAGATGAAGCTCCGACGATTAGAATTCAAGGCACGAAGGGAGAAATCCAAGTTTTTGGACCCGCGTATAGACCGTTAAGATATAAGGTTTTGAAGAATGCGAATGAGGCGGGAGATGTCAAATCGGTGGATTGTGAGATCCCGCAAGATCCGGAGAGGGGGAATTGGGGACATGGGATGGCGTGGGAGGCGGATGAGGTGGGGAGGTGTTTGAGGGATGGGAAGAAGGAGAGTGAGGGGTTGGATTGGAGGGAGAGTGAGGCGATTATGAGGGTTATGGATGAGGTGCGAAGACAGGGTGGCTTGAAGTATAGTGAGGAGATTGAGTCGGATGTTTTTCATGAGAACAGTGCTTTGAATGGGAAAGCTTGATTTAGGAATGTGAGCGATAGTATCGTTAGGTCTAATAATCCGCTACGAAGAATATGGACATGGAGATTGGTGATATCGCTTAAATCCTACAAAGTCCCGTCGATGATTCTTAATTACCCTGAACAAAAACCAGATTACACTCTACTGGAATGATATACTATCATACAATGCGATATTATTCCAGCGCAAAATATCGATACCAAACCATCTCCTCACACCCACCCTCTGAGCGGAAGAGTCTCCATTACCCGTCCCCCTAGCCCTGGATAAAAGCACAAAAATCCTCATTTCACCCACTCCACCCTGGACAGCGAGATGTGTTATATGAAATAAACAACGTCGTACAACTGATGCGAAATATGTGGTTTCGCCGTACAGGCTCACATTGATATCGTGTGATTAGTGAAATTATGATATACATTGTAACATTGTAGACTAAATCTATAAATCAAGAAAAATAAAGACAGTCCCAAGTCGCAAAGGAATCCGCATGAAAGACAGAGAGCGCAAACATAAAATAAAGCAGAGGGCCCAAAAGGTATTCAGAGGAAGCGAAGAGCTTCAACAGGGAGAAAGAGAGAAGAACGCAATAGAAATAAAAGTCTATGGAATATGCACTCTAGGAAACCTCTTGAAACAGCGCAGTGTGAACCTTTGAGCTGTTTGCTACTTCATGATCCAGAACAATTTAAGAGAGAAAAAGGCGATGTTTCGAGACCCGTTTTCGGATTTTGGAGAGAAGATTTTTTTTCCCCATTAGCTTAAGTCAATGGACTACCTTCGTAGATAAATGATATCTGCTGGTGAGGCCATCTTCCGCTGTTATATTGAAATGACGATCGCCGAGACACAACAAGAACTGAAGATTCAAGGTAAAGAAGAATCACTTACCGCGTGTCACCCGTTTTCAATACATTCTTTCTGTATTTTTGATTCATTAATTTGGTCACTGGTGAGCTTCGATATAGCAAGCAAGTACCAATTACCTACAAGGCATGATAAATGATCAAAGGTTAGCATTTCATGCTTGAGCCGCATCGAAGACCATCTGGTAATACTGAATTGTGTAAGAATCTTGATTACGTGTATTCAGCAACAGCCAAATTACAAAAGCCTTCACCGCCCAAGATAGAATATTAATAAATGAGGCATCCTTGAGTGAATCTCACGATCTCTATTCTTCTCGGCAGAAACCAGACGCGGGCGGTCACAATCCGCAAAGACAGGGCATACTATATAACCGTCAATACAAACGGGAACCATTTGGGGCAGTTGGTAGAGTGGTTAAGGAGTGCAATTCGACTTCTTCCCTCAGAAGCCCGTCTTGAGCTGTGGCACTCGAAGATAATACCCCTCGGTATGCTGCCACAATGTGAGACATGCATGTATGAATGTAGCCAAAAATCAAGGCAATAAAAACAAATTAATAGATAGCTTAGATTTAGATGGTGGGTGGGTGGTTAACGGAAGCTTGGAAGGTGATGATAGATGGATTGGGGGTAAATATATCCAAAAACAGAATTAAAAAGAAGCAAGAACATTATCTCAAGGTCTCAATTCAATGTCTACCTCGAGATGTTCAGACCTTCTAACTTTTTTTTTGGTTGCGCTGTCGTCGGTGAGTTCAGAAGTGAGTAATGTCAAAAACAGGTAAGTATAGCGAATGACACCGTCGCAAAACATGATCATCTTCCCAAACACTTACGCCTGAAATACTGTTGTTAAGTTTCTTGAGGTTTGAACTTTACGGTCTTTCGTTTTTGAGCTCTCGCTAGTATGGTGGGTTTGATGGAGTTTGATCTGAGTGGTTATCGGAATATATTCGATGTTTTGACGATCGGAAGCGAATGCGCGACGACGACCCATCCGACTCCATTTTTATTCAGCATGCAAGAGTATTTTCCCGAAAACCCTACTCGAGAGTCATGATAGTGTTTGGCAAACGCTCTTTTGAAACAACCCCGATTAATACGACATTTGATCTTTCTTGGAATCTCGTGCTATGTGTGCTCTCACTAGAGACATTAACCTTATGCGCATAAGGCATCGTCGGAAAAGATCTGAGCAGCGATATGCGAATCAAAAATAGAAAGAAACTTGTACGTGCAGCTAATTATTGACAGCAAGACAACCTCAATACCGGAACACTCTCGAAACTTCAAGATATGGCAAGATGTCTGTGACACGTGATGTCGCCCCCCTGGATTCGTGGAGATAGAGTTTGCGCTACCCCAGACCGACTTTTCTTGAAAGGCTCGTGCCGCTGCATGCGGCACATAATGTGTCAATCAAGACAAGAACGCCGAGCTCTAGAAGGTTTGGGAGGCGGCGAGCCAAAAAATAACCAAGGAATTCAAGAAACGCAAGTGAGAAAAAAGCCAAAACACCAAGCCTGTTGGCAACGACGAGGCTGAGAACAAATTTCAAATTTCAAGTAGACCAAGTAAGCCAAGCCACGAGCTTTGATTTACCAAGTCTTGACCAAGCTTTCATGTGATTTGGTAGCCGACAAGAGGTGAGAAAGAAATCTCTCCGAGGAACCCGAATAATCGAGAAAAAGAGTTTCGGATGAGGCGAGAATTGATGTGCCATAAGTACCACTTGAGGTTATTCTTTCAAGTATGTATGATTGACTGACGTACAATTAGACGGCGAAGAGGGGCTGAGCGAAAGCCACATAGAAAGAAGGTTTGTCGCACACGGCTGTGTTCTAGAATTGGGTCCTGAGGGAAGAACTGAAGAAGAACTATTGATAGTTAATAATTTTCCCAAGACCTCCAAGACAAAGGAGAGGGTGGCAATTAGCGACATGATTGGATACAGCAATTAAACGACACGCCTTGAACTTCCTGAGAAGCTTGGCTTTAGCTGGGCTTTTCATGAATAATGATTGAGAAAGAAATGATTTCTGTTTATCATTATTATTCAAAATCATTAGCTTATTCAATTAATGCATAATGTTTTGTGTTTGGAGTGAAAATACGGATAGATAAAAAGGAGAATTTGAGTTTCATCGTAATAAGCGACCCTAGTCATTGATAAGTGAAAGGAAAGGTAAGGAACGCTGCCCAGTATGGAGTATTATGGCTATGTTTATGATGATGTGATAATATAATGTGACGATGATTATATCTAAAGAGGAAGAAAGGTATCTAGATAGAATTTGACAGATACATACCGTACGAAGTAGATGGCTGGTCCACCATTTAACATCAAGACCAACACGAGGGCCTTTCGTACGATATCAACGATTATGTAACGAGGATGGATTGAGGCTGTGGGGGGCGCAGAAGAATGATTTGTACGATGTATTTGTATTTCATTGATAAACCTTTGATATGAATGGTGGCTACCGGAGTAGGTCATCACATCGGCAGTCTTCATCCGTGGCAATTGTCAACAGGATTGCAATTATCATTGGTAGTTGTGAGATGTTGTAGTATGCATCGTGGTGGGCTGGGCTGGGCTGTCCTGTACAGTAGTGTAATCATCAACAAGACCCTGTGGAATTTTGAAGAACTACCGGCACCTAGGTATAAGTTATATATTTATCTAACCTTTCTTATTAGTATTCAGTCTTCCATTCACTCTTCTTCTCCGCATTCTTACAGTTTTCCGTTTTCCGTCTTCCGTTTTCCGTCTTCCGTTTCCCTTGGATGTTAAGGTTGAGACGACCTACCGGTACCTATGTAATTGATATTTCTTATTGCTGTTACAGTACAAAGTATAATTTATCGTTATCCCCCACACATCATCATACCTACTTCTTTTTTTTCTCTTTCCTTGTCTCCCACTCTTCTCTCAATCCCCTCACCAAAGTGTCTGTGACAAAGGAATAAAAAAATACCTTCCATATCATTACTCATCGCCGCAGAGTGATCGATGATCGATCCAACATCCAACAACATCCGAACTACCAAGTACAGACAGACATCCTACAGTTTCAACGCACGGAGATCCATTCTGCCGACATCCAACCCACGCTAATCCAATTTCAGTTTAACTATCGCCCTCTCCAAAACAGCTCCAAGCCAAGAAGAGAGTTTCACTTCAACTTATTAGTAGGAGTAGTAGTGGGATTGCACCCTCGACAAAACTACAAAGTATTTGGTCCTCTTAAAATTAATGGATATGTGAAATTCGACTGAGAGATTGTTATTAGTCTACGACTTTCCGTGGATTTTGGTCTTGCTCTCTATTCTCTCTTCCTTTCCTCAACTCCATCATCTCAATCATGCCTCTCCTACCGGATCAGGGAGGGAACATGGCGAAATGCCTTTCGATCCTCTTACTCTTCGTCGCTTTGGTTGCTGGTCAAACTTCCACCGCGTCCTTCTCGCCCTCGAATGCTACTTTACCATCTAACATGACGAACCCGGATTTTGAATTGTCTTTGACGTCTGGGACTAGTGATCTCTTGGTCAGGAATGTGTACAATATTGCTCCGCTCACTGCTCAGGCGGGAATAGGACAAAGTGAGACTGCTGTAAATGTAAGAAATGTGTTCCTGATTACATTGTACATGGATAATAGGAGGCAGAATACTAATATGGCATGGCATAGCAAATCAACATCAATGGAACCATTGTCCAAACAAATGCGTCAACTGCGAGTAATCTATCCATCACCGATATAGCATATATGAGTTGTGATCCAAACGAAAGCTCCAACATCGACTCAACACAAGCTATTATCATGGCAGGGAATGCGCAGCCGAAAGCCATATTGTTACACAGCTTATACTCTCAGGCGTGCACTATTTCCGGCGATTATACCTATAGCACAATTTATACAATGGTGTCTGCCTCAGATTCAATGGCTTTACTTGCCACTTTGAATAATTATTCCAACGGCTCCTTGCTCGCAAGATTCGTACCCAATCAAAGTTCGTCAGATACAGGTTCGGCATCGCAAACTAGTAACAATGGAGGGCCGCCACCAACTACAGCTGTTGCCATGAGCATTCTATACAGTATCACTGGAATTATTACCTTGCTATTCCTGATAATCATAGCCACAGGAGCCATTCGCGCTCACAGGCATCCGGAAAGATATGGGCCACGGAACGCTCCAGGAAGACCAAGGCAAAGTCGAGCAAAGGGTCTTGCGCGAGCCATGTTGGAAACTCTACCCATTGTGAAATTCGGAGATCCAGAGCCGGGAAAACCAGGGAGTAGTGATATCGAATTGGAGAATGGCAGTGTCCATAATGCTCCTGTTACTTCTACAACAGACGCCACGGCCAGCGACCCATCAAAATTGCCGGTTGCTGCGGCAGCAACCTCCGAGAAGGGCTTGGGTGCAAATCCCGAGTCAGGAGATAACCAAGCACCAGCGGCCACCCAGGAGACCGAGCTTCTACAATGTTCGATTTGTACAGACGACTTCGCTACTGGTGAAGATGTTCGAGTGCTTCCATGTCATCACAAATATCATCCTGCTTGCATAGACCCTTGGCTATTGAATGTTTCAGGAACTTGTCCATTATGGTAAGCTCGTTTATTCTATATTTTATAAACATACTAACTTTCACAGTCGTCATGATCTCCGACCTACAGCAACCCATGCCCAATCTGCAGATGATGAACTTCCGCCTCCACTTGATGCAGGTGAAGGAGAAGCAGCTAGCCAACACCCAGCCGGTACATCTGAAAACGGAGAGGCCAGCTCTCGTCATCGCGTTTCTCATCTTGTACATCTTCGCAATGCTCCCCCCGAAGAGAGTATTGCTACCCTCCGCGAATTCGCACGTGAGCAATCCCAACAAGAAGAGGCCGAACCAAATCAAGATGGAGTCGAAGAACAAGGCAGAAGAGCTAGCCTTGCAGGTCGACTCCGAACTACTTTCCGAATAAGAACACGGGCACAAGCACCCACTGTCCCCGAAACAACAACAACATGATATGTTCACTAATTCATAGTATTTTTATCGATTCGCATAACGAACGACCTTTTACATTTATATTTTATGACCTTAAATAGTGGCTCCCCAAATCTGAAGTTTTACTACAGTATTGTGAAATCAGAGTACATCATACTGAAACTGATTTGCGTGGACGGATGAATGAATGACGGATGAAATGGTACGATCAATTGGAAAGGATGGATCTGAATAGATGGAGTTTGGCGTTAATGATTTACCCTTGACTTTCACAAGTACAATCGAGTATGGATTGGGTCTGATCTATTTTGGGCGGTGTTTTATCAAGTACCTGGGATCTCGGATGGTTGGAGGATATGGAGCGGCGTAGTGGATGGTAAAATCGGGAGTCGCAGAAGCTAGGGGGGAATTTGTCAGTTGCTGCAATATTTTGTTACTGTAATATATTTTACAGGACCTGCTTTCCACGCGAGATGGGCTAGATAAATATCATACTATGCCTGTCATAACCGATTAACCCGTGTGACGCTATTCTTGACTTATCATACGAACAAGTGTTAGAATGCATGAACTTTGTGTAGTAAATTTCCCCTCTGTAGATGATAGATAGGAAATGCTCCTAAAACCCGAGGCCTCTCCTATGAAAAGTAACGCAGTACAATGTTGTACACGTGAATCCACATCTCATTCTCATTCCCATAACTATCTTCATACTCCTCGCCTCCTCTGTTTCACATCCTCCATTTTAGACACTTGCACATTCTAAAATAACCCCCCAAAAGAACTCCATTGCTTGCTTGCCATTCTTCGATATCCCAACCCATCCCCTCTCCTCTCCTTCCACCCCCCCGTATCTCCCACCCTAACACAACCAACCTCGTGCAAAAGTAAAACTGTTAAATAAACTCCTTCTCCTTCTCCCTCTAATTCCAACTATGTTCAAGCCAATCCAACCAAACCAAATCAAATCAATCCCTTCCTCGCCAATTCCACCTTCCTCGCCGCCTCCCCAGCCTTAAACCCTCCTTTCGATATACAAATCGCATTTCCATCTGCCAACTCAAATTTCTCCTCATAGGTTGGGTGTGCGCAGGGACAGTGGTGGGGGAAGGCCACGCAGGAGAGGGTGCCGGGGCAGAGATAGGATGTACAGTGTGCTGAGAGGGGGGAGGAGTGTTAATTTTTGAGTTGAGGGGAGTGAGGAAGAGAGGAGGGAGGGCAAATGGGGAAATGGGGAGAACAAAGCAGGGAATCAATCATTACCTCGATCATAATTATCCTGGTACCATTGCGAATCACTAGGTACATCTTGTGGTTGGCGTTGCTGCTGCTGTTGTTGACCGTTGAACATTTGTTCGAAGAATTGGAATTGGGCTGATGCGCCGATTATGAGGATGAGGAATGAGAAGAGGGAAAAGCGTAGTTTGGCCATTTTTTTTGTTTTGCTTGTAGTGGTTGGAGATTGGGAGTGGGAGTGTGGTGTTTGAATGAATGGGAATTGGGAATTGGAAATGTAGTGATGGGTGATAGATAGCAGATACTGGTAGTGAACTGATAGCTTGATATTGACAGGTGGTAGATATTTATACGGGGGACTGGAGGAGGGTGAGATGACAAAACTGGTGTTTGGTAGGAAAATGGTTTATTTTTGTACTTTTGAAGAAATAATTGGTACACGATGAGAGATCTGAGTCCTCAGTTATAATTTGACCAAATCATCTTGAAACATTTCACAAGATACACAATCTCTCCCTCCCAATCCCCAATCCCACCACCGCGTCCCCCATACATCTCGGTCCCCGTAAAAAAAAGCATCACCAAACATCAAAAATATCCGCCCTCCTCCTCTCCCAACCCACACATCCAAGATGTTGCTTCAACGTCTACAGCCTCCATTGCGAGGCGCCATTACCTGCATTGCGCGGACATCATCAGCATCAGCTGCGGAAACACATCTTTGCGAAGCGCTCACGCATCTCTCGTTCAAGAAATCGACTTCTTCTCCACTTGCCCCTCTCATCGGTGTTCGTCATGCTTCGCACGCTGCGCAGGGAGCCGTGAATAAAGCGAAAGATGGACCGGGGAAGAGATTGGGTGCGAAGAAATCTGGTGGTATGTATTTTTCTCTTCTCATCTCCCATGCCCATTCCCATTTCTCTCAATCTCAAGCCTCCCAACCCCCCAGTCCCTAACACAAATCAGAACAATACGTAATCCCGGGCAACATCATATTCCGCCAACGGGGCACCCACTGGTTTCCTGGCGATAACTGCGCCATGGGTCGCGATCACACGATTTACGCTACCCAACCCGGGTATGTGAAATACTATAAAGATCCGGAGCGTCATCCTAAACGCCAATATATCGGTGTGGTATTTAAGCGCGAGCAGGTTCTTCCTTTACCGCGGAATACGGTTCGGAGACGGAGATTAGGGATGGAGATTGCGAAGATTGAGGAGCCGGAGATGGAGGCAGAGCAGCCGGTGGAGGTGGAGGTTAGTGTGGAGGGTGCAGAGAAGGAGGTCAAGAAGGAGAAGAAGAAGAAGGAGAGGAAGGGAGAGGAGGGGAGAAATTTACAGTTAAGACCTGGATATATGTACCGCGAGGCGAATTGGGAGATTGGAAGAGCGGCCGAGAGAGCAAAGGTTAAGGTGAGGTTGTATAAACCGGGAGATCGATGGACGGCGTGGAGAAAGGCAAATGCGAGGAAGACGAAGAATGCGGAGAAGAGGGGTTTGTCGAGTAGGAAGAAGAAATAGATGGGTGGTGAGAGATGGAAAATGGAAATGGGGATTGGGAGGTAGAGGTGTGGGAGAAATGGGGAAGAAGGCGTGTATGATTATCTATTCATCTGGTCTTGTTGTTATGGGAAATTGAATGAAAGGGCATGGATGGTGGAAAGCCCCAGCTGCAATATCGAGGAATTCCAGAAAAAATGGATGTGTAACTAGGTTAATATCCTAACATAAAATTCTACCGCAAGTGAACTTGTGGTAGTGAACAAGATCAATGAGCTCAATGAGACGAGTGCTTCGTATTAGACGCTCTATTTGCCTTGACCGTTTCTACAATCCCTGAGCAGAGCCTCCATGTTAAGCAATTTTATCATTCAATTATCTTTAACCTTCAGCTGGGAACTCGACGTTCACGTGAATTTCAATGGTAGAAATAAGTATGTATAGGACCTTGAAAAGCGTTCCATGTCTCCATACACCACCCACCATCGCTTCATTCAAAAAGCAGATAGATATCGCATGATGCCAACTCCCCAACTGACAATACCCAATCACACAATTCAATCCGTATAGTATAAAATATTTTCAATTTTAGAACGCATGCACTACTAGAACTACAAGCACCTTGTAAACAAAAGATGCATAAACATATTTGGCGACGACTAATCCTCCAAATTAGGTACTTCTACATGCTCCCAAATGTGCAAACAACGCCTTTCAAATGCGAAATTCTTTTGTACAATAATTCCGACCGAGCAACCTGACCCTACCGACCATCCTATCCATTCCATTCCAATCCAATCCAGCCTAAGCCTACCATTTATTACCGCTAAAATTCAACCCAAATTATTCGTTAAAAAAAATCGTCCATTACAACCGCAAGGCGCCATAAAAAATGCATACATTTCATCTCATGTCGATTCCGTTTTTTGTCCTTTCCCAATCTTTTAATTGATCGTCTCTTTCGTTCCATCTCGAAATTGAGAATATATAGGTAGTATTAGACGCAAGTCCATTCAGCAAAAACGCACCATCTCGCACTTCGATCGGCTAAAACTAGTCCTCTCCATACACCCCTTTCCCCACATTTAATTATCGTCTCCCAAGTTCCTCCATCTCCACCCTCTAGATTGACACCTCCATTTCTCTCTTCCTTTCGCATTAATCTCAATATTTTTCCACCGGGTGCTTGAATTGCCAATTTGGCTGGCTTTTTACCAGTTCCTGAACCAGAAGCCGAGGAACTTGTTATAGACATGGCCGAGTTTGGTCGTATAAATGGAATAGGCGAGGTTCTCCCAGGATCTGGAGATCCCGGAGATAGCGAGGAAGGATGCTGACGCACAGCGAATACGAAAGTATTATTGATGGCTAGCCGCTGGCATTGTGGCTGGGCGACATAAAGGTCATGACGTTGCGCATGAGGTGTTGGATGTCGGATCAAAAAGTCGTATGGAGGATTGTCGCCAGAGTGAATAACAGGCAATGCAACCGCCAATGGATGTGGAATATCCTTGATACTGTGCATGAGACCACGTTTCCCAGCATATATTTTAAGAATACCTGATCCTTCATCACCAGGCAGTAGACCTTTGATCGTATATCTCTTTTGACTGCCTACCCATTCGGCTTGTGCCAAAGCAGGCTTCGTGATAATCTCGCCAGTCTCGAATAGATCGCCATCAGCATCCCGCTCAAAGGCACGTGCCTCAACCTCCGCTACACACTCGACATCAGGCGGTACAGAAATTTTGATATGAACAAGCTCGAGATCCTCAATGCGTATGAGACTTGTATCATATTCCACCATTTCCATCTCGTTAGTGAAAAACGCGGGGCAAGCACAGGGCAAAGCCAGCAAAATTTCATGTGCCATGGGGGGACAGAGATGTTGGTCAACATGCTGCTCAGGTATGTGAGTCCAGCAGATCTCGATTGGCCTAGTCAAAAACCACCAGGGTTCCGCATATTGGCTACTGGCACTAGTATATTGGCTTCGTCGAGGATGAGAAGGACTTGCTAAAGAGCAATCCATTATTCGCCATTCTCCATCAATCACAACTGCGTTCCAGAAATGATTAGGTCGAGGCATGGGACCCATATCTGGTACTTCACCAGGCGACTTGAGATAACCTCTGATGACCTCTGCATGTATCCCGATAGCTTTACACATGTCCATAACTAGAAATGCGACTTCTTCGGAAGAACCATGTTTAGTCTGAATTACCCTCCTTGAATCGGCAGTGTCGTTATCGAAGCCCTCTTCCCATGTAATCTTTTCGCTGACCCATGTGAATATTGCTCGTAAGCGCTGGATATCGCTTCTATATGGTCGACACACATAACCTGTGGCTAGGCTCATAGGGTTAGACATCGGTGGAAGGCTATTGATGAATCTTGTGTTCTTATCGACCAGGCTTAGGTTTACTGCTTGGAAATTGGTTGGCTCAGCAACTGGATTACCATCAACCCCTTCGTCACCATCACAGCCCTCCAGAAGTTCTTCCACAGGACTTATCGCAGGGTAATCCATCATCTGGCATCTCTCCTTTCTCTCAACTCGCTCGATTTTACTTAAAGAATTCGATCTGTTGATGTCACGTCGTACCTGAACCCAATCGACTCCCACGGTACTACCTCCAGGTCCAACTTCGTTAGGGGGATTGATGTTCGGTGTGTTCCCAAAACCACCACCCCCCATTGACGTAGTCCCCGCTGGAAATGAACTATGAGCCTGAACTCGTGGTCTGGAAGATTCACCAACAGCGATACTGCTCCTCGCGCTCGCAGCACCTGTTTTCGCTGACTCGACCATTCTTTTGAAGAACCCGCTTTTCTTGGATTTGGGTGTCATGAGACCACCAAGAGCAGCATTGCCATCTGCTGCAGTACCTGGCCAGCCAGTTGGTGACTGCATACGAGAAGGATCCGAAGCATGACTACTGTGATATGAAATTCCGGTCATTGGCGTCTGAGATCGGCCAGTACTAAAATCAGGTTGACTGTTATTCATCCCCAGATAGTTATCCTTTCGTGAACCAAGTGCACTCTGAGCTCGACCATGTAGCAATTCCCGCTTTCTGGCTAGACTTCCGGCACTAGTTGAAGAGAAGCCACTGGTGGAAGGTCCACTCATGAGACTTTTATCAGTCATTTGAGTACTCGAGCTTCCAGTGGTAGTGGTACTACGAGTACCAGAGGAAGAGCTTGTTGAATCGGTCTTGTCTGTTCTCGTTGTGAAAGTCCTCCCCAGCATGGATTTACCAACTTCATATGCAGACTTTCGGTGGCGAAGCTTGCTTGACTGTGTATTTATACTCATAGACGATTTTGGTCGGCTCTCATAAGCATATGAACTCGCTTTAGGAGGGACTGCTGGTCGAACATCATCATTTGGGGAACGGGGCGCCGAGGAATACATTTTACTTAATCTATTCTCCATTCTTTGAACGTAATTGCTAAGTTGAGGTGGGGGAGTATTTGTAGGTTGGTAAGGTTGCATGTTATTGGCGTAGTTATCAGCACTTGTTGAATTATATTCTTCAGGAATTGTAATAGCTGTATTAGATCTAGGTGCACGTTTTGATGATATGTACGTCTGATCAAATGCCTCAGGAGACCATGGATCGATTGGTGCTTCCGGAATTTCTGACTCTCGAGCTACTCTCATATCTGCTAAAGATAACATTACATCATC